CAGCGGAATGCTGGGACTACCGGATTCGATCGCCGCGATGAGATTGGGATCGACGCCGTCCGGGCCACCGACGGGCGAGACGGCGCCTTCGCCGAGCAAGACGCCACCTAAGGAGCGTGCGCGTCGATGTGCGCTCGAGCTGAGCGACGACGAGGTCATGCGCCTTCGACGTGTCGAGTGCAGGATGGCGCTGCCACCCGCGGTGGTGTTGGATGGAGTAGTCGAAGCAGCAGCGGCGCCGAAGCTCGAAGGTGCAAAGGCACCGGAGGAGCTGCGTGTGCCGCGCGTCTCCCAGCCGAGCGTAGGCGAGCCCGAGTGGAAGGAGCTGGAAGCGGGCAGCCCCACGGACGAGCCCGAGGAGAGGGGCGAAGGATTGAGCGGAATGCCGAGTCCCAACGAGGAGTCCTCCTTGCGCTTGCCCATGGCGATGGTGGAGGCAGGTCGATCGACGGGCTCGAGAGCTGGCGAGCCTGTGGCGCCGGCTGCGATGCGCCTGGGCACGGCGGGCGGGCCCATGGAGCCGGTGGAGCTGGTGACGGACGACTTGCGAGTGAGGTTGGAGCCTGTGGTGGCGACGTCGTCGGAAGCGACCGAAGAAGCATCGTCGTCGACGACGCCAAAGCTCTGGAAGGGCGAGTGACGCGATGGGGTGCGGTTGAGCCTGGATGCGCCGGTCACAGCCCTGTGCAGTGGGTTGGAAGTAGCGCGTTCGCGGTCGAGTCGGACGGAGGTGCGGGCCAATGGTGAGGCACCCGTCGCGGCGGCTGCAGCGCTGTCGGCTGTCGTTGGTGTTGCACCTGCTGCTGTTTGGGAGGCGTCTCTGCGAGCATTCGGACGCTGTGATGCCTCGTCGACTGTATCTGATGCGGCCGAGTCAGAGCCGGTCTGTCTGCGCTGGCGCCGACCAGGTTGTGACGAGGAGACGGATGATATGGACGAGGGCGAAGTGGGCGAGAGGTGGTGGGCGACGCTTCCCTGGGACGAGGAGGTAGAGCCTCGTGCGCGGGGCATCCATGTAGCCGATGCAGGAGCCGGGGCATCTTCATCGTTGAGTTGCGCCTCGTCGTCGTTGACGTCGTCGTCGTTGGGCAGGATGGAGGCGAAGGCGAGCGGGCTGGAGAAAGAAGGGGCGGTGTCGAACGACATTCTTTTGGAGGAGCTTCGGCCGAGAGCCTTGTAGGCGGCTGCAGAGGGAGGGCTGAGGGAGAAGCCGGGCGAGGAGGTGGTCAGAGACGCACAAGCTGCGGGAGGCGAAGTGCTGGCATGGACGGACGACGCGGAGGCGGGTTGCTGAGAGGCGCCTTGCGAGTGTGATTGTTGTGATGGTTGCGGGGTCGAGGCTGTCGCGACCGGCTCAGCTGGTGTGGATGCGGATGCGGATGCGGAAGCGGTTGGGGGGCTGTGGTCGTCGGACGCGATGCGCGAATGCTTGAAGGAGCGGGTGGGAGAGGGCGACTGGTCGGATCGCGAGTGCTTGCCCGGTGCCGATGGGGGTGAGGTGGGCGAGGTGGAGGGTTGGAGCTGGTCGAGGGTGCTGCGGCGGCTGTGTGAAGCTGCTGCTTGGCTGAGCGACGAGGAAGGCGAAGGGCTCGGGCCAGTCGAGGACGGCGACGACTTTGGATCGTACGCCTCTGCGTCTCCGGCAAAAGACGAAGCGCCGAGTCGTGAGGGATCGCTGGCGCCAGGGCTGATCCTGGTGCGGTTGGCTGCGCTGAAAGGATCGGTAAAGTGGGTGGCCGAGACTGCGGTTGTGCAACGCGAGCAGCACCAATGTGGTCGAGAATGTGCAATGTGAGGGTGATGTGTAATCAAATCGCGACGAAGGGGGTGGGAATGGGATGGGGATGGGGATGAGGGAGGGATGGTGAGCGGGGCAGCGAGCCAGGGTCGAGAACGATGCCGATGCAGGCGGGGTGCACAGAAGACGCAAGCGAGCGGCCGTGTGCGAAATTGAGCGCACGCCAGCCAAAATGCGCCGGCAAAGGTTAGCGAGGTCGAGAGCGGATGCAGCGGCGGCGAGGAAGAGCGAGAGAAAGGCGAGGGCGCGTGGAGCGCGAAATTCGGCCAACGTGGAGGAATCGGACGACGTGCCGAACAGGCCGACCACAAGATCGGAGCGTAAAGCCAGGGTGGATGCCATGCACAGTTGATGCGTGTGAATGGAGAACGAGCAACGGAAGGTCATGAAGCCACGAGGAAGCCAGGCCGCCAAGCATGAAGCGAAGAAGACAAAGCGAGCGGCGTGAGAAAGGAGGGTGGAGAGCCGAGCGGGGCATGGCGAGCCAAATTGACACGGGCCGTTTGAGCGTGCATTAGCGACGGACGACAAGGGATGCGTTGACAGGCGCCACCAAGCGAGCAGATCCATCGTAACGAGGGCGACCAGCCACGTCCGAGCCATGGTGCCATGGTGCCATGGCATTGTCGTCGGCATACAGCCGCATCGATGTCGGGTCGGGTCAGTCCGTTGTGGGTGAGCGGGAGAGGTGGCAGAGCGAACAGGTGACCCACCAGCACGCCGAGGTGCAGCGAAATCAGAGAGCCGCGCGAATGCCGATGAAATTCGCGGGAGAGGGTAAATTGGGTGCGGAGTCGCAATCCCACCGAGACGCAGCAGACGCACGAGGCGGTCCACGCACGAGCACATCGCATCGCATTGCCGCAACGGCGAGCAGCAACGAAGCGATGTACCAGCATGGAGAGTCAAACGAGCAGAAAGAGACCGGGCGGGATGAGGTCGAGGTGTGGCGAGGCGTGCATGCAAAATGCGATGGCAAGCCGCAGAGAAGAAGAGTGAGCATGGCGGAGAGCCAACGCGCAAAAGGGTCGAGGCGCCACGAGAGGTCGGGGTCCGATCCGAGATGGATCATCATGCGTGGCCGGAAGAAGAGCCGCGAAGAGCAGAGCAAGCGAGTGATAAGGGGCGAAGAGTCGGAGGGGCGAGCGATGCAGCCACGCGAAGCACGTCAAAGCGCGGGAAGCCGGTCGGAGCCCCAATCGCATTGTGTGCACGACCCGGGGGTGGTTGTCAACAGATGTCGGAGATCCAGCAAGTCGGTGAGAGCCAAAGAGTCAAATGCCGTAGGAAGTCCGGGGAAGAGAGAGAGAGAGAGAAAGAGGATAGATCGTAGCGGGTCAGTTGGGAATGCTTCGTGGCTATCGTTGCTTGGCTTCCTCGCACCATCACTACGAGGCGAAGCTGGCGGGGGCGCACTTACCGAAGGTGTCGCTGCGTCTGGAGCTTCTGGCTGCAGGTGGTGGAGCTGCGCTGGATGATGGATCGGAAGTGGGAGCAGCCGAGGCGGATGTTGGGTGGGCGTCTTCCTCGAGCACATCAAACAGATCGCGGCTGCCGCGTTCGGCCAAGGAGCCATGGTGGGATGAGCTGCCGAGGGAGGATACGCGTGGGTTGCTCTGTCTGCGCGTGGTGTGGTCGATCGTCTCGTCGTCGAGATCAAAGATGCCGGCGGTGCTCGAGAGGCGCGAGGTGCGACGAAGGTCGGACGACGAGGCCTGCGAGCTGGCCGAGAGCGACGGCTGACGGCTGCCGTGATCGTCGGGCGTGTCTCCGGGCGGCGCGGGGCTGAACGAGGACATGGCGAAGCACGCGAGCGGGTGGAGAGGGATGCGCACGGGTGCGATGCGCCGAGAGGTAGGCAGCTCGCGCCGAGGTGTCTATGCGTGCTGCTCCATCCGCGGTGTTGATCTGAATATGAGGAGCCTCGTCGCGATGCAATAGGTCGAGAGTGAGTGGTCAGAGAGTGGAGACTGTGTGAAGATTGTGGGGAGAGGGGAGGGGGAACGGGAGAGAGGGAGGGCAAGGGTCGACGACGTAAGGTCGGGAGGAGGAGAGGGAGGCAGCGAGAGAGAAAGAGCAACACGCCTCGAGCTGGAAGCCCGCGCAGATTGGCAAGGTGAGGCTTGAACAAGACTTGTCGAGGCTGAGCCCGATGCCAAAGCCTTAGCGTGGATGAGTGTGGAGCGGCGCGGCGGATGCGGATGCAGCTTGGGAGGAGCTCGCTTAACGATGCCTTGCTTCCAAGTCGAGACGAGAGCTGCCAAGGGGTGTCACGCCCTAATCACCGTCGGCGCCGAATCCGTGCTCCTGCTAAAATTGGACGCCGCACACACCCTCTGCTTTGCTCTCAACGCGGTGGCAATCTTGGCAGGCCTGCTGTTGCTTGCTCTTGGCAGGCATCCTCTTGCAGGCCCAAGTGGTCGACGCTTGGGCTTTGCACTTGGGCTTGGCAGGGAGGGGCGGAGCTATCAAGAGGCAGGCGGATGTACCGAACTGCAAAGGCCAAAGCAGATCCGGCCCGGCTTGGCTTGCCCAGTGGGCCCGGCCGCTCAGGGTTTGGACCGTCCGTCCGCTGCTTCTCTTCATGCACCACCAACACATCAGAGCCGACGCGACGAAAATTTCAAAGTCAGACTGCGCCTAAAAATCGGCCGTTCGGCCTCCTCCCAGAGGACCCTGTTGTCCGGCGTCACGTTGAAAGCAAAAGCGCGAGCGAGCGAGGGGAAATGGAAGATGCGGCCGACACTTTGGCTCTGCTTTGCTAGTTCGCTTTGTTCATGCTTCGCTTGGCTCCAACGGCTTCGCCTCGCCAAAACCTCGACAAAGCTTCTCGAAGCGAGCTGCACTCTCGCATTGTGGCATCGTCTCGCGTTCTGCTCGCCGATCCCGATGTGGGGTAGGCGGCCTTGCCAAGCCGACGGGACGCGCTGCCATGCGTGGCGCACACACGACTCTTTTGCCAGGCGACCGCGCGCCTTGCAGCAAGGCATGCTCTTTCCATACGAACCGCATGTCGGCCATCTCTTGCATCGTGGCTTCGGCACGGATCCGCAAGTTTCACCCACTCTAACATTTTCGCAATTTCGCTCGGAAGAGAGCCTTGCATCAGCGTGGACACCTCCACGCCGTGCCTTCCTCCACCGCCAAGTGTCCATGCTTGCTGTCTTGCTACCACCGTGCTCAATCCCCATTTGATTCGACCATGGTTCGTCAAGAGGTGCTGGTGCTCGACATTGCATCCGATCCTTCGCTGGTGGCGCAGTACATCGACCACCATGCGCCGGGCAACGTTCCTCCCGCCGTGCTCGCCTCGATCCGCAGCGCGGGCATCCACAACATGCGCATCTTCAACTTTGCCGACCGCCTCGTGATGCTCATCGACGTCGATGACGATTTCGACTTTGCGAAAAAAGCCGCCTCGGACGGAGGCAATCCCGAGGTCGAAAAGTGGGAGCGACTCATGGAGAAGTTCCAACGCGAAATCCCAGACCCACACGGAAAACAGACGGACAAATGGAAACACACCCAACTCTGCTTCGACCTCTCCCAACACAAGTAACACCCCACTCAATGCGACGATTCGATCTAGAAATGTAGTATTGTATTATGGCGAAAGCCAGTGCAAAAGCGGTGGGTGATGGAGCTTATTCTACTTGACACGTTTGATGACCTGATCGTTGAGCCTGATGAGCGCCTGCTTGGCATCCGAGTCCGGCAGCACCTCGAGATGCTCATTGGCCCTCCTTGCATGCTCCTTGGCCAGCTCGGCAGTCCTCTGGATGCCGCGACTCCTCTCCACAAGTCGGAGCATCTTTTCCACATCCCCTTCGCCCTCGAACCTCCTTCCCACAAGCTCGTGGATACCCTCACCAGGTAGCTCCTGCCATGCATACAGCACGGGGGCAGTTGCCAATCCCAGCCGCAGATCCGCTCCACCCGAAGGCTTGCCAAACGCAGCCGAGGTCGACTGGAAGTCCAAAAGATCATCCACGAGCTGGAAGGCGATCCCCAGATTGCGGCCGTATCCGTACGCTGCGTCGCGAATCTGCCTCATCTCGTGCGCCGTCTTGCTATCCGCGCCGGCCTTGTGGATCGCATCGCCCCCGCAGCCGGCAAGGATGACCGAGGCACGTGTGGATTTGGCAATCAGCGCCGCCGTCTTGAGATACGTCTTTTGCAGGTACAGCGAAAAGTGCGCTGGCGTCGGCTGGTTCTCCGCTTTCCCTGCCGCTGAACCCTGCGCTTGGTCGGGGGAGAGACCCATGTTGTACGCCAAGACGCCCTCGGTATCCCACACGTGCGCATGCGAGCCCTTGGTCGCATCGCCCGCCTCGGCCGCCTGCGACTTGAGCTGCATCACCTCGCCCTCGACCAGGTTGGCAATCACCGTCGCGAGCAGTTCGACCACCTCGGCATCGCGTAGCCTCGCCAGCGCCACCGATGCGCGCCCGAGCAGGAAATCGCCGCCGAGGATGCTGAGCTTGTTGCCGAACGCCGAGGGTGCCGAGGGCGCACCGCGACGCAGCGGCGAGGCGTCGATCACGTCGTCGTGCAGCAGCGACGCCACGTGGATCATCTCGGTGATCTCCGCCAGTCGACGCTGCGTGGGCAAGATGGCTCCCGACGCCGACGCGAGCGCCTCCGCCGCCGCCCCACCATCCTGCGCCTCGGACGACGGAAGCGAGCCCTCGATGCTTTCCATGTGCGGGTTGAAGTCGTTCAGCACGCTGCCCGGCGACAGCGGCTCGTTGATGCCCATCTCGCGCTCGATCGACTTGCCCGTATCGGTGCGCGCCGACGACGCCTGTGCCTGCGCCAGCAGCTCCGGATACAGCGGCGAGAGTCCGTTGACCGCCTTGCTCATGAGCAGCACAATGAGCGGACGCACGTGCTTGCCCTCCGCCTGGAAGTAGTACTTGGCTATCGTGTCCAGGCTCGGATGGCCCGAGCCCAACAGCGACGACACGTTCGACCGCAGCGACGACAGCTCCGACGACACAAGCGACAGCGGGTCGTTGATGATCGGCGTCGATGCAGGCTTGGACGCGCTCGACGAGGATGAAGCAGATGGCGCTGCGCCAAAGAATGCAGCTGCTGATGTCGAGCCTGACGACGAAGACGATGACGCTGTTGGGTGCGAGGCGGATGACGAGGCGGGGAACTGGCCGAGCTGGTCCTGCACCAGGTTCTTGGCCTGGTCAATCGCGGCTGCCCAGCTCGACTGTGCGCGTGACCTAGCAGCCGACACCGACGCTGATGCCGTCGTCGTCGACGCACGCAGCGTTCTGGCGGCTAGAGTGCGGCTCCGGGGCACGCTCGAGAGCACCGAACGAGCGAGCGTTGGCGGCATGATTGAAGTCGCGTCGAGCTACGGTGGAGATGGACGTGGCACTGATCCGCCCACGGTGGTGGTTTCTGAGGAGAAAGGTCCGATGGAGTGGTTGTGGGCTGTTGACAGGGCTAAGTTAAGATTGGTCGGTTGCTGCCAACCCAAATGTGGAGATCGAGAGCAACTGTCGCTGCTGAGCTATCGCTATCCTCGCAAAATGAGAAGATCGTGCGCTCGCCGCGAAGAAGAAAACGCTCGCCTGGCGCGGCCCCGTATGTGTCCGAGCAAAAATCGCCGGATCAAGTCAGCCTTTCATTCCGCTTTCCGGAGGGCCATCCAAGCATTCCTTCGGCAGCGATTTTCCTTCGGAATGTCGGCCTACTTCGATGCAACACTTTCCTTATTATACAAAATCTTCTCGCGCGAGATGATGCTGGGGACTAGCGGGTCCGATTGGAGAGCGGGAAGGCGAAGGCTCTGCGAAAAAAGCAAAGGCGCTCTCGGAAGACTCAACTGCCTCCATCGAGCCGCCCGTCATCATCCGTATCACTCCAACACCGCTGCGTCCGATCCTCCTAGCGCGGCGCACGGCATCAGCATCCAGTACGAGATGAGATCGTCTGCCGTCCTCGACCTCGCACACACCGTAAGTTGCGCCGTCACCTACTCCAACTCTCGCATGCCCCCGGTATGACTGGATTCTGACCAGTCTCGTCTGGCATTTCTTCTCAACAGGCCCTCACACTCTCGCAAAGGAGGCTCGTCCGCGTCAAGCTCAGGAAGGAGGTGCCTGGTCTCGGTAGTGCCGGAAGCATTGTGCTGGTGCAGCCCGGTCGCATGCGCAACGTGCTGCTGCCCGCCTGCAAAGCCACGTACGAACCGCTCCCCACCCCCTTCCAGCTCTCGCTCAACAAGGTCAGCGCCGCGGCTGTAGAGGCGCAGCTCGAGACCGCACAGGCCGAGCTGAACCGTCAGCAGACGCGCGACGCCCTCTCCAAGGAGCTCGGTGCAATCCAGCTGCTCAGCCTGCGCAGGAAGCTCGAGGCGGTCCCGACTGTGGTGCTCTCGCGACCCACCACGACCAAGTACAAGCCGGCATCTGCCAGCGCTGCTGCTAGCGAAGGCTCCAGCTCTGTCGACGCCGACCTCCCGCGTCCGCCACTGACGATTCAGGGTAGCATTGCCGGTTCGGACATTGTCGCCTTCCTGCGCGAGAACGGCGCATTCGATCTCGAGACCGACTTTAGCCGCGACGCCAAGCCGGTGCAGCTCAACCGACTCACCGCGGCGCAGATCAACACGGCGTGTGAGTTTCAGCTGGTCAACGCAGCCAACAGCCCGGACGCAGACGCGATCGACAAGCTCGGACGCATCAAGAAGACGGGTCGATACACGCTGGTGGCACACATTCTGCCGTCGAACATCCGTGTCCGCATCCCCGTCGTGGTTCGTCCCAACGCCGCAAGCTACGTTGCATCCTCCGCCCAGGCGGCTGTAGCATCGCCTTCGATCGCAAGTATGGCTTCGCAGTCGCGCTCGTACGCCACATCGGCCACCCAAGCGCCCACGAGCATGGAGACCGCCATGCGCAGTAAGCTCGAGCAAGAGTTCGGACCGCAGGTCGAGGTCAACATCCGCAACGACTCGAGCAAGCACGCTCACCATGCCGCCATGGCGGCACAGGGAGGCGGCAATGGCGAAACGCACTTTTACGTGCACGTGGTGTCGGACAAGTTTGCCGGCATGCCGCAGATCAAGCGCCACAGAGCGGTCAATGCGCTGCTGGCTGGAGAGTTCGAGCGCGGTCTGCATGCGCTTAGTCTGAGGACAAAGACGTGGGCAGAGGAGAATCGAGTGCCCGCGGAAGGGCAACAGCAAGCAGAGAACAATGTGAGCATGTAACACCCACGGCAATCTCTCTCTCTCTCTCTCTCTCTCTCTCGCGCGCGCGCGCTCTTTGAACCCCGGGTCTTTTGTTCGGGCCATGTATTCTAGCTTTCCTCCCTCATGTTGGTCAAATTGTCCTTCCCCCAGAACAGCGCGCGCGAGAGAGAGAGAGAGATGTTGGCGCGTGCAAGTGGTTGAGGAGGATCTTCTTATTGACATGTCTTTTTCCTTTTACTAGATTGGTGATGGGAGTGAGTGTCCACGTGCACCCGAGGAGGGGTCTGGAAGTCTATGGACCGCTCCAGAGTCGTCATTGCACCCTACATCGCCGCTGGCAACAGGCGACATTTTGTCCGCCTTCTACACGCCGCCACCCAAACGGGCCAACGTATCTTCTGCACGCGCAACACCCTCGCAGCAGGCCAAGTTCTTCCGCCGCGTCACCAAGCACGATGCGCTCGAACCGAGCCAGCGACAGAACCAACTCAACCTCATCGGCGGCATCCTCGCCGGTGCAGCTGCAACGTACATGGTGCTCTTTGCCGACTTTGGTCAGGCCGGCGCAACCAACTGCTTCACAGACTTAAGACTTCTTGTTTGGGGCCCAGAGGGACCTCCCAAACTCTTCTAAATGCCAATATTCTCTTGCCTAGTGGAGGTGACGACGGATGGTTTTGAGTCGGTATGCCCAGAAGCGTTTGCGTACACTGTCGACGGTAATGAGTCGCTTGACCAGATGCTCGGCACGCTGTTCAGCATCGGGGGTAGCAGAAGTGATGCAGTCGAGACACCATTCGAGCGCACCGACGGGACTACGACCCATGATATCCACCGTGGCATCCGCCTCGGCCTCCTTTGGCGTCGACACGAGCGTCTCCACCCACGGCAGGGCTTCCGACATCGGCGTCCTCAGCTCGTGTGGGACGGAAGTGTGCAGGGCCCGGAGGTGGGTCCAGGCAGAGGCATTGTTGGGTGTGCCCAGGATGGATGCGCGCGCATACGCCTTTTCGAACGCAATCGTCTTGCGCACCTCCTCGATGCGCTCCTGGTCCACACTGATGTGTGCAGAGATGCCAAAGCGTGCAAAGCACACGTACCACCGATGGTTCCACGCCGAATTATTGCGCACATCCTCGCGCAGCAACTCGTCCACATAGTCCAACTCGCCCTCCCACAGCTGCGCAAACTGCGCCTTACCCGGTTCCTCCACCGCCTCTTCCACCGCCGTCGGGAGGGACAGCCCTCCAAAGTGCGCAAGGACCCACTGGCGATACGCCCAGGTATGGTAGTTCTTTGCATCGCGTGCGAGATTGTCGGCGCTAAACTGGAGTTCACTGCTAGGGTCGCCAAGGGCAGCCACGACGATGCGACGATGCTGCCAGACCTGGTAGCTCTTCATGTTGGCGTGCGCGAGGTTGTCGAGCCAGCCGAGCTCGGCACGCAGCACGCCTGCGCGCCCGCCGGGTAGCTTCTCGAGCTCGGGTGCGTACAGCAGGATGTTCGCCCGGTAGTGCCACACTGAAAAGTGGCTCGGGTTGAGCTGGATCAGATGTGCGGTCAGCGCGAGCCCGCGCGCGCTGAGCTCCATCCCCTCCAGGGGCACCGAGGTGGCGGGGGCGTTGGAAGCGACAAGTGCACGGTAGACGTCCATGGCACTGGAGTACTCGGCGTTGTACAGGATCGGACACATGGGCGATGACGACTCGGCCTGAGCAACGGGCGTCACGTCCGACCAGACGGCGGAGGTGGCATCGAAGGGGAGGTAGGGCGAGCACAGCTCGTCGAGCACCGAGCGAGGTGCGGTGTCGGTCATGTTTGGAGGGAAGGTGGTGGTGGGCTGCCAACCCTGTCCGCTGCTGTGTGGCTGCGTGGAAAGGCAAAGGCGAACGAGGCAGGAACAAAGGGAGCATGAGGGGCGCATTCCCACGGTGTCCAAAACCGCCTCCACGCCGATCCAACAAAGGGGACCCTGCGCTGTCAATCTAACAAAATTCGAAATTCGTGCGCCGTGTTGGATTCGCGCGAGTCGGAGCACGGCAGCAGAACAACACCTCAGCTTTGGCTCAGCTTTAGGCTGCACGTCTCTGGCTGCTCCTCACCTCCATCTTTCACCCCACGCCGCTACTCGAGATGACGTCTACACTGACTGCGCCCGCTGCATCCGCTGCGCCTACGAAGACTGCTGCATCGTCATCGAGCAGCGCCGCATCGGCAGCCGCCAGCACCGCAGCGCCCACCGACGCCAAGGCGGCGCTCGAGCCAGCGGACATCTCGTCGCCACACCAGCTGATCGACTGGGTCGACACAATGCTCGGCCAGCTCGAGACACGTTTCGACGACATGAACTCTCAAGTGTCTGCGCGCAGTAGGTGCCTCCCTTCTTCAACCTGCTCATATGCAACCTCGGCGCTGACACTTGGACTTTTGGCGGCACAGTGAACGAGATGAGCACGCGCATCGACGCGCTCGAAACCTCGATCCAAGGTAAGCCCCAATCCCTCACCCAATCGCATCGTAGCAAGCATCTTGCTCACACTCAGTGTTGTGCATGCAGACCTCATCCATGGCACCACTTCGCCCGTCGCAGCCACGCATTCGGACGCATGAACGCACGGTTTCCATTCCTCTTTCCCCCATCATGCGCGCGGCCGGGGTGGCACTCTGCGTCCACCCGTCTCTCTCGCCGCAACTGCGTGTGCATCACTGGCTTGCGCAGTGCGTTGTTGGCGGCGCCACCTCCTGCGCGCGAGCTCGGCATCGATCGTGGCGAGTGCGCACACGAACGCCTCGCGGCCGAGCCCAGGAGCGCCAGATTGGTCCTTGTCGCCCAGCTGCACGGCATAGTCCCACACCTGCGCCAGGAAGCGCGCTGGCAGCCGACTGCGCTTCCATACGCGCCGCACGCTCGTCGCACCCAACTCGTCCGCACTCGCGCCGGGGTCTGTATCGGCCGCGGCGGGTGGGGCGTCGGACTCGAACCAACCCCGTAGCGCGTGCACGCCGGCTGTGCGCGGCTGTTCGCGCAGCGTAGATGCATTCGAATCGCTCTCGTCCCTGCGCCTGTGCTTGCGGCGTTGGACCTGGTCGGCGAGTGTGGCTGTGAAGAGCGCGTCGTATCGCGCGCGTGCGCTTGCATCCGGCGTCTTCCACCATGCCGGCACCGCGGCTGCAGGGGCACGTTTGGGCGCGTCGGCGAGCTGCACGGCGCGCGTGGGCATCCAGCTCCCCACATCCGTGTGGCCTGGTCGCACGCTCAGATCCGAGTGCGTGCTGCCGCTACGACTCACGCCATACTGCTTGGACGGCGCGCCGTCGGCAAGTGACCTTGCACCCCCGGCGGCGGGTGTGGACGCTTTGAACAGCGGTAGTGCCGATGCAGCCGTGCCGATGAGCGAGCTCACCACCCCACCCGTGGCCGTGGATGCGGTAGCGGTGCGGTGTGGTGTGGTGGGTGGCCGCCCGCGTGCGGGGGGCGGTAATTGCACGTCGGTGCGCACGTCGGTCTCGAGCGTACGCCGCAGCTCGCTGCTCGCCTCGTCGCTCAGACTGATGCTCGTAAACACATTGCTGCCGCTCTTCTTGTGACTCGCGGTACTGGCTGTGCTGGATGTGTTGGGGGTGAGATTTGTGGCGCGCGGCGTTGAGGGTTTGTATGGTCGCGTTGGAGCTGCAGGCGGAGCGGATGTGGTTTCGGCGGCTGGACTTCCGAAGCGGAACGATTTGGCTGCGCCGTCTGGTGCGCTCCTCTGCGCGGCGGTGGGTCGCGGTGGAGGGACCGGCTTGAGCGGCTTCTTAGGAACCGATGGTGGCACCTCTCTCTTCGCACGCTCGCTTTGGCCCACCGTGGCACTTCTCGGTGGAAGCGCAGGTGGCGTGCGCTGTACATCCATCGTCGCCACGCCGCGCTTGAACCCCGGCGTATACGTGGCATACCCGACCGCCGGCTTGTCTTTCGTGACGGGCTGGAACTGGCCGAACTCGGTGAGCGTCGGACTGGGCGCCAGACTGGGCTGCGTGGGGCGCGGGGGAAGACGCGGGGTGGTGCTGGATGCCGAGGCGGTGGAGGAGGTGCTGCCCTTGCGCTCGGGCGAGCCGGACGTGCTGCGCGGCATGACGGCATGCGCAAACATGGGATGCGTGTGGTCCTGCTCGTCCAGGCTCGTATCCAGCATGTGCCGCGCCGCACGCTCGTCCGACAACAGCGACGATGCAGGACTAGCTGTACGCCGCAGCGCATCCGCGGAAGGGTCTTCGGCAAATAGCCCCACAATGGCGCGAGGTGCCATGGCCGGTGTCGATCGGCCTGATGCAGTTGCAGATGCCGAGGCGGCCGTGGAGTCGTCGTCCGCACCGGAGCGGCTGCGACTCGGCGGGACGGGGCTGTGAGCGCTGCGCGGAAGACTCTTGTTCATCAGCTCACGCAGGCTCAGTCCGCTGTCCGACTTTCGCAGCGTGCTGCCCGTAGCATACGAGGGTGAGGTGGAAGCTACGACTGCAGGCGATGGTGCACTTAGCATGCCGGATGCAGAGGTGGTAGGGATCGAGACTGTCGCCACGCGCGGCGAGGCGGGTGCATTAGCCGCCGAGAACGGGTTGTTGCTTGCTGTACCGGCGCGGTTGTGCGGTGTGGATGCGGAGCGTGCAATGGGATCCAGGCCGCCAGATGGACGTGCTGGTGTCTGAGGCGCGCGACGAGTGGCGGTGACCGGGCTGCCGGCATGCGTGACGCTGTTTTGCTCGAATGCCGCGAGCGCCGCACGAAAGTTGATGGGCTCCGAGTGGGCATCGTGCTCGTGCGCGAGTGATGCTGCGCTGCTGCCACTCGCCATGGTGTTGGCGGTGCAAAGGGTGCGGTCGTCGAATCAGGTTGGGAAAGCAATGTTCCAAGAAAGGTCCATGGCGTGTGCGGTGTCGAGTGTTTCAAGAGAGTGACAACATTCTAGAGCCGAATCGCAGTCTTCGAGGGAATGAAACGAGTGATGGAGGCGAGGTGACGGGCCAATGGTGGTGATGGTAGTGAGCGTGAATGACGGGCGCCGAGGGGTCGCGTGGCATTGGGCAGGCAGCGGGGCAGTCCTTCGCCGCCTCCAAAGGTGGAGGTTCGCCGCGCAATTTCACCCCCCCCCCCAAAACCCCGGCCTGATGGTCGATGCCCTTTCATCCCTTTACTTCGGTCACCATCTCCAACTCACTGCTGCATCTTTGCTTGAGCTCGACACGAGGGCACGTATGCTGACTATGCTTCTGTGCGCTGTATTTGTCCGTGTGTGGGGTATAGAATGGCAAATCGGCAGGACGATGAGAGACGCTATATCAAAAACACCACCAGCAGAAGCAGGAGGAGCACCACGATCAGGATCCACACACACCATCCGCCCAGACGCTCGTCCGAGATGCGCACCACCTCGTCCATCTTGCGCATCGCCTTGCCCAGCCGCCCCTGGCTCTGCTCCACCTCGCCATCAAACGCGTCGATGATCTCGATCTGCTCGCCGATCTCCTGCCCCATCATGCCCGCCTGGTTGCGCAGGCTGTTGAGTGTCGTGCCGATCTTGTCCAGCGTAGAGTCCTGCCGCGACATGAGAATCTGCGTGCATCGCAACATCACCAAGACTCAGGTCAATAAAGGCTTTCCTGCTTCGAGAAGCATGTCAACGAGGCAAACTTACCTGCTGCTGTTCACGCTCGAACGCCTCTGTCGCATCTTCGTCTTGGCCATCCACATCGATCTTGACCGAGTCGAATGCAGAACCACCGCGTCCACCGGGAGCTGTTCGACTGACCACTTTGGAAAGCGCCTTGATCTCGGCCTCGCATTCCTCGACGAACGCTTTGCGGCGGCGCAGTTCGTCGGGCGTCACGCCGAAACGCTCGGGCCCGCTGCGCTCCACCACCGCCACGCTCTGCTTGACATCCTCGACATCCTGCCGCAATCCTTCGATCGCATCCGAAAGCCGGTCGTACGCCGAGTCGATCTCGCTCGATGTGCGGCGCAAAGATGAGCCACCGCCTCCCGATGCACTCGATGAAGCGCTCCTCGCGACGAGCTGCCTGTACGATTCGCTCAACGAGCGCGCCGACGCCAGCGAGCTTTTGAGGTCCGATGCAAAGTCGTGGTAGGGATCGCGCGACATGTCGTGACTCGCTCGTGTCCAAGTGGCCTCACCTTCCAGATCGATGGGCTAGTGAATGCAAGAGCAAGGGCAAGGTGTTGCTCTTTCTGCCAAGTGGAGCCAAGGCGGGAAATCGCCAACACCGCCTCGCTGCAGCTGCATTTGAATCGGGAGCCCAATCGGGACACGGCTCACACTCAGCACGGACCCTGAAGCTCAGCCTCGCCTAGCCGTGCTGACCAACACCAACACCACCATCACCTTCCGACGTTCGTTGTTCCGGCTCCTCTCTTCAAAGCAGCACCATCGTCCTTCCATCTCTCTGCTGCTATGACTGCGACCTGAACACCTTTGTTTGTTGCATTCCATCCGTACTCTGTCCCGCTAATCCTATAGACCTTCCGCCATGTCCGTCACACTCCCCATCATCCACTTCAACGACGTCTACCGCGTGCGCCAGAACGACAAAAAGAGCGGCGGAACCATCGGCGCAGACCAGTTTGCCGCAAAGATCCAGTCCATCCGCGAGTCCTGGGGTGAGCCGTCCGATCTCGCCAACCTCCCCCCACCGCCGCCGTCCGACGGCGTTCGCGACTGGTCCGAGCATGCAACCGCGCGCGAGCGCAAAGGTCTCGTCCTCTTCAGTGGCGACCTCTATTCGCCCTCGGTAGAGTCGAGCGTCACCCGAGGCACCCACCTCGTACCCGTCATCAATGCCTTCAACCTCGACTGCGCCTGCCTCGGCAACCACGACTGGGACTTTGGCTATCCCCATCTCCAGACTCTCATGGCGCAGAACAACTTTCCCTGGCTCTTTTCCAACGTCGTGGACCGAACCAACGTTACCAACTCTGCCCAGGACAAGGAGGGTGACGGTGGCGGCAGCACAAACTGGGACGAGGACTTGTGCGACGACGATGCCCAGGTCGCCGGCACCTTGCGCTCCTGGACCACCACCGTACAGGGCGTCAAGGTCGGCTGCATCGGCATCGTCGAAAAGGAATGGATCGCCACCGTCCCCAACTTTCCGCACGGCCTCGTCTACCGCAACATGGCCAAGACCGCGCTCAAGCTCAGCCGGATCCTGCGTGATCCCGCAGGCGAGGCGTGCGAGCTTGTCATTGCCATCACCCACAGCCGGCTGCCCAACGACATTGACTTTGCCAACGAGGTCGGTGCGGTCGCCAACGCCGATGCCACCTCCCACGGCGTCGATCTCGTGCTCGGCGGTCACGACCACATCTACTACGTCGGCAACGGCGCAGCCCACTACGACGGCGACGCCTTCCAACGCGGCGAGCCAGGCACCGAAAACGACTCGGCTGCCATGGTCGTCAAGTCCGGCACCGACTTCCGCGACCTCTCCGAGCTCAAGCTCGAGCTCTCCGAGCGCGACGACGCTGCCGTACGCAAGCGCACCATCCGCAGCCTCAGCGTCAAGCGATACCGCACCCAGGCCTCCGACCCATCCCTGCCAGCGGTCAAGACGTTGCTCGACGACCTGCTTGCCAAGATCAGCAAATCGACCGGTCAGAGCGTCGCCTACACACTCACGCCCTGGGACGTGCGCAGCGAAAAGGTGCGCACCGACGAGTCGGCGTTTGGCAACTTTGTCGCCGACGTGCTCATGAACTCGTACGAGGAGGTGCTGCGCGAACGCGACAACCGCGGCGAGCTCAGCGAGCGCCGGCCGCCCAGTGCGCGCGAGGTCGACTGCTGCATCATCTGCGGCGGCAGCCTCCGCGGCGACCAGGTGTACGGCCCGGGCAAGATCGCGCTCTCGGACGTGCTCGAGATCCTGCCGTTCGAGGACGCCGTCGTGTGCAAGGAGCTCAAGGGACAGGACATTTGGGACGCGCTAGAGAACGGCCTGTCTGCTTGGCCCAAGCAGGAGGGCAGATTCCCGCAGGTCGCAGGCATGATGGTCAAGTGGGACTCCACCAAGCCGCCGGGCAAGAGGCTCGTCAGCGTCGAGCTGCTCGACAACCCGCTCGACACGCCCGCCTCGGCGCAGCCCAAGGATGCAAAGCACGGGGATGCCAAGCACGATGATGCCGATGTGGGCAAGCTGCGTCGCTTCTCGCTCACCGAGCTTCCCGGCGGCGGATACGATCTAGAGGTGCACAGGCCGGCGCTGGTGAGCAGAGGCGCGCTCGAGTTGGACAAGACGTACCGCGTGGTGACGCGCGAGTACCTCGCCGAAGGCTACGACGGCTTTGACGCGCTCAAGCGCGGCCGCTTTGTGGTGGACCACGAGAACGGTCAGCTCATGTCGGCGATTGTGCGCAAGTTCCTGCTGGGCGCCAGCTATCTGTGGCGCATGAAGCAGATCCGTCGGCTGCAGGACGGGCAGGGCACCGACGGCTCGGCGGCGCTGCCGGGGCCCGACGGACCAAAGGCCGAGGTTGAGGACGACAAGATGCGCGATGTGGATACGCTAAGTAAGCGCACGCGGATTGCGATCACGCGCGCGCGCTCGCTCAACCTGCTCAAGCGTGCCATCAAGCCGAGCACCCAAGCCGAGCTGCCCACGACGCCCGTCAAGCGCGGCCGTGCCGGATCGGCGGGCGAGTGGTGCATGGTGGTCGACCAGTCGCCCGGCGGCTTCCGCGACGCACTCCACATCGGCGGATCGGAACACCACTCGGCCTACGACTCGGTCTCGCGCCGCTTCAACGAGCCGCTCACCGCGCCACACTCGTCCGCGACATCAGCCGCCGCCGCAGTTGATGGTGTCAATGGGGTGGACACGGCGTCTCGTGCTGCCAAGCGCACGCGCACCGACGCCGCGCAGAACGGAGGTGGACACGACAGCGCGCTGTTTGATCCCACGCTCGCGTCGGGTCTGTTGACGCAGATCCGCGAGTTGCTGGCGCTCGTGTCGCGCGCAGCCGCGCAGGATGGACAGCTGTACACGGGCGACACCTCGGATCAGCCTGCGGCTGCAGCGCACGATGAGGTCGAGGGTGGCGATGCGGCGATTGCGCTGGGTGCGACTGCGGACGATGGCGACGACCATGCGGCGCTGGCACTGCTTGCGGCCGGTGCATCGCGCGCTCAGCGGGGCGAGCCGACTGCACTCGAGAGAGAGATCGTCTCGCGCGCCACGGCGTTGCGTGCAGCATTCAGCACGCTCGAGGAGGCTGCAAAGACGCTCCCCGGCGCAGCGGAGATGGGCATCACCGACCAGCGTCGTCTCATCGCTGCACTCGACAGCCTCGTCCAAAAGCAAAACACCGATCTGAAAAATCTCCCCCAAACCCATGCCGATCCCGCCAACAAGGAGGAGGGAGAAGCAAAGCCGAGGTTTGGCAAGGGGGCTGTGGCATCGAGCTCGTTCCACCTCGATCAGGGACAGATGGACCAGCTGCGTTCGGATATTAGTGCGGCGACGCAACCGCGTGCCGACGATATGAATCTTGCCTTTGTATCGCCACTGGTCGATGGACGACTTGTCGACATTGCACGCTCCACCTAAACCCCACACGCAGTCGTCAAAGCAAAGAAAATAGAATAGATTGCACGGTGGCGGTTCAGAGATAGAGGGAGGGGCTAAAGATGATGCTTCCTTCGCGCTCGAGCATTGCGAGTGTCTGCTCGAACTTTGTGGCGAGACCTTCGTTGCCAATGGCCTTGGCGGCTTGGACGAGTTGGCGGATGAGTTCCTGGAGTCTGCGCATGCATCGGATGATGCTCCCCTCAAAGACGTCCGTAAGCTTGCAGATTTCGGCAAACTTGGCTCCCTGACACCACTGCAACACCAGATCCATCAGCTCCACCTTGAACGACGACACATACTCCTCTTCGACCAGCTCCAACTTGGATTCGATCGACACCTTGGCGATGCGACGCGCGGTTTCCTGCATGATGCGCAGCGGAGCAGCCAGGTTTTCCGCAAGCCGCGTTTGGGTGGTGCTCTTCTCGCCGAATACAAAGCACGACAATAGCGCCGCACACTGCGCCGGTTCGAGGTCGTTGAAGACGCCGTTAAAGATCATCTCCGTCAGCAACAGTTCGTCGCCCGTACTGATCTCGCACGCCACGCGGCCCTTCTTCTCCACCACATCGTCGGCGGTCGTGAATCCCAGCCGACGCAGCACGCGCTTGCGGCACTTGAGCTCGTCGAGCTGCAACACCGAATGCGCCGCCGCGATCTTCTTGGCCACACCCTCGACCACCTCCTGTGCCTGCTGCTTTTGCGCATACGCCGCATACAGCTGCGGCAACGCCTTGTCCGTGCGCAGCGGCGACGCGGCCAGCTTCTCGTCGAGGATCTTGATCTTCTCCACCAGATGCGCAAACGCGTCGTCCTTGATCTTCATGTCCTTGATCGGATCCAGCAGCGGCACACCCTTGGCGAATCGCCGGCGCACCTCGACGAGGTTCTTGCGCACCGTCTCGCGCGGCTCGCTCGGACGCAGATCCTTGGCGAGGAAGATGCGGATGCCCGACAGCGCCTCGACCGTCGAGAGCAGAACGGGCACCACCACCATCTCGCCCTTCTTGCCCTCGGGGCACGGCACAAACGGCGCCGCCTCCTTGCCCTTCTTCTCGCCCGAGCCCGCCGCACAGTGCAGCAGCACGTCCACCACATACTGGCTCTGCGGCGGCGCGTTGGGGTCGATCGCCGGCGCGCGCTTGCCCGGCGTGTTGGGCAGCCGCTTCTCGTACGACACCACCGCGCCCCAGCCAAAGTCGAGCTCGTCATGGCACACCTTGACGAGCCGGCCCGGCTGCAGGAAGGGCAGCACGTACGACGGATGCGTCACCACCGCCTGCACATCCTTGCGCAGCGTCTCGAGCTGGTGCTTGACGTCGTAGTACTCGGCCACCTCGTCCTCCCTCTCGACCTTGACGCCGTCGCGCTCCTGCTCGGCAGCCTTGAGCTCCGCCTCGAGCGCCGGCACAGACGCGGCGTTCTGGAACTGGTAGAAGCAGCGCTCGAGCATGTACTCTGGCGAAATGCCTTCGACGCGCATGAGGTTGAGAATCATGTTGTAGCCTAGGTGGAACGCCGAGTTGAGCCGGTCCGCCTCGCCCTTGACCATGGTCTTGGCCGCACTCGGCTCGAGCTTCTCATCGAACATCATGATGACGATGCCGCGGTCATCAAGGCCTCGTCGACCGGCACGCCCGGACATCTGGATGAACTCGCCCGAGGTGAGGTTGCGGAACTCCTTGCCGTCCCACTTGTTGACCGCGGTGAAGACGACGGTCTTGGCGGGCATGTTGAGGCCGATGGAGAAGGTCTCGGTGGCAAAGAGCACCTTGATGAGGCCCTCTTGAAACAGAATCTCGATGACCTCCTTGAGGATGGGCAGCAGGCCGCCGTGGTGGATGCCGATGCCGCGGCGCAGGAGCGGCAGGATGTGCTCGATCTGGGGGAGGCCGCGGTCCTCCTCGGAGAGCGCGTTGATGGCGTTGGTGAAGACGGTCGACACCATCTCCTTTTCGTCTTCGGTGTTGAACTCGAGCTTGCTCATCTGGAGCGCCAGCGCCTCGCACTCGCGCTTGCTGAAGGCGAACACGATGACCGGGTTGTAGTTCTTGACCATGATCATCTTGACGATCTTGTAGATATCCGAGGGGCCCTTCTTGCCGCCGCCTCCGCCCTTCTTGACCTGGCCCTTGCGTTTTCCGCCGCCGGCGTTGGGATCCGCGACGTCCTCGCCCTTGGAGTCGGCGAGCGCACCCATGGCCTTTTGGAAGTTGTCCTCGCGGAAGGTGCCGCGCTCGTCGACGACGAGGTGGATGCCCTCGCCGCCCTGCGGGAAGAGGTAGTGCTGGAGCGGCGTGGGGCGGAAGTCGGTGTAGACGACGTGGCAGGGCTGTGCGTGGGTGTGTGCGATCCACTCTGCAAACTGCATGGCGTTGGGGATGGTCGCCGAGAGGAAGACGTAGCGCACCTTGCGCGGCAGGAGGATGATCGTCTCTTCCCACACCACGCCGCGCTCCTTGTCGCGCATGTAGTGGATCTCGTCAAAGACGACCCATGCGACCTCGCGCATGATCTCGGAGCCGCGGTAGAGCATGGAGCGCAAGATCTCGGTGGTCATCACGAGGCACGATGCCGAGGGGTTGATGGTGACGTCTCCGGTCATGAGGCCGACGTCGCCGAACTCTGCGGTGAGCTCACGGAACTTTTGGTTGGAGAGCGCCTTGATGGGCGAGGTGTAGACGACGCGCTGACCATTCTTGAGGCACTGTGCGATGGCGTATTCGGCGACGACGGTCTTGCCGGCCGAGGTGTGCGCCGAGACGAGCACCGACTCGTTGCGCTCGATGCACGAGACCGAGTTGCGCTGGAAGGGGTCGAGGGTGAATTTGTAGTGCTTTGCGGGAGGGTCGTTGGGCACATGCTGGGAGAGCGGCACGTAGGGGTAGTCGGGTGGCAATGCAACCTGGTGGCGCACCGAGTGTGTGACGTGCATCTTCTTCTCGGCGGCGTTAGTGGTGGCGAGGTCGGTGCTGGAGGAGCCGTCTGCGTTGTCCGCAGCAGCTGCATCGTTGGAGTCGGCAGGAGCCAGCCCGCCTTCCATGGGGATGGACTGGGTGGCCTCGTCTGTGAATTCGTCCGTGACGACGGTGGGGACGGGAGCCGGAGCGGGCTTGATAGGGCCGTCGCGTCGTTGGCGTTTGGACGGACCAGGAGCAGATGCGGCGTCGTCGGAAGACGAAACATCAGCGGCAGCGGCAGCCTGATCGTTCTTTGCGGCGCTGCCATTCTTTTGTTTGGTGATCGATGTGTCTTTGGAAGTGGAAGCCTCTGTGGACTTGGAAGCCTCGGCAGCAGCAGCGGCAGCCGCAGCCTTGGATCGCTTGCGCTGCTTCTTGGATGGCGAGGAGCCGGATGAGGTGGCTGGGCTGGGCGCTGCCTCTGCAGGCGCGAGGAAGTCGAAGAGGCCGTCTGGATCCATGATGGCTGGCCGGTGGAAGTGGTTGGAGGGGCGGAGGCAAGGTCTGCGATCGGCAAACCAGGGTCTCGTCTGCACTCGAGCTTGGCTGAGCTGCTCTTGCAAAAAGAAGCGCCGCTGCACGGCTCAAAAGAAACATTTTTTCGTGCAGCCAAAACTAACTCCACTCGAGACGGCTAAGTCGTGTCATGCTGACAAACAGTCCCAACGCTCAGTGACGGTCTAACACCTGTCAAATTTCGTGATCGACTGGCCACGCAACTCGCCTCAGCCAGCTCGGCTCAACGCAACACACGGGCCGCACCCTTCTCCACCTCTGTCCATCAATCTGCGCGTCGTCGCTACTTCATCCAACCTCGCCTTCTACGACCTTCCCAATCATCGCCAGCAGCACCGTATATATTGCAACATGAGCTCGACATCCAACACGCAGGCTGAGCCGAGCTATGCGCTCGTGCCGCCCAAGTATGCATCGAACACTTCGACTTCCTCGAATGCCTCCACCCGGCATCCCGTCTATGCGGGCGTGCACGACACCATGCGCCACGGCACCGCCAACGTACTCCACCAGGTCTCGACTGCGTCGCACCACCCCGTTCAGAACCGACTCGAGAACTGGGAGGCCACGCGCGACAACCTCAAGCTCACCATGCAGCGCAACGTGCACGGCCTCGGCGCACCTGCTCACATCCTCATGGAACGAAAGATCGCAAGCTACGTACGTCTCTACCCCCCCCCCCCCTTCTCCCCCAAACTCCAACACGGTATGATTTGACTGATTGTATTGTGGTCGATGGTTTGGCAGAATCCCGCATTTGATCCTACTACGAGCTCCAACTCCATCTCCAAGGTGCATCTCGACATCTTGAACGGCGATGATGAACGCATCGAGCCTCGCGACTTCTTGCCCTGTAAGTTCCACCTCCTTGCTGCTGCTCGATGTGGTTTGCAGATGTACTGACGCAGTGATGTTTGTGTATCAACAGCCGAAATCTCATCCACCATCCCAGACATGCACTCCGTCATGGAACGTCGTCTCGGCTTGTAAACAGCTAAGACACACATCCATGCTGCTGCTTTCTCAACTTGTACATTAGATCTCCAATCCATCTGATCCCACGCATCCTGCAGTCTGCGACACCGCCCGTTGATCGGTTCGAGAAAGGCAAAGTGCAGTCGCGTGCCCTGCCGCCAGTCGCTGCCTCCTGTTCTTTGGGCTCGGGTACCTCACAGCATCGAAAGCCGCTCCAGAGACCACCAATAAATTACGCTCTGCACGCAACCGTAGACTGCACCCACAACTGTAGTGCATTGCCTCACTGCCACACCCTTCGCACACTGACCGACCGCTCTTGGAAAGAGAGATGCTGCACATTGCAAAGCGCCACACGGCTACTTGGGAATGGGCATGCTGGTGAGGCCGCTCGGCGGCTGCTGGTAGCGCTTGGCCCAGTTCCAGCGCTCTTGGCGGTAGCGCAGCGTGGCCTCCTCGTTGCTGCGCGCGTGCGTGCTGCCCATCTTGGCCATGGCCTCGAGCAGCTCCAAAAAGGCGTCGCCCGTGTCCCACAGCCCGCTCTCGATGTGCTCGTTGTTGAACTCGGGCAGCAGCTCAAACGTCGCCGGCGTCTTCCACGACGGATTCTCGTCGCCGTACGTGTCGAGCCACGAGGCGCCCGCCACGTGCGCCTCGGCCGCCATCGCATACGCGTGCTGCGCAAACAGACGCAGATGGCGCGGCCACCGCACCGCACGCAGCGACGCATCCATCGTCTTGCCCACCTCGTTGCCCGTCTTTTCCTTCTCGCCCTCGCCCGCCCGCAGCGCACTCGCCGACGGCCCCTCCACCGGCTCCAGCGCCGCATCGCGCGCCCGATGCAGATCCAGCAGCCGCTTGGCCACGCCACCCGTCTCCCACAGCACCGCCATCGATGCCTTCATCGGATGCCGCGTGAATTGCGGACGCGGCAACAGCCGGCGCCCCTGGAAGTCGCGCCCCGCCACCCCGTCGTCCTCGCTCTCGGACTCGGGCGCCATGCTGCCTCCGGCGATCATCTCGAAATTGGAGCGCGCCTCGCCCTTGGGCATGAGCGTCGAGGCGATGCGCAGCGACTTGTCCGTCTTGGCCGTAGTGCGCTCGGGGAACAGGAAGAAGAAGGCCTGGATCGAGATGAAGAGGCGGTACATGAGCAGCGCCACAATGCGCGAGTGCACAAACGCCGCCACACGCAGCGGCATCTCGGGCCCTTCGTACGTCACCGAGCCGATGCGCTCCATCAGCCAGTCGAGCGTCGTCTCCATCTCGGTGATCGCGTGCTGCAGATCCGGCTCGGGCGAATGGCCGGTGCAGATGTCGGCGAGTGGCGTGTGCAGCAGCCGTGTTAGCCGGCCGTAGGTGCGGAAGATCAGATCGCGCGTCTGCGTCAGATAGCCGTTGGAGGCCGGGTGCACCTTGGGCGTCCAATTGGATCCGTGGTGAATAAAGTCGTCGGCACCGGCGGGCTCGAGCTCCATCGTGTATACGTCAAACTTGGGCACCTGAAGATCCGCCGTCTGCACCCAATACGCGGCGGTGAAGATGAGCGACACCTGCCTGCGGATCGCCTCGAGTTCGATAGGGTCCTTGATCATGGAGCGTGTATCGGCGGCGCGGGGAAGCGGAGCGCGCGGATCGTCGGCGCTGGTGGCGCCCGAGATCTCGATGGCCTTCTGCAGCACCTCGCGACCGTCCCAGGGCGTGTTCCAGCTTTCCGAATCGGGCTTGGCGTCGAGCTGGTGCAGTCGCCAGCAATAGGCGAGGCGGAAGAGCCACATTTTGCGCTGGACGAGGCCCTTGCTGCTCAGGCCATCCTCGCCGGCACCCATCTCGAGAAGCATGCCGGTGATGATGAGGCGCGGGTCGACGTCGCCGCTGCGGATCTTTTGGAGCATGAGGTCGTTGGCGAGCGTCCAGCTGCGTCGGGCAAACGAGAGCATCTGCTTGCGGTCGTCGCCCTCGAGCCTGCCGTAGTTGTTGGCGCAACGCAGCACCAGATCGCCCGCCTGCAGGTCGAGGTCCTCGATGTTCATGCTATCCGGGAGCAACAGCGCGCGGTGTGCCAGGAAGGCGAGCAGGGCGAGCAACACGTGCGCCGGCGGGTCGCGCCCACTCGAGCCTGGCGACGAGCCAAAGAGATAGCGGGAGGGGATCATCTTTTCGAACGAGTCGAGCGCCTCAAACTGCGAGATGGCGAGAGCGACAAAGGGACGGTCCTTTTCCGAGTAGTATGGCTTGAGGCGGTTGATGAGCATCGACTGGTCGTGGTAGCGCGTATCGCAATTGTCGGCTTCGGCGAACGAGAGTTTTGTGGCCGCGTTGAAGTAGTTGACGCTGCCATCCGACTGCGGCGATGCACCGGCGGGGAGGCTGCCGGAGCCCTGTGAGTGGGACGGCGAGGCGCCGTGACGGTTGACCTCGGTGGGAGAGGTGCCGGCCGAGTTTTGCGAACGGAGCAAGCTCGACACGCTGTTGGAGCGCGGATGGCTGGCACCGTCGGCGAGGGAGTCCCAGGCGCTGAGGGATGCCTTGCTGATGCGGTTGTCGGCGCTGCCAAAATAGTCGTAGGTGGCCTGTTTGAGGGGGCGCTCCTCGGTTCCCATGGGTCGAGACGAAGGACCTGGGACCATCGGCGGAGAAAAGGTGGAGCCGGAGGTGTTGGAGTCGGAATGGCGACCAGCAAAGGTATGGGAGCTAAAGTCGGACAAGGAGCTGCTCTCGTTGGATCCGCGGTGGTAGAGCTCGGGGCGACCGTAGGACGAGGAGGCTTGCGCAGCATGCACGCCGTTGGCCATCGAGGTGGGGTGCATGGCGGATGTAGGCACGTGGTGCTCGTAATGCGGACCGCCATTTTCGACGATGGGGGGAGGATGCATTTCTGGCCAGGGTGGTGCGAGCGCGGGCGAGGTAGTGGAGCTGGAGGCGGCGGACAAGCTGTCGAGCGAGGAGAAGGTGAAGGCGGGATCGTAGTTGGGGAGATGAGGAGCCGAGTTGGTATGCTGCGTCTCGTTGAGGCTGCGCTTCTGAGCTTCTATGTAGGCGGGACCGGCACTGGTGTGGCTGCGGGGAGCACCTACGCTGCCGGTGGACTCTGCGCCAAAGGCGGCAGCAAAGGCGGCCTTCTTACCCTTGGGACCACGAGGCTTGCGATTCCAGTCAAAGACGCAGAGTTCCTGTGCCTTTGCCTGCACGAGTGCCTCGTCGATGGTGCCATTCTGGAGAGTGGTGGCATTGATGGGCAGCATGGCTGTCTTGATGGTCGAGACACATCCTGAGCACGGGTTCTGACCGTCGCATTTGGATTTGCGTTTTCGGCAGGGCTCGCAGGCGGCCCAGATCTGTCGAGACGGGGAGAGAGATGCAGAGGAACGGAATGCGTGGTCAGCGCTGCAACTATGGAAAGCGGCACTGGTCTGCTCGCGGAGGGTGGGCGCGCCTGGATTTGTCCTCGATGCGATCAAAGTGCGGTATCAAGACGACTTACCCTCTTGCGTTTGTTGCCCGAGGCGTCGGTGGAGGCGTCTTCCATGGTGCTTTCTACCAAGCTGCTCATGGCTGCGGGCATGCTCAGGGTAGAGATGAGTGTTGCAGTGTGCGCGCGCTTAGGCCGGCGCTCGAATGCGGAGATGCGGAGAGACGAGCGAAAGCCGGGACGAACGGAGCCAGCGAGATGAGATCTGCGGCACTGGCAGAGACGAGAGAGTGGTTGTGCGAGACAAACAAGGGCGTTGCGGACCCTGTCGAGGAGAGTCCGCGCAAGCCTATGGCGGTGTGGGTTTGGTGCAGCAGGGTGTGAATCGTGGTGGATCTAAGCGGGTATGTATAGTCGCGGCGCTGTTATGAGCTTGCGACGATGGGCCGAGCCGTTGCAGTAAGACGAGAAGGCGTAAGTTTGGTGAGTCCGAGGTTGTAGAGATCGAAGCAAGACCAGACTGGCAGATGCGACTGGGGCGGATTTACGAGAGGCGGTGACCAGGGCGTGCTGAGCGGATGGTAGAGAGCGAGCAAGTGTTGGATGCGAGTGGGACCCGGTGAGCGCGGTGGTGAGCGCGTGCTTGGTGAAGAGTGACGGTGCCGATGGAACGAACCGGGGGATGTGGATGCGTGGGTGCGCGTGTGCGTGAGTGCGAGTATGAGAGTGTGTGAGAGCGATCGAGCAAAAAAAGACGAGAGGGATATCGCTGAACGGGGCGGGGCCGATGGCAGGGCACAACGGAAGGCAGCGAGCAACCTTGGCGAGCGAGCGAGCGAGCGAGAAAAGTGAAGCTGATGAGAAGAGCGGCCAGAAACTCGGATGGCTGGCTGGCGGGCCTAGAGGCACCAAGCGGCGGATGCAGACGCGTGCAGAAGGAGCAGCAGATGCAATCGAGTCGTCGCCGCTCACGCAGTTGGACGGTTTCGGCGGCCGGTCGAGTTACAGTAGGTAGAGAGGGAGAGAAGGAGAGGAAGAGGAAGAGTGCGGCGGGCGTGCCAAGGCGAGGCGACCCAAGGCAGTCAGAGGCGGGCGGACGGGCGAGCGGGCGAGCGGGCGGGCGAGCGTGGGAGCCACAGCGGCTGTTGAGCGCGGCTAGAGGGAGGTGTGAGAAGCCGTTTGCGAATCGTCGGAACAACCGCAGGGCAGCAGAGCAGCGGCTGTCACTCTGCCGTCACAATGGGCGTCTCGACGGAAGAGGGCCGCGCGGGAGGCGAGGGCAAGAGAGTGCCGACCAACTCAGGCAGGGCCGTTCAAGCAACACAAAAGCACGGGCGGAGGAGACGGAGACGGTGACGGCAGGGCACGAGAACGAGGCGAGCCCGCGCGGTCTGAAGCTCAACCAACGCGCACGCCGCGCACGGCGAGTGTGGCAGCCTGGAGGCGAGACGGCGCCTGATAAGATCGTCACGCGGGAGCCGTGCAAAGGCTGCGTCGAGGTGCCGAGCATGGGGACAGGCAAAGTGCCGCTGTCCAGTCGAACGTTGGGTTCGGAATTAGCGTCAAGAGCGAAGCGGAGCTGCCAATCCAAGGCTTCCAAGCTCGCTTCGAGAGGGCAAAAGACCGCACAACATGCAGGGACGGGCCAAAGTGCCACACACACGGCCTCGGACACCAGCCGCAGGATCATCCGTTCGCCCAATAGATTGGCTTCCAGACGCTGCCATTCCAACCAAGGATCGCCCACGCCATGTCACCACCCGTCGCCTGCCAGTCGGCACTCCTCTGCCGTCGTTGGTCGAGGCAAGCAAGAAAGCACGAAGCGATGGTGCAAAATTTGGTCTAGATTCCTGCATCCTCGCACGCACGCCGGCGCGGGAAGCAGCACTTCGGCACACACCGAGCCACGAGAGCGAGAGACTAGGTTGGAGCATCGGCACTGAATCGCCACGAGCACGATTCTAGAGCTCAGGTGCCTTCACCCACCTGCTTTTTCAAGGGTCGTCTTCAGGGTCTTCTGCACAGTGCCATTCCGCCGTGGTCCCTGTTTTTTCTTTTCTGCTTTTTTTCTTTTTCATTTTGAATTTTCGGTCATGCCCGCGGAGAAGCCAGGCTGCAGACAGGCACGGATGACACCTCGATGTGCTAGAGCCAAGGGCAGGACCGGAACCGCCGCAGATGAGCAGCCGCACCTGCGTCGTTGCAGGATCGACTTGTTGTATCTGGCGTTGCGGCGTGGCTGTTGGAGCGGACGCACGCCGATTCTGGCTGAGCAACCAACAATGCAACCTCACGCCAGCGTTTCTTGGTCTCTACGAAACCATTCTGACACGGTCAAGCGACGGCCGAAACCATCTCGTTAGGTCTCCAGCTATCCCCTCTGCCAGCCGACGCAATAGACCGCACAACTTTCACGCCGGCAAGCATGCACTCGGTCGCCTTGGGTGGCATGCGCGCCTGGCGTGGGCGTGAGCGTGAGCGTGAATGACACGCGCGCAATCCGCAGGTGGCGACCTCCCTCGACAATTCCGTCGGGGCGCCACGTTTTGAGCTGGCCAACACTGCCTCTTGCAGATGTGTGGTCTCGCTAGCGGTGTCGGGGCGGGTTGGCTTGTCTGATTCCTGCCTTTGCAGCTCGTTGCATCGACGCCGTGACACTGCACGCACACGCGCCATGCCACCCGCAACTCTACTTGCGGATGCCGATGACCCGATTGCGCTTGGTTCCGAGGTCAGGTCTCCAAGTTTGCATTGCATTGCGATGCGATGCCATGCGGTGCGCGGCGCGGCGCTGCGGCGTCGCGCTGCATCTCACTGCCTCTCCAGGCACTGCCCAACGCAAAGCGGCTTTGGCTGGCTGTTGAGAGCGTCGACTTTGGCCATCAAGACGGCAGCCGAGCAGCCGAGCAGCTCGCTTGAACAATTTCCCATCCACGCGATTCTGCGATTCTGACAGAGCGGCTTCTCTCCACACACACGCGCCACTCGATCCCGTGTTTCTCTTGTCCGCCGCTCCCATCAGCCTTGACCCTGCCTCGTCCTCTCGTTGCTCGGCGCGGGCAGGCTTTGGAGCTGCGATCAACAGACAAGCCGCGGCTGCCGCTGTCAAGTGTGTGCCCCCCTTGCGATCCTTAAATGCGATCTCCGCTCGCATCCACAACCTCGCCCCGCCTCACTCTGGCGCACAATGTGAAATACTGTAAATTACAATAAAAACAAAAAGAAAGTCCAAGATTTGGTCATGCAAAAGCGGGACGCCTCGTGCAGGTCAAGGCACACTCCGAGTCCTCTGCGGTGGCGCCACTGTGCCCAGCATCCCTTGCGCCGTTGTGCACGAGCAGCGATAGATTAAGGCTACAGCAACCTCGCTCGTCGGCGTCTAGAAGCCCCGATGGCGAAATCAATCTCAGCATCATCCCCCACCGCAGTTGCCCCACCATTCTCCGAGCGGGAGTGGGGCACCTGACCCACTTGACTCAGCCCGCCCATACCAACACACGCGCACATCAAAGCGCAAGATGGCATTCGCATTGCTTGACGCCCTCGCTGCTCCAGCAAAGATCGGCACCATGGCGGGCCTTAGATTTTAGTATTGGCCTAACCAGGACGAGGCCAAACCGTGCCGTCACCCCGGTCGTAGTCTGGCCCAGGGTACTCGTAGTGTGGCTTCTCCTCGTCCGAATCCTACCAGCCCCAGATCAACAAACAAATCACAGCGAACGTCAGTATGAGAGGCCTTAGAGATAGAGTCACGGAGGTGGGACGGCGCGGGGAGTGCACGTCATCAATCGGACGAGCGGACGAGCGGCTTTTGGCGAATGAGGCGCTGGGCTAGCATGAAACCAATTTGCGAGCGGAGCATCGGCGCATGCTTTACCACCATGCTCCGTCTTGAGCCCTGCCGCCCGTTCCAGACTTGATGACCAAATGCTCGTGGATATTCTGCGCAGGAACATGCGCCTTGGGCTGCGGCGGTTGGTGTTTACTTACCGGTTCGATGATCTGGCCGTCTCCTTCGTACGTCTCGTCGATGGGCTGCGACAGATCTTCGGTGGATCGCGTCGCTGATTTCGCCGTTTTGGCCGCACCCTTGCCGCCTACCTTCATGTCCTTCATGAGGCGCGCCAGCTGCTCCTTCTTGCTCGACTCGCGCTTGGCGTCGCGCTCCTTGGCGAGCCGTTCGAGTTGCGGTCGATAGTCGTCCAGATATTCCTGACGTGCCTCGTGCACGGCGTTCAAAAAGTCGTCCATCCCTTCGCCTGTCACGGAGGAAACTCCCACGGCCTACATTCCACAATATGGACGGGTCAGCATCTCTGCACCCTTCCTTGCTGGTACCACATTGGCCAAACTTACCCTGAGATTCTTGTAGAACTCGTCGAGGACAAGACTCATGCTGTTCATGAGACTGTTCATGTAGCCCTGGCTTCCCTCGGTATCCATGTCTCTTGCTGGTGCTCGAAGTCCATGCTGCGTGACAGTAGCCGAAGGATCCGTGGCGTTGCCCGCTGCCAGGGCCTCCTGGAACTTTTCGAAATCCTGCATCCACTCGAGCGCAAACTGGTGGTCCTGCACATCCGTCTTGTTGAACACCAGCACGAACGGCAGCTTGGTCTTGTACAGGATGCTGCAAGCGTAGAGCATGTTGCTCATGAACGTCGCCGGCGCCGTCGTCCTTGGCGTGTCGATGATGTACGCCACTACGGTTGGCATGGAGCTAGCCAGCGCATCTGTGACGATCGAACCCGATGCGGACCACGTAAAGATCTCGATCTGACCAGGTGTATCCAGCACGATATGATCAACCTCCTTGGCTCGCTTCTCCAGAATCCCAAGCACCTGATCGAACTTGGTGGTAAAGAGGTTGAGCGCAGTGAGGATACCACCGTTGGGACCGAGATTGTACTGCTCCATGACACGCGCATAGTCGACCGTATCGCGGATGTCCACATTGGGCTCGTATCCGAGCGTGCCCACCGCCGGATCGAGGTTCACCATGTACGGCGCAGTAGTGCGTGCAGACGACGAAGAAGCTGTAGGCTCTTGGTCCATGGCATCCTGTTGCTCCTGCGCCCTTTCGTGCAGGTGATCGTGCAGGCTTGCGGTAAACGTCGACTTGCCCGAGCCCGCCATGCCGATCACGATGATCGAGCTCGCACGCGGGATGTCCGGCAGCAGCTCCAGATGCGTCGCAGCGCTTGCGGGCACCGGTGCCGCTTGCGGAGGTTTGAGTGTCGATGATGAGGCCATGGTGGATGCGCACTCGATGATGGTGGTGTTCGGACGAGCAACGTCAAAGAGCAGCCGACCAGAAAGCTCAGCCGCCGCGACTCTGAGCAAAAGAGCGGAAGCCGGAGATCTGTGCGGCCCCGTCGAGAAGAAAAAAATTCGGCTTCATGGCAAGTGGAGCAATTTCGGGCTCGGTTTGTTGCGGGACTCGGACGCGGTCTAACAGTTGGGAGCTTTCTCGCGGCCTGTCCTGCGCTGCGATGCACTGTGCTGTGCTGCGCAAGCGAGGAGAGAAGAAAGGAAGTTGGAAAAGAAAGGGGTCCGCAATGCCAACCTCCGAGACATGCTTGCTTGCTGCGTGTGAGAGAGGGTGTGATTGGCGCCATGACACGCACCAACCTAAAGTTAAGCGCAGCTACGCGCCTCCATCCATCCTCACTTCTTACCCTCAAGCTCACCACCCTCTCTCTTCCGCACTCTATATCCGCTAGCAGTTCCGCACCCGCATCGAGGACTCAGCAACTCGTCGAAACCTGCATACTCATCCATCCGACCTTGTACCACCTTCTCCATCCAAGCCATCTGGACACGCATCCACATCATACACCCAAGACGATCTCCACACTGCACGGCATCACGCGCTCGCTGGTAGAGCCCGCTTCGTCACTGCGTCAGCTTTTGCAATCTCGGACGAAGCGGAACAATTAAACCGTGCCGGGGCCGCTCGCCTGCTCGCTGAACCATGCCTCCCCGCACATCGGCACGCGGCACGCCAACGCCCCGGCGGTCGCCCAGGATCAGCGCGAGATCCGAGACACCCGAGGTCCGCAATGTCGCCACCCCGTCCACGCCACGCAGGCAGTTATCGCCCGAAATGTCGAGACAACTCAGCCCTGCCGGCGTCGGCTTCCAAGCTCGTCGGCCCTTGCCCAATCTGAGTGCGCTTGCCGGCGCATCCATGAGCACTTCCATCAAGCAAGAAGACGCGTCGACCAGCTACTACGTCCGCGAGGCCTCGGACCACAACGGCACAACCAGTCCAGCGCCCTACCAGTCGTCGCTGCTGCGTGGTGACCAGCGCGCCTTCAACGACCCGCGAGACGTGAGCCACTCGCACAGCGCCTCGCTCTCCATCTTCTCCAGCGGCAGCAGCGACCGCACCGACTACCAGCAGGAGGAGCGCGAGGTGGCCCGCATGCAGACCAACGGCAGCCGCGTACAGCCGCCAGTGCAGGTGCAGCCCGTCGTCACACGCAGAGTCTCGGCACAGCGAAAGGCACGCACCTCGCTCGACGACAGGCCTTACCGACCGGGCAGCGAAGACGACGACGATGACGACGACCCCGGCTCGCCCACCCGGCGCAGGCGCAAGGGCAGGAACTCGGGCTCCGTCTCGGCGTATGACCAGGGCAAGATCGATAACCTGCGCTGGAGGAACACCACCGCAAAGGGCACCACAAAAAAGAGCCGCGAACGCACCAGCCTCAACTCTCAGTCGGCCGAGCACGACGCCAACAGCGGCTCCGACGACGGCCAAGATGACGACGACGACGACGCTGGCGCCGCTAGCGGCAAGGAGACTCGCTTCGACGGCGCATCCGACGAGGAAATCGACGAGCCGGTTGCGTTGGTGGCCGGCAAGCCCGCTGAGGCCACTCGCCCTCAGGACGCGCAGCCCAAGCCATCCTCACTCCCCGTCCGGCTGGCGGTGGGCGTTTGCAGGCTGGTGACGCGCATTCTCGGTGCGTTACTCAGCTTGCTGCTGTGGCTGCCCCTTGTCGCTGGTCGCAAGCTGTGGCGTGCGGTCGCGACAAGCTCGTGGAAGGATCTCCTTGCCAATCTTGCTCTTCTGCTCACCATCGGCGTGGCCATCTTGGTCGCGTATGGCTTCGGATCCGGTGGTATCGAGAGACCCAATTTGCGATTCCCCTCCATCTCTCCATCGTATTCCGTCTCGGTGCCCTCTGACGGCGACTTTTCGCACCGGAACTCGCTGCTGGATCGCGAGAACCGGCGACTGCGTGCGGACCTGCAGCATCTGACCAGCCGGCTGGACGAACTGTCGTCGTCGATCGAGTCGCGAATCTCGTCGCGTCTGCAGACGGCATCGGCCAAGATCGTAGCGGATGCCGAGGCCCGCAAGGACGCCGAGCTGTCGCGTCTCACGGCGTCGACCAAGCGTCAAGTGTCGCGTCTGGCGCAGGACGAGCTGCGATCGATCCAAGAGAGCGTGTCGAACAATGTGGAGAGCATGCTGCGCGATCTGGACCGCAAGATCGACGGCCAGCTCAAGCGGCGTGCGGACGATACCGAGGGCAAGTTCTTTGCGCAGCTCGAGCGCGAGGTGGGCAAGATTGCAAAGTACGCCAACGACGAGGTGAACGCCAAGCTGGCGCAGTCTTTCGATCAGACGTTCCTCAGCGAGCTCATTGAGGATCGGCTCGAGCGGTATTCGCGCGATCGCACGGGGCGGGTGGACTGGGCCGCGGTGACGAGCGGAGCATGGGTGGGTGAACAGGGCACCGTGCATCGAGGATACAGATACAACAGCGTATGGAACCTCAAGGCATACCTGGCGCAGGGGCGAAAGGTTCCCATTGGAGAACCGGTCAAGGCGATTACCCCGGGAGCAGGATTGGGGGCGGATAATTGTTGGATGACGGGCTGGAACTCGATGATCGACGTGAATCTTGCGGCGCCCAAGGTGGTGGACGAGGTGGTTTTGGAGCATCCGCTTCCGGGCATGGCACGCACTGCTCCTCGCCGCGTCATTGTATGGGCTACAGTGGACGAGTCGGATCACGACTACTATCGGCAGTATCGACGAAAGCTTGCACCGACGTCGCGCGAGTACTTTGCTCAAGTGCTTCCGGAGCCGTTCCTGTCTGCTGTGCCTGCCGAGTATGCCGACGAGGCGCCGCTGCTGCTGGCGTGGTTCGAGTACAGAGCAGACGGCAACACGCTGCAGACATTTAATCTGACGGACGAAGCAAAGTCGTACCCGTACGGAGTCGAGGCTACGCGCTGGCAGTTCATCGATGGCTGGGCACGAAATCCGCCGCTGTGCATCCACAGACTCAGGGTGCATGGCGAGCAGTGGCCCCTCTTCGCACAGCAGTCGGACTAGACCTAGATGCCCGCACCATCTGCTCAATTTCACACGTTCTTCTCAGTACCCTTCCTGTGTGAAGGAACAACGCATCCCTCTCACGGTAAGTCTGCGCAAGCACTGGATAAGGGAAAGGCAGATTCAATTTACGGCTTGTGAAGCAGTCCTGGGTGGTATCCGAGGACACGAAGTTGAAAACAAAGTGTATGGTTTGGACCCAAGCTTTAAAGCACCTCGTCGGCGTAGGGGAGCTTGTGGACGTCACCGACGGCCACGGTGGTTGGCTTGGACTTGAGCAGCTTCTCTGCGACCTTGGACAGCGATGCCGGCTTCACGGCGTCGAGGGCAGCAAAGGCGTTCTCGAGCGTAGCCACGCTGCCGGCCTCGAGCAGCTGGGCCGAGACGAGCTCGTGTGCAGCCGTGCGGTTCTCGAGCACGGTGGCGCGCTCGAACTTGGCCTTGGCGACAGCCGCCTTGATGGCCTCCTCCTTGAGACCACCGGCGACGTTCTTGAGCGCCTGAGCGACCTTGGATGCGGCCTGCTGGACCGAAGCCGAGGGCGCCGAGACGTGCGCGCCAAACACACCCGAGTCGGAGAAGGTGAGGTTGAAGGCAGCCGCACGAGCGCCGGGGATGGACTCGGCGATCTGCGAGAGCGGCGACACACCGTTGCTCCACTTGACCGACGACTCGCCGCCGAGCAGCGCACGCAGCACAGCGAGGTTGGCCGAAGCCTCGGCGTCCTTGTGGCCGGCACCCTCGAAGCCGACGAAGAAGTGGCCGTGGGCGGCGCGCGTGTTCTCGGCGCCGTGAGGGGCGGCGAAGGCTACGCGCTGCTCACCACCAAAGTACTTTGCGGGCGTGGAGGAGACCGAGGCGGAGGCGGCGAGCTCGCCAAAGTGGGCCGAGACGAGCTGGTTGAGCTTGGCCGAGTCGATGCCCGAACCGAGCACGGCGATGTTGTCCTTGGCGAAGGCGGCGTGCGCAAAGTCGACGGTCTGGCGGTGGGTGATGGGCGAGGCGGGCGAGGCGAAGAGCGAGTGACCGAGGCTGCGTTGGCGGTAGGCGGTCTGGAGGAGGCTGTCGTAGCCCAGCACGGCGGGGTTGGACTGCGCCTGGGCGTACTCGGCCTGCACCTGGGGGAGCACCTCCTCGTTGAACTCGTGCGCAGCGAACTTGGACTTGGAGAGGACGTCGCCGAGGGCCTCGACGAAGAACTCCTCATCGCCGCGCAGGAACTCGGCGGTGAGCAGCAGGTGCTCCTTGGTGAGGGCGGTGGAGAGGACACCGCCGTAGAACTCGGCCTCGCGGACGAGGCGCAGGGCGGAGCGCTTCTGGTTGGACTTGAAGAGGTAGTTCTTCAGCACGTGGGCGACACCAGGGGCGGACTCGTAGCGCGAACCGGCCTTGATGGCGACGGTGACGGTGGAGGTGAGGGCGCCGTCGTCAGCAGCGGCGGTCTTGACGCCGGCAGCATTGGCGGTGGTGAAGGCGCGCTGCTGGTTGGCGGCGGTGCGGAGCGCGGTGCGGACGGGCGCGGCGGAACGAGCGAACGACATGTCGACGGAGCCTCGGTGAGGAATAGGGGAGGAGGGGATGGACGAGTGACGGGAGTAGGAGTGTAGCGGTGAGAAGGGAGAACGACGACGAGCAGGCCGTCTCGACGCCGTCGTCCGGGCTGGAAGATTGGCTGGCGGGCGCTTCCTCTCGTTCGATAGAGGCAGCGCCGGCTGCGATTGACCCCCTCTTCGCCTTCTTAGCCAGGCAAGCACACAATTCGAGCTTTCCAATCCAACCCGCGCCGCACCGCACGCTCACTCTCGACCGAGAACAGACGCTTCTTCTCGCTGCCCTGGCGGAAGCGTGAGAGCGGTTGGATTTCAAAGCGACCGAAAGCGAGGAATTTGTTTTGGCCTCCGTTTGCACCGCGCGAATTTCAGCGGCTCTCAGCTTTCTATTCCGATCACGGAACCGTTCCAGCCCGAGAGCCAGTGCCAATTTCCAACTCTCGCTCAACCTCGCTTTGCAGCCCCGTACGAGAAGAGCTTTTAGCTAGAGGATCTGCACACAAGCGCACGCTCTAACAACTGTGATCTTGCGCAACGCGATTCGCGCGTCTCCTTGGGTTTAGGCGAAACGACAAGTCCGATACGCCTAACGCACTGTCTCTCTTGTGACTCTGGACAGCCAAAAGTGGGCATCAAGGTCGACGTCGCTGTCCCGGGGTACAGTATGCGAAGGATGACTTGGAACGGTCAGCACTAACCTCAATTTAGGATGGGCGAGCACCGGAGTGAACCACTGGACTTGCATTGGGGACGTCGACTCCAAAGGCATGGTGGATGGAGCAGCGGCCAGATGATGCGTGTGTGTGGCAAATGTGAATGCACGCATCGACGGCGCGCATACGAGGTGCAGCTGGCCTGCCTCGGCTCTCGCCAGCCGGCCAAATCACAGCTCGACTCGCTGCCTCTTTCTTTTTTGAAACTGCGCTGGACAGTGCCAAATTTCTTACATGAGGCTGCTCAGCGTGATGGCCTCGAGTGTTTTTGTGTTGGCCCAGGGAAGCGTGCTTGTCGTGCCATGCGGCGCTCGACAAGGCCGTGAATTCGACTTTTGAACCCTGAGCAACTCGCAACCACACCGCTTCCTCGAGATCAACCTCTGGCTCGCTTCTGTACAATCGAGCCATCGCTTCTTCGTCTCAGCTTTCCATCATCATCGGCCCGACCTACAACACAACGCTCCTTCTTCACGTCAAAGGGCAAGGGTCCCTTCCACCTGCTTGGTGTCATCACTTCTCACTTAAAAGCCGTCAACGCGCGTGACGTCGCCACATCCACTTTCCGGAAGCACAAGAGTCCCAGCTGCTCATCGGTCCGCCCGCCTTCTTGGCCAATATGACCGCATTCGCGAATGCCACCATCACGGCAACTGGGCTTGCCAAGCTCAATCAGACGCCGTTCTACTTTCAGGCGCAGCCCAGCGTCGTGCCCGGAATCTCGGATACCCACCTCTCCCTCGCGCTCCCCATCGTCATCTACTGGGTCACCTCGCTCTTCTACCACCTGCTCGACACACTCCAGCTCTCCTTCACAGAAAAGTACCGCTTGCATGAGCCTGAAGAGGTCACCAAGCGGAATCGCGTTGGCGTCACGCGCGTCGTCGTCATGGTCGTCGTCCAGCAGATCATCCAGACCGTCCTCGGCCTCCTCCTCCTCGATGACGACGTCGTAGGCCTCAAGCAGACCTTTGCCGACCATCCAGCCAAGATCACAAACATCGCCGCCTTCCTCCGCTCCTCCACCGCTACGCTCGTAGGCCCCTCGTTGCAGTCGAGCGTCACCAAGCTGCTCTTCGGAAGCCAGGATGCGCTCTCCGCCGCCTGGTGGCTCTACTGGTGGGGCATCCCCATCGCCCAGTTCTGGTTCGCCTTCTTCGTCATGGACGCTTGGCAATACATGCTGCATCGCCTCTTTCACGAAAGCCGCTTCCTCTACCGCCACTTCCACTCGCACCACCACCGCCTCTACGTGCCCTACGCCTTTGGCGCGCTCTACAACCACCCTGTCGAGGGTCTGCTGCTCGACTCGGGGGGCGCCGTCATCTCGCATGCCGCTTCCTTCATGACGCTGCGCCAGGGCATCCTTCTCTTCACCTTCTCCACGCTCAAGACCGTCGCAGACCATGGCGGATACGCCTTCCCCTGGTACCTCGATCCGCTCCACCTCCTCTTTCCCAATTGCGCAGAGTACCACGACGTGCACCACCAGATGACCGGCCTCCGCTACAACTACTCGCAGCCCTTCTTTGTGCACTTTGACGTGCTCTTTGGCACGCGCATCTCGGCGGAAAAGTTTCAAAAAATGAAGAAGCTCGCAGAGGCAAAGCGTGCAGCCGAAAAGCAGCAGGCGATATCCCACGCCAACGGCAACGGCACGGCGAACGGCAGCGTCAACGGCGCCGTGGCCGAGAAGAAGCTCGAAGGCAAGGATGCGTCTCCAGCCGAGATCGTGGCCAAGACCAACGACCCATTCACCACCAGCGACAACCAGTCGTATGCAGCCAAAGCAGGCTCTTCAACATAGCATCACGGCCACCCGTCCGTCGGTAATTGATACCCTCCCTCCTCGGTCCTTTCGAGACCAGCCAGATCCATGTAGAACACAATCCATCATTCGTGCGCCTCTGGAGATTCTCAATGTGTGCGGCTTTCGTCGTGTTGGCACTGCGCCTGTGTGCCGTGATGAGCTGAAAAGTGAAAGCCCAAATGCGAGGCGGTGGCACAACGCATGCAGGCAACGAGCAAATACGACCCGAGTGTAACTTTCGGCGCGTGGTGGAGCCAGTGAAATGCGTCAACTCCGCGGCGCGGAAGTCAACTCAGCCAGCCAGGCGACTCGCGACTGAGCGTTGGATTTTCTGTCAAAAGGCTTCGGCCGCTCGCTCACGAGCCATCCTCCTTCGCTCGAACGCACCTTCGTCTTCATCGTCCCCTCAATCCTACATATCCTTCGCTACAGTGGCAGGGAACCAACATGGCGGACTTTTCGACATCTCAGCCCGGTCAATCGGAACAAGCGCAACCAAGCACTAGCGTCATCAATGGAGCCTCAGCACAGTCCAATGGCGGCCCCTCTTCGGCACCCCTCACCGACTCCAACGGCAAGCACAGCAACGCCGACGACACAGATTCAGAGGCAGAGGATGCAGCTAATCCCGCGGACGACTACGACGACCCGCAGACCGAGGACGAGGCCGGCCCCTCGAGTGCGGCAGACCAGCCCGAGCCAGCCAACAATGGCATTACGCGGGGTATCGTCCAGTACGGCTCCGTGCGCGTCGACCACAGCGGTGCACCCAACGGTCAAGCGCCCGAATCTCCTACGGAGGAGATTCCGGACGACTCGGAGCTGCTCACCCACCATCCGGATACCGAAGAGGTGCTCGACCTGGGCCACCTCCGCCTGACCACCACCAAGCGTCTTGGACTGCAGCGCTTCGCACCCTCGCTCAAGCGTCTCTGTCTGCGCCAGAACCTGCTGACCAAGATCCGCACCAAGGACATCGGCGTCCTGACCGAGCTCGAGGATTTGGACTTGTACGACAACAGCATCGAGAAGATCTCGGGACTCGATGAGCTTACCAAGCTCGAGTCGCTCGATCTGTCGTTCAACAACATCCACCACATCAGCAACGTGTCGCATCTGGGCGAGTGCAAGACCATCTACTTTGTGCAGAACAAGATCTCGCGCGTGCGTCCAGACGATCTGCAGGGCGCCATCGCGCACTCGCTCGAGTCGCTCGAACTCGGAGGCAACCGTCTGCGCTCGATCGAAAACATCGGCCACCTCACCAACCTCACCCAGCTCTGGCTGGGCAAGAACAAGATCACCTCGCTCGAGGGTATTTCGACGCTGACGAACCTGCGCGTGCTCAGCATCCAGTCCAATCGCATCACCAAGCTCCAAGGCCTCGAAAAGCTCGTCAACCTCCAAGAGCTCTACCTCTCCCACAATGGCCTTACCAAAATTGAGGGCCTCGAGAACAACACGAAGCTCACAACGCTCGATATCGGCGCCAACATGATCGAGAGGATCGAGAATGTAGCCCACCTCAACCAGCTCGAGGAGTTCTGGGCCAACGACAACCGGATCGAGGATCTCAACGATGTCGACCGCCAGCTCGGGCCGAACAACATGCCCAACCTCGAGACGGTGTATCTCGAGGGCAATCCGGCGCAAAAGAAAGAGGGCCCCGCGTATAGGAGGAAGCTCCGATTGCTCCTGCCCCAGATCAAGCAGATTGACGCCACCTTCATCCGCTGAACCCAGGCCAGACTCGATACCACGCAATCTGGCCCGGCGCACCCACTCGCTCATCTTTTGTACCCTGCATCCTGCACCGCATGTTCAGGATCCTTCTTTATCACTTCGCTCTTTGCATGGATGATTGCAGCATTCGATCTGTTGGATGTGTGGTTTGAACGAGGCGCTACAGCTTTGAAGGACAAGCCTCCACATGGATATGCGGGGTTCGGTGAGGTGATTTTTAGGCGCGCGCGCGAGAGAGACATGGAGCCACTCAACCTTTCCTGCTGCGCATTCTTATGCACCTCCATGTGCTCTGCGACGCTACGATGTCTTCACTGTGCCTAGGCTGTTCGTCTACGATCCCAGCCAATGTCAAGGCGGCGGCAGTATACGTGCACGGGTGCTGTGGTCGCCAAGTATGCGCCGCATGCTTGGATCGCAATGCAAGGCTCGCCACCTTCTGTCCGATGTGCGAAGATGCACATGCGGCGTTTCGCAAGGGCCCGCGAAGCGACGTAACTCGTGCAGGCCAGGTCGTGTTCGATGCCGAATCGGCACTAGCTCAAGACGAGGACGTCGCACCACCACCGTATACCGAGTCTGGACGCCAAGACCCGCCAGCATCCGCGTTTGTTCTGGAGGATGGTGAGGATTCGCTGCGAAAGGTAGCGTCAAGTAGCGAGAGTGCCAGCGCGAGCGAAAGGCGCAAGGCGACGCCGGCTCTGCTGAGGCAGGCGTCCAAGGCAAGCGCAGAGGCTGAACTCGATACCGCCCCACAACAAGCCAACGCCAGGGAAGGTGCGGACTCAGATGTGCAGACGGACTCGCTCGTGGCGCATCGGCGCAAGGTCGATCCGCACGATCCGCACGAAGCATCGCCCTCCGATCCCACCTCCTCGCGCAGGGGCGATGGCGAGACACGACAGTACTGGCTGCGCAAGACCGACACGCTGGCGGCGATCGCGATCCGCTTCGGCGTGTCGACGCACGAGTTGTGTCTGCTCAATGCGCTTCCGCGCGCCGTCCTCTCGACGTCGCCGCATCTCCTGCATACGCGCGCGTTCATCCTCATCCCCGCCCACGCTGTCGATCAGCAACTCGCCGCAAATCCAGAGCTGGCAGCTTCACTACAGGGCCCACCGCTGCGGTCTGCGCGCGAAAAGACCGCCGCGGCCAGACGCAATGCGCAGGCCAAGTTCCGCGCCACCCTCGCGCGCAACGCCGCCTCCTCGAGCAAGACCACCGACGATGCGCCGCCGGACGATAGGGCGGCGCGCGCGTACGTCGCGCTGGCCGAAGACGAGTTTCGCCTGCTCGATTTTGGCGAGGGAATCGATCCTGATGGGCTTGCGCTCCCGTACGACGGCGACGAGGCCGAGGATGGCATGCTCGACGCGGCACGTGCGCGCAGATTCGATGCCGTGCTCACGCATGCGCTCGCACGCTGGCATATGGACTCGGTCTGGGAACGAGAACAGCGCGCAAACGGTCTGGATCCTTCGTCCGTGCGTGCGCCTGCACCCACACTGCCTCCTGAACCCGTAGAGAAGGACGGCGCCAGCACAAGCGCCGTCGGGCGCTGGTTTGCACGCGCGCTCAACGCCGAAGCATCCGACACACAGCGAGGTGAGCATAAGTCGCGATCGCCACGCCATGTAGTTGCGCTCTCGAGCTCAGTCAAGTTGCCTACCCATCTGACGCAGACGTACGCGGCGCACAGGGGTCCGGTCAACGTAGTGCGCTATAACTCGCTCGGACGCTACCTGCTGACGGGCGGTTCGGATCGGGCGATTCGGCTGTGGAACGCCAGTCAGGCGGCGGAGCAGGCGATCAAGACGTATGCGCAGCACAGCTACGAGGTGCATGCGCTCGACATTGCGCGCGACAACACGCGCTTCGCCTCGGGCGGCGCCGACAAGTCGGTGTACGTCTGGGACGTGGCCACGGGCAGCGTGCTGCGCCGGTTCGACGGGTTCGCAGGCCGCGTCAACGATGTGCGCTTTGGCGGCAGAGACGACGATGGGAGCGTGCTGGCGGTGGGTGGGTTCGATGGCGTCGTGCGGGTTTTCGACCTGCGTGCACAGGGTGCGTGGCGACCGATCGTCGAGATGGCCGAGGCAAAGGACGCGGTGACGTCGCTCAGCGTGCGTGGCGACCGCATCTACTCGGGCTCGGTCGACGGTGTGCTGAGGTGCTACGATTTGCGCGCCGGTGAGCTTCGGGCGGACACCCTGCCGGCGCCCATCACGTCGGTGTGTCCGTCGCGGCTGGATAAGTCGGTGGTGGTGGCGACGCTCGACTCGACGGTGCGTCTGCTCGATACGCGCGACGGCTCGCGGCTGCAGACGTATTCAGGACACCAGCACGCCTCGCTCCGCTGCAGGGCGGCTCTCACCACGCAGGAAGACGGCGTGATTGCCGGCGACGAGCAGGGCAGTCTTTTGGGTTGGGACATGGTCTCGTCCGAACGCGTGCCCGTGGGACCCAAGCATGCGGCTGCGCACGCGAAACCCATCTTGTGGCTCGAAGCCAATCCCGATACCACGCTCACCTCGACCGAGATCGTCACGGCCTCCGCGGACGGCACAGTCAAGGTGTGGTCCACGCCTGGCCGTACGTGATCTCTGCTTCTGTCTCCCTTCGTTCCGCGCAATGCAACGACTCGTGAGGCTTCAGAGCTACGTTTTAAGCTCGGCATCCGTGCCAAGCCGCGTGTGCCGCCGACTTGTCAAGCTTCTGTAAGCTGGTGTGACACATCGCAAGGGTCGAGAAGATCGCTTCATTTCCATCTCTCTGGCCACGCGGAGGTGGAACTCAACTTTGTTGGGTCGACCCCACGCTTTCTGCGCAGACGGCCTGCCGAAGCTCGCATGCATACTCACCGAGGCTGTCCCCGCACCCGGCAAATTGAACCCGCGCAAACCCAGAGCCAGTGTGCGCCGCTTTGGTGCGGGGAACCTCGTTGTAATTGCCACCGGCGATGCCCCACCACGGACGTGATCAGCCGGAGAGAGTCCGCCCGGTGACCCACACAATCCCTACACGGCGCGGAAGGATGGCATGAATCTCACTCGAGCGCGTGGTCTTGCGAAAGAGGCTAACGCAAGAGTTTCGCCGAGTCTGTTCCGCCCCCCCCCCGCGCAGGAACGCGCGCTGCGGTTCGGATGGCCCGATCAGCGAGTTCGAGCAGAGTTGGCTCACCGCGAACCCGCCGTTTCGGTGGCAGCGAGTGGGGGAAGACGACTTTGTGGGAACGCCACGCGCCATCAAACGAGGACGAGGCGACTTGAACCGAGCTCGCTTGGCCGCAGTGTCTGATAACCAGCAAACGATGCGATCGCTCGATAGCGTCCAGCCGATCGCGATCTCGCCTGGTCGAATCGAGGGTGCGAAGAAGTCCAAGGCCCGAGAGTCTTTGGCATAAGGGCGACCGCCGTGGGCAGGCGGAGCAACCATGTGACGTACCGGAGCTCGCGAAACAAAGCGGGAAGCCACCTGGTGCGGACGCAGACAGGGCTTCGTGCCGAAGGCTGGAGCGGACGAGCCGATGCGGCACAGTTTCGGTGTCGAGTGCCGCACTCGTAGCCGACTTCGCCAAAGGAGCAGTTTCGGACCGCCCGACCTCGTGACGCACCGTGCTGGCGGCAGGCAAAGAAAGACGATTTTGACCGATTTGACAGATCCGCACCGCGGTCCACGCTGCCAAAGTGCAGCGAGCGCGCAAAATTCTCCGCGGTTGCAGCTGCCCAAGCTGAGTTGGAAATGTGGCATTCACCTTGACGTCGTCTTGCTTCGCTTCAGATTCGCACGCCTCGACGATCTATTCGTCTGAGAAGACCCACACGCCTGCCGCACCTCCAATCGCGGGAACAGATTCAACCAAGAAAGCACAAAGCACTGTATCCAGTGACTCTGCACTGCGTCGAAGGTTCGAGCAGAAAGAGGCGAGGTGGCAAGGGCAGGATCGAGGTGCAGGGACGAGTGGGTTGCGGAATGCGAGCGCGGAGGATTTTCGGAGGATTAGGTCCTCGCTTGCCACTTTGCGCGCACCATCGTTTCGACGAGCTGCCGCAAAGATTAGCCGCGGATTTGGAAGCACGGCAGGCAGAACCGCACTCAGCATGGTCTTCGGCGAGATGGAGACGTCGGCCGGGGGGTTCGACGCTTCAGGCGAGCAAAGTCGAGCGGTCGACCAGCGTCTCGAACCTTGTTCTGCATCCTGGTTGCGTCGAATGCCGTCACCTCGCGACTCGATTCGCTCGAGGAGCGTGCTGATTGGTGGTGCAGCGGAACGATCCACGCCCACGCGCCGACCAACTCCGCAGAGAACGGCGCACCCATTGCGCAAGGACCTCCAAGGCTGCGCTCGACGACTTGATCATGAGATGCTCCACAGCCTATTCAGAGCGGACAGCTGTGCGCAATTTTATGAGCTACGTTGACCCTTCGGTGGGCCATTGTTCTCGGCAGTCAAGGCAAGGCGACGTTCTCAAGTCGGAGGAAAGCGCGGGAGGGATCGGTTGCGTGAGGTGTGAATTGCAGCAAGGCTCGCTTGCGGCATCAAGCCGAACTTGCTCCTTTTTTTTTGTTTTGGTGAGCGAGCAGCCGATGTTGAGCCCACAATTCATGCCTGCCAGTGTCACACTTGGCGGGTCTGTGTGTGCATTTCCCCCCACGCTGCCTTTGGCTGCCCCCAACATGGCTTGGCCAGCAGCACGGCAGCCTGTGTGGATGCTAGCGATTCCACGATTGGCTGTTGCCTGCGTCTGTTGCCCAACCCCGGCCCTCTGGCATGGTGCCATCGCATCATCGGACCGCAGCGCCTGCAGCAGCTTGAGCTTGCCCCGCTTTCCATTTGCGCCGTTTTCCTGTCGACTGGCCGCGGGGCATCATAGGCGCATCTCCGCTTGAATTGACCGACCGGTCGACCGACCATCGCCTTGCGAACATCGCCTGTTGCTCCCGCCTCTCCGTGGGTCCGCCAGAGTCTCGCCGCGCCATATCACTCATCCTGCGCCCACGCAAGTCCAGTGTGATATAAGTACCGCCTGCCGGTCGTAGGGTCTTCCGATTCGATTTCCTGCCCCAACGGTCGCTCCCCTATCCTTGTCCCCCATCACCAACGCTCTACTTGCAAAGCGGAGTCCTTGCTCAGATTGGAGCATTGCGCACGTTCCGAGTGGTGCTCGTCTCCTCTAATCCTCCCTTCCACGCACAAACATGGGTGGCGTCGCTGCCTCCTCCTCGCCCAACGGCGTCTCCGTCGGCGAGACCAAGCTGCTCTCCAAAGCCAATGTCCGACCCATCTTCTTCTGCGCCCTCGCCGTCGTCGGTGCCATCCTCTACGGCTATGACGGCACCTACTTCACCGGTATCCTCGAGATGAACCGCTTCAAGCGCGACTTTGGTGTTCTCAACGACCGCGGCGAATACTACATCCCTTCCAACGACCAGTCGCTCTACGCCTCGATCGTGCAGGCCGGTGAGGTCGTCGGCTCGCTCGTCGCCGCCCCTCTCGGTGACTACGTCGGTCGCCGCGGCGGTTTCTTCGGCGCATGTGCCCTCGTTACTCTCGGTGTGGTCCTCCAGCTCGTCACCATCGGCTCCAAGGCACTCCTCACCCTCGGCCGAGGTGTGCTCGGCGCCGGTGTCGGTGTCATCTCCAACTGCACGCCCCTCTACCTCTCCGAGATCGCACCCACCGCTATTCGAGGTGCCATCGTCTCGTCGTGGCAGCTCATGCTCGCCATCGGCCAGGTGATTGGTGCATGCATCGCCCAGGGCACCAAGGATATCGATTCCACCTGGTCCTACCGCATCCCGATCATTTTCAACCTCTTCTTCGTTGCCATCCTCGTCGGCGCCCAGTTCATCATCCCCGAGTCGCCCCGTTGGCTCATCCAGAAGAACCGTGACGAAAAGGCACTCGCTGCGCTCAAGCGCGTCAACAAGGGCCAGAACGACGACGTCCGCGACAAGGTCATCGCGCTCGAGTACAACTCGTTCCGTCAGGCGCGCCAGGACGAACTTGAGCTCTCGGGCGAGGGCGGCTGGGGCACCCTCTTCCGCGGTGTAGAACTGCGCAAGTTCATCTGCGTGCTCGGCATTCTCATCGGACAGCAGATCGGCGGTGTCCAGTTCATTTTCTCGTACACCGTCACCTTCATGACCGCCGTCGGTCTCAAGGACGCCTTCATCATCACCATCATCGTCGATGTCATCGAGGTCGTCGGTGTGCTCTGCTCCTTCCTGCTCGTCAACCGCTTCGGCCGCCGACCGCTCATTCTGTGGACCTCGGTGCCCATGTTCATCGCCCTCTTCGTCGTCGCAGGCATCGGCACCAAGGGTCTGCCGCCCCAGGGCGAGTCCCTCCCCTACCCGGGCGTCATCACCGTCACCCAGGGCCGTACGATCGCCGCCATGATCTGCATCTACGTCTTCTTTTTCAATCTTGCTTGGGGTCCTCTTGCTTGGGTAGTGGCGAGCGAGCTTGCAGTTGGCAAGAACCGCAGCAAGATCATGTCGGTCGGCACGGCATGCTTCTGGGTGATCGCCTGGGCCGTCACTTTCACCCTGCCGTACCTCTTCTACAATGCCGGTCTTGGCGCTCAGATTGGATGGATCTACGGTGTTGGCACTCTCATTGCCATGACCTTCGTCTACTTTTACATCCCCGAGACGTTCGGTCGCTCGCTCGAGGAGATCAACGAGATGCTCGAGGCCGATGTGCCCACGCGCAAGTGGACGACGTACATGACGCAGTCGGAGAGGCTCATGATCGACCAGAGCAGGCAGATGGACGATAACTCTGCGGCAAGCACCAACCCAACAGATCTTTCGCCCACTGCGTCGCTCGGCGACGACAAGAAGGGCGTGGACGCCAAGGGCTCTGGTGCCGCTTCGCAGGAGTCGAACCCCACGCGCCTTGGCACTTCCGACGTCGCCTAAAAGGCAACAAGTCGCTAGGAACTCTGAATCCGCATCGACAATGTCTCCCAGCATCCAAGCTTCCATGATAAGCTCGCAATTGTATTCTTAGCATCATTTCGTCTCGCAAGCATGTGTCCGTGTCACCAATGGCTTCGAGCAGTGTGTGGCGAGTTGACGTGTCTGGTGCGCAACGCTGACGCGTCGGGCTCCGCCGCCTTGAGTGTTGGCGAAAAGTTCTCCCTCGAGGATCAAGCACGATAATGCGAAAGTCCCTTCGCTAGGCGTCCTCGCAGCAGCAATAGCATGACAACAGCTGTATCACAGGCCGAGATTGATTGACATGAAATTGGGCATTGAGGAAGCTCAGTCAGAGTCGGAGTTGAGGTCCGCAGCAAAGCTTGCCAGCGACGACTTGAAGGATCTCTGTAGCAATGAGATTGAAAAGCAAAACTGTCAGTGGAATGCAGGTGGAGTGTGGTGCAGATTCGAGGCGGACTTACGCTTCGTAAGGGACCTTCGTCTTCGCTATCGTCGTCATCGTCGCTTGTCGAGCGGGCGGCAGTCTTCTTAGAGCTTCGTGATGCTGGAGCGGCGGCTTCGAAGTCGCTTTCATCGGAAGCGTTGCTGGCTTCGTCGTCGCTAATGGCTACGACGGTCGACTTGGTGCGCGACGCTCTGGTGGGTCGGGATCGGTCCGAGCTCATGACTGTGTTTTCCTGGAGGGCGGCGAGTTCGTCGGCGAACTCACGCTCTTCGCGGATCTTGCGTGCCTGCTCGACGGAGCCCTTGCCCGTCATGCCGAGCTCGCGCAGCACGCCCTGCACCACAGTGCACTGGCCGGCAAAGTCGGTCTCGGAAACGTCGGCGGCTTCGTACAGCTTCTTCCACTGCTTGCGTACGCCGCACTCGATCACGAGCTTCTTGAGACGCGCGAGGCGCTGCTCTGCCTCGCTCCCCCCCGACGAGCTTGCCTTCGCCTTGGCTTTCGGCGCTTTTGTCGTCGTGGAGGTCTTGGTCTTGGTCGGCTTGGACTTCTTGCGAGAACGAGAGGTGGAGGCATCGTCTTCGAGCTCGCTAAAGTCGGACAGCTCGGCCTGCGCATCACCCAAGTCCGAATCGTGTCCGTCCTCGCGCGAGGCGGAGGGCTCGGCTTCCTCGGCGTCCGACTCTTCCGAGGCAGGTTGCTTGCGTTTCGGCGCCGGCTTCGGTCGACTAGATGCAGACGCTGGGCGCGCTTTGGTGGATGAGGCTCGCGCGGAGGCCTTGGAAGCCTTGGCGGGCGAAGGAGAGCGCGACCGCGACGTGGAAGCGGCCTTCTCTCGCTCGGCAGTGACGCGATTGACCTGATCCTGCGTGGCGGCGCTGATGAACTTTTTCTTGCTCTCGAGGTCGACGCCAAAGTGCTCATTGAGCATGTTGCGGATGGTGCGCTTCGAGTACTCGCTGTATCATCGCAATCGCCGGTCAGCACTGCAAACTTAGGTGAGGAAGGCGGTGTAAAGTACTCACGCTACGGTGCCATTGTCGAAGGCTTCTTCGATGATGACGCGGACCTGCTCGGTGATCTCGGCATCGCTGGGAAGCGACATGGCTGACTATGCTCGCGATGGAGTCGATTGAGGTAGCGGTGAGGGGCGAGCGGACACTTGTGATGCTTTCTCGGGAAGAGTCCAGGCAGACAGTAGTTGGCCGAGAAGCAGCCTCGAATACTGACTCGCAGCAGAACCTCCGACAGCCGAAAGGGTCCAACAAGCAACACTTCGCGCTCAATCACACCCGGTCCCGATCCGCACAATCCGCACCTCCCACGGATCCATCCGCATGCCACACGGATTGGTCGTTCTTTTGCCACTCCAGTCAGGTCTCTGAGAGTCTCAGGTCAGCAGAGCTTACGCTGCTCAGCGTGTGAGCTTCAACCAGTCACAGCTTCCACCGTGAGAAGGAGGAGTCGAGTCGGCTCGTCCCCGATTGCAATTCTGACCCACGCGCACTTTTGACCGGATGGCCCGAGTCGCGTCGCGCTGCGCGTTAGCTGTACTAACATTCAATTCTGAATTTTTTGGACGCGGACGCAGGGCGCTCAGAGCAACACTCACACGCAACACCCGATCGGCTCCATACCTCCGCAGTTCACGAGCACCGAAGGATATCGTCTGCGCCTCCATCTCCACGAGAACCGTATACCCCTCATCCCCCCTCCGACATCGGCTTGCCTCACTTCCAACCATCGCACCCACAGCCTTCCGCAACCGCACACCACTCGACCTGATCGGCGGAGATCCCGACCCTCCTTTCTGCCCACCGCGTCGTAGCTTCTTCGGACAGCCTCCGAGGCTCACTCCTTGAGAATTCACTGCACCAGCATGTCAAGCGCACGTACATCCAGTGGGTCATCGCGGCCGCCCGTAGTTCCCGCCACACCCGTTGGCCGTTCTATGCGCAAGAAGAATCATCTCAACCTCAGCGCCAAGGCGTTTGACAAGATGTCTAAACGTCTCCTCTCCGTCGAAAAGTCGACAGGTCAATCCGCCATGTCCTCGTGGCGCACCTCGGATCCCAACGAGCCCCTGGCTGCTGCATCCGACCGCATCGAGGGCATCCCCGAGCTGGGTGAAGGTGGTCATAGGACAACAGCTTCCTACGTCATCGCCGAAGCCGACGAGAATGCGGTCAACGCGCCCGAAGTCAAGTCCACCACCGAGTATCACCTCCGCCGCTTCGGAAAAGCTCCCGTATCGCGAGGTCTGACACAAGGCGCTGGCAAAGGTCCCGACGGCGCAGCGCTCGCAGCAGCTGCTGCAAAGTCGCTCAAGGGCAAGGGTGTGGCCCCGGTCGACTCTTTTCTCAACGAAGGCAGCTTCGTCTTCAATCCGCTCAACAGACGAGTACCTCAACCCACTCCGCGAAAGGCAAAGACGCGCCACATCTCGTCCTCTAGCAACGCCGTATCCGCACGCGCACCCTCCAGCCAGCAACCCCTGTTCTCCGCCGCGTCAGTCCAAGAACCTGCGAAGCCTGCAACGAGGCAAGAGTCGCGGCCCGATCTAGTGGCACCCGTCGCCGTCGCCGGCACAAGTTCTGCAGCCGCGCCAGCCTCAGAGAACGAGGACCCTTCCTTCGTGCCGCTCAGCCTGGTCGACCGCGATCTTCAAGAGGCTCTCATCCTCGAGGACCTCCTCTACGTACTTCTCGGCATCGAGGGCCAGTACATCACCTACGCCTCCTCCTACGATCCCGAAGACGTGGCTCACCGGCTTCGCGGCGCCCAGTTCATCATCGACCCAGCCCTTGACGCCCCGCTCCGCGACCTCGTCGACCGCATCGTCCCATTCGCCACCGACTACACCGCCATCTATGCTTTCATCGAGACCGACTCGGGCCTGGAATATGGCACCGTCAATCACGCGCTCTGCTCAGCCATCCGCGACCTGCTCCATGACTACGAACTGCTGGTGGTCCAGCTCGAGCATCAGATGGCTTCGTCCGCCTCCTTCAGCCTGCAGAGGCTCTTTGTCTGGATTCAAGAGACCGCACGCACACTCGCTGCCGTTCGCGCACTCACCGACGAGATCGTCGGCATCTCTCACGCCGACCTCTTTGATGATGAGGACGACGACGATTCGTCCGACGGCGATGGCGCATCCGAAATCAGTGGTACCTCGGCGCTCGAGCGCGAGCGTAGGGCGCTGCTCGGTCTCGACGATCCCGAAGACGAGGGTGTCGAGGGCGGCATCGCAAAGGGAGGCGAGGTGCTGTCCATGCTCTGGGACCGCATCACACGCATGGGCGGCGACCCCAAGGCGCACGCGCTCTTTACCACGCTCTTCCAGCGCGCCTCGCAGCCTTATGCAGAGACGCTGGTCAAGTGGATCACTACGGGCGACCTTTCCGACACGTACGAAGAGTTCATGGTCATGGAAGACGCAAAGGTTACCCGGGCCGCCCTTGAGTCCGATCCAACCGACGAGTACTGGGAAACGCGCTACACCCTCCGCGACGAGACCACCATCGCAAAGCGAGAACGTCAGCGGCAGCTTGGCCTTGATCTGGATGCCGAGATCGAGGACGAGGAAGAGAACCCGCGAGGCTTTCTCACGGGAGGCGCCAAGATCCCGTCGTTCCTCGAACCGTGGAAGCACAAGATCCTCCTGGCGGGCAAGTACCTCAACGTCATTCGCGAATGCGGCCTCGAGGTGCCCTCCGACCCGGATGTTGCGCTCACTGACGCGGCCAGCAGCGACCAGCGAGTCGGCCGTGCGGCAAGGTCCGTCGCTGTGGTCATGAACGACGAGTCCTTCTTCCGTCGCATAGAGGCCGCTTACCAGCGCGCCAACTCTGCGCTGCTCAAGCTCTTGCTCGAGGACCAGCACATCCTCGAGCGTCTGCGCTCGCTCAAGCACTTTTTCTTCTTCTCCGAGTCCGACTTTCTCTCGTCGTTCTTGGAGCAGTCCGCCCACGAGCTTGCCAAGAAGGTCTCGCCCACCAAGACCAGAGAAACGGTGCAGCAGCGCCTCCAGACACATCTCGGTGCCGTGCTGGGATCCAGCAGCACGGTCGGCTTCGAAGATCCGTATCGCGAAGACGTCCGCATCGTGCTTGCGTCCGAGGGCGCATACGACCAGCTCAAGCGCATCGCCGAGACCAAGGGCGGCATCGAAGCGACCAAGCTCGCACAGGCAAATGCTGCGGCCGCGGCTGCCGCCGCAGCAGCAGCTGGAAGCTCGGGCAAGGAGACATTTGTTCCTTCGGTCAGCCTGCTGCAGTTTGATGTTGCAGTCAAGTTCCCCGTGTCGCTCGTCATCAGCCGCAAGAACATCCTGCGATACCAATTCGTCAGCCGCGGCCTGTTCCACCTCAAGACGCTCGAACGGTCGCTGTCCGAGCTGTGGCTTGACCACTCGTCCTCAGCGCTCTGGAAGCAACGCACCCATCCGGCACTGGAAAAGTGGAAGCAACGCCTCTTCCAGCTGCGCTCGCGCATGACGTTCTTCGTCGAGCAGCTTCTGGCATTCCAGATGATGGAGGTCGTGGAGCCCAACTACCAGGATCTGGAGCGCAAGCTGCGCAACGTCAAGACGGTCGACCAGCTGATGAAGGACCACTTTGCCTTCCTCAACACCACGCGCAAGGAGCTCATGTTTACCGACCTGCGCTACCTCGAGCTCCACTCGCAGCTGACCACGGTCATCAACGTGTTTGTCGAGAATAGGACGCGCTTCCAGGATCAGCTGCTGCTCGAGACGGAGCGGTGGAAGAAAGCGGGCGGCAAGAAGGGCGTCGCCCCAGACCCACCGCTGCAGGAGTCCACGCACGAGTTCTTGGCAAGGGTGCAGAAGCACTGGGAGAGATATGCCAAGACGTACAAGGACGTCGTCAACCTGCTCAGCACCACCGACAACCCGGCCGCACTCCCGCTCGCCTACCGCTTCCAGAGCTCCAATCTGTAGACTGTGAGGAAAAATCGAAAGCATTTCAGCGGCTCTTGCTTAGTCTGTTCGGCGATGAAGGCGAGGAGGACGAATTTTTGGCTTGAATATGTGAGATCGACGAGGTGCGGGGAAGTGGAGGCATGACAAGCATGACGCACGTCCCCGACGTTGAGGCGCTATCGACCTGTTCGCAACCATCAAGCCGTGCACGATGTGCCATGTCGGCCGCCGCATCAGCCTCGTCTCAGCAGCCGCGGCTTCCGGCCGAAATCCTCGTCGATATCATCGAGCTCGCCATCTTCACGTCGTCTCCCTGCCCCTTGGTGACTCCGAGCGTCTCGAGGAGCTCTGAAGAGCCGACATCGCCATTCGATCATCCGCTGCGCGCTGCGTATACATCAGCCTGGGCCTGGACAGGGCATCTTCTGCGCGTATCCAAGCTCTTCTGCTCAATCGCGCGACCATTTCTCCTACAGACGCTGACGCTCGATACAGACGCGGCCGGCAAAGCGTTCTTCGCCGAGCTGGCTGCACAGAAGGACCCAGTAGAGACGCTCAGAAGGGTGGAGAAGGCCTGGCTCGGGAATCTCTCTGCATTGGGGAGGAACGGATTGGATGTCAAGCCGAGGTCGCTCAAGCTAAGCGAAGCAGCGTGGTACGAGGAATGCCCTGGCGGCTTCGTCGTTGGGCACGCCTATGCTTCGAGGACGAAACCTACTACAAGGAGCAGCAAGGAACTAGACAGGAGCAGGACAAAGCCGAAGCAGTATCGCAGCGTGAGCGTGTACTGGGCAGAGGAGCAGCTCATCGAAGAGGTCAGCGACCCTGACAGGAGCAGCAGCGATGACGACTCTGCTGTAAGTGACGAAGATGCAGCTTTCGACGTAGATGGCACTCCACAAGGAGAACCGGACCGCTCTTTCACTTTGTCTACTCCGGCAGAACCAAGTCCCCTGACAGGAGCTAGCAGCAGTAGCACTCGGCGACACTCTCAGGGTGCAGGGTCTGTAGGCGACCCGCGGATCGACAGGCCGCACGAACCCGCATGGCAGACCCTGTACGCGCGCCAGCGTCGTCTTTCCCCGGTGCATTCGCGAGGTCAGCCCGGTCCACTAGCAGCATCGCTTCCGTCGGCTCGGATACCACAGCCCCTGATGGCTGCGACCGCAGCCGGGCCATCAGAAGACGATCTCGATCCATGGGATATGCAAGATGCCCAAGAGCGGTTAGCAGCTCTCGCGACTCAGCCCGTCGACTCTAGCGCCGTGCACCCAGAGGAGGCTACAGATGCTCCTATAGGCACCACCTCCCAGCCCCTCCCGGAGATCTCGACGAAAGCGGACATTGCCGCTTCGACGCTAGTGTCGTGCCAAGCATCGTTGCAAAAACGTCGGCGCGGACGGGAGATCTACGCGTACCACGTGTGTACAGCGACGCTCGAATCATGGATCACGCCGTTGTTCGCCTCGCTGCGCTCGCTGCGACTCATCACGCTGAGCTTCTACCCGGGCCACATTTTAGACGACGACAAGCTCGAGCATATGCTGCGGCGCATCCTGGCGGAGAACGCTAAGCTCGAGAGGTTGCTCATCCGAATCGTGCTCGATGCAGCCAGTGCAGGAAGCAGGATGCGCCGTTTCGAGCGTACCAAGACCATCGCAGGCGCAGCAGACAGGATCGGCGACGAAAGAATACGCGTCATGCTCCTCAATCCCAAAGTCGGAGAGGGCGAACTTGTCGCTCTACCAGAGCATAGACCTGGGGAGCACATTGGGACGTTGGATCCCCTCAGCAGAAGGGCGGTTACGCTGACCAAGGAGGCTTGGTGGTCGAGGGTGCTACAGCAGAATCACTGCGAGCGCGAGATGGGAGATGTCCGATGCCTCGAGGACGATGCGATGAGGCTGGAGAAGGACAGAGAGATGCGCGAGAGGAGACTCTCGAATTGGAAGATGTTCTTCCCTGCGCACCAGCATGGCAACCCGACCCACCTGGTCAACCTCATCCATCACGCCGATTCGTGGCCCGACCATCCCCATCCGCTCCCCTGATTCCCGAACCACTTTCCCGAAATAACGTTGATTGCCGCGACCATGCCGTAGATCTGCCCCTTGACGCTAGTTACCCACGCCTTGTCAATCGTTGGCGGCTAGTGAAGCGAGTTGCTGGCTAATGAAGCGAATGTTGGAGCGGAGTCCGGACTTCGGACGATGCTGGACCGATGGAAATGGATCCGATCTGAACGCCGGCAATCAATTCAGTGCGACTTCGGAGATCTTTGAGGCCGCTTGTTTGCGCCGTAAGAAGTAAGACCGAAAAGGATTTGCGAGCTTAAGGTTCAACGGCGGGCAAGGGGCGGCTCGGTAAGGTGTGGGCGTCTGCGATCGACGGCTGCAAAGACGGCAGGGTCCGGCGGCACCGCAAATGCATTTGCGGGGGAGTTTCATGCCGAGAAGGGGAGGTAGAGCGTGCAAGGTGTCCCTCGGAGCCACTCCAGAGCACAGGGTCTGGGGTCCGCGAAGCGAATGCGCCCGCAAGAGATTGCCGGCGCTAAATTTGGTGACGCGTTGCAGAGGCGGCACAAGATGGTGTCGGCAATCGAAGCCCTTCAGCTCCATGTACGCGAACGTCAGCGTGCTCCACCATGCGGAACGAGTGTCGGATATCTCTTCGGACATCTCGGCCGCGCATCCTTCACTGCAGAGGAGGGTTCAGGCCGTAGGCTGGTCATCCGCCGGGATGAAGTGCAAGGCCGGAGGAACCTGCGGAGCTTGCTGTCATGCAGAAGCGTATTGGTCTCAGCCCAGCTGTCAGGTAGCGAAGAAATGCGTTATGCTGCTACCCCGCGGGGCACCGCAGCATCAATACCCCGCATCCCTACTCCGCAGATCGTCTATATAACAGCTTGATGCTACAGATACAGGATGGTCTTGCTCATCAAACCCATAGCACCTCTCTCTCCTATACTCTCCCTTACTCCTAGCCTAAACTCCCCGCACTTTCAAGCGGAAATAGACACACAAAATGGTGTTCAACAAGGCGGCACTTCTTTCGGCGCTCAGCTTGGCAGGCGCTGTCCAGGCGGCACCCGCAGCGTCAGGGGGACTGCCTTGCGACCTGTACGCTTCGGGCAACACGCCGTGCGTGGCGGCACACAGCACTACGCGCTCGCTGTACTCGGCCTACAACGGTCCCCTCTACTCGGTCGTTCGTTCTTCGGACTCGCACACGACCAACATTGGTGTCCTCTCCACAGGTGGAGTTGCCAATGCTGCCACCCAGGACTCCTTCTGTGCCGGCACCACTTGCAAGATCAAGGTCATCTACGACCAGTCCGGCCGCGGTAACCACCTGAGCCTCGCGCCCCCGGGTGGTGCTGCGGGTGCAAACGTGCTCGCCGACGCCGCAGCTGCGCCCATCACAGTCTCGGGACACAAGGCTTACGGTGTCTACATTGCCCCAGGCATGGGCTACCGCAATGACAAGACCAACGGCGTCGCTACCGGAAACCAGGCCGAAGGAATGTACGCTGTGCTGGACGGGACGCATTATAACGACCAATGCTGTTTCGACTACGGCAATGCTGAGACGAGTGACACTGATACGGGTAACACGCATATGGAGGCCATCTACTTTGGCAGCAACACCTACTGGGGCTCTGGAGCTGGCTCAGGACCGTGGGTGATGGCCGATCTCGAGAACGGCCTCTTCTCGGGCTACAACCCCAAGCAGAACACGGGCGACCCGTCCATTTCGTCGCGCTTCGTTACGGCCATCGTCAAGGGCGACTCGAGCAACCTGTGGGCTCTCAAGAGCGGCAACTCGCAGTCGGGCGGTCTGACTACCGCATACTCTGGTCAGCGACCGGCAGGATACTATCCGATGAACAAGGAGGGCTCCATCATCCTTGGTATCGGCGGAGACAACAGCCACAGTGCTCAGGGGACCTTTTACGAAGGCGTCATGACCTCGGGCTACCCCTCCGACGCAACCGAAAATGCCGTCCAGGCCAACATCGTCGCCGCACGGTACCAGGCATGAACACTCTCAGCCATAGATTCTTGACCTGCTCCGTATAGTCACGCTCGAGCCATGGAATGGAGACGTTTAGAACGACGCATGGGGGTGTGCCTCTCACGAGCAGGACGATCCCGGATTCTTACAAAATGAGACAGAATGAACTGTGTAAATATTTATTTTTTTAATGAAATGACGACGCCCCGGTACAGGAATTCACGATTCGGCTCTCTCTCTGAATTCCCATGGCGAGGCCGAGCTCTTCGGTGGATGTGAAATGCTTCATCCTTCGTCCTGATCCTCTTGATCCATTCATGAGCTGCCTGATGCTTCTTCGAGAACACCTCTTCTTTATGAAGGAGGAGACATTGAGGAGATAGCAAGGTCTAGGATCTGTATCAGCTTATGCGGGGGAAGAGCCGGTACGCTGAACCTAGGATTGCTCTGAGCCACTTTTGCCGACCCCGTGGTCAGGCGTAGCAACGCCCGGCACGACCAACATCTGCAGAGCAGTTGAGGAAAGAGAATTCAAAGCAAAAAGGATGTGAGAGTGGTTGTGAGTACCTTGAACGGCCTTGTGTACTTGAGATAGTGTCACATGGACGCTCACATCCGTCTATGGGACCGCGATGCTTACAGCGCTTCTGAGGGCACTCGGTGGCAAGATGGTGTCGGCCAGGGATCGGTCTGCAGGCGGTGCAGAAAATAGGCCTGTCGTTAAACCACAGAGGCAGTTCGCCTCCAGCATAAGGAATGCCGCTGAGATCGACAAACGCCGGAACTGACTGAATCGCGGAAGGGCGCGAGACCGTGCCTAGAAGGTAGATGATCCCTTCGAACTGCAGGTATTTGGTGCCATCCCTCTTGATCTGCTTCGAATACATACCCCAAGCGTCCGAGACCTTAACGTGTCCAACCAGGTGCTTGAGAATTCTGCAGACGACATCCTCCACCTTCACACGCACATCTAGGGTACCGTTGCCCGTCGTGCCCATGCGGAATACCTGCTGCATCTCATCGAGCGGCGCAGCCGACGAGGCGAGAGTAATGTCGAGACGACCCCACTTGGCCTGGAGCTTCTTGAATTCGCCGTAAACCTTCTTGTTGATCACGTTGACATCAATATAGATCTTGTTGCCCCGGTTGAACGGGTGCCGGATGGCAAAATCGGAGCGGTCCACTTCCGTGAGCTGATCAACGATCGCCATGTACAGGCAGGTGCGCAAGTCGGAGAGCCTGTGCTCGTCGAGGTCGGCCGAGCATCCCACCTGAAATCTATGGCTACATCTCGCGACAGCGTCGCAGCGGATCGGGTCAGGCAGCTCATTGTAGTTCCAGGGGAACGTGGGCTTCTCCGGGACGTAGTGGACGGCCTTGAACAGAGCTTTATTGGCGACCTGCTGGATAATCTCGGCCACGGCCTCTCGCCTGCGCCTGCGCTCGCGGTCAGCCTCGGCGTCCCCAGTGCCAATCTCTGAAGAGCGCGAAGCAGCAGTGGCAGCCGGCGTAAAAGTCACCTTACGACGCTTATCGCTCGGAGTGTCTGCGGCTGATTCCTGAGGAGCGGAGGCTGGGTCAGCCCTAGTGTCATTGTCGGGCTCGCCTGCATCGTCTCTCTTCATCCTTTTAGTGTCATCGTTGTGTGGCGCGTCTGGCTGTCTGACAGTGTTCCAATTGTTGGTGTCAAAGAGGATCTCCTTGCCCAGGTTGGGCCCATTGGTGCCATTACTGTTGGTGGATTGGGGATGCATGCTTGACTAGATAGAAGGCGACGGTAGCAAAGGCTCAGATCCCTCTTTCTCTGAAGACTCCGGCCCTCGAAGGGATGTGGTACAAATCTCTCCGGCCTCTCTTGCACATAAGACACACCCACGCATCCGCGTTTCATATGTGATTGACCGCTATGCGTTTCATATCTTTTATGAAGTAACTTCCATTTTACGGTAGCATACTGTATGACAGGCTGCGTTCACTGGCGACTGAGCAGGGCTAGACTTGAAAGGTAATTGTGCGTGTAGATGGTGACCTGGGACGAGAGAAGCCTACAATAAAACTAAGAAGAGAGAAGCCTACAATAAAACTAAGCGAAAGGGTTGCGGGAGGGCATACCGAAGCCGGCGAGGAACGCTGCGCCGCCACCGGCTTTGGAAGCCGCGCCGCCCTTGATCGGGCTGAGTTCGAGCGGGATATCGAAGTTGGGTGCGAGGCCAGCGTCGTTAGCCGTCGCGCCCCACTGCATGGCGCCGCCGCCGCCCAGCAGCTTGCGCTTCTTCTTCTTGACCTGACCCTCATCGGCTGCGGGCGCCACAGCCTTGCTGGACTTTGCAGGTTTGGTCGTGGCCTTTGGCAGCGCCAAGTTGGTTCGGTCGCGGCCGAACTTTGCGCCCAGCACACTCGAGTCTGCGCGCTCGTCGTCGCTGTCGTCGTCCACGGTGCGCTTGTTTGAGCGGATGATCGGTGTGGCCGACGGATCCGCAGTCTGGTCGTCGTACTCGATCGGCATGGCCGGCTTGTTCTTGCGCACCGCAGCGGGCTTGGTGCGCGTGCCGCTGGATCCAGTACTCTTCTTGCCTGCCGAAGCGCTGCTCTTCTTCTTGCCCGCCTTGGCCTTGGCTCGCTCGACCCCCGAGTCTTGCTCGCCGTCAGAGTCGTCGCGAGCACCACGACCGCGGCGGCGATGCCTGTCATCGTCCGAGTCGTCCTCCGACGAGTCTGTGATAGCGACCTCGTCGCGCCAGTTCTTGCTGGAACTCGACTTGCCGTTCGTGGCGGCCTTGGACGGCTTGGCGCTCTTCTTTGCCAGAGCTGCCTTGATCGAGCTGGCAGCAGAGATCTTGGCGAAGGGCACAAGTGGAGACGAGGACTTGGCGCCCTTGGGCTTGCGCGTGGCGGCTGTGGCGACGACGTGTCGGTCGACCTCGTCTTCCGAGGGCGGGCCGAGCTCAGAGGCGCCCTGCATGGGCCGCTTCTTGGCGTAGACGGGCGAGGACGGCGGAAGCTCCTGCGCAGCTGCAATGAGCTTGGACACCTTTGGCTGCGGTGCTTGTGCAGCCGGCTTGGACTTGGCGGCCGGCGCCGGTGCGGCATTGAGCTCTTCGATTTGCGCGAGCAGCTCCTTGCGTTCCGCCTTCCAGGCTTTGCGTGTCTCGGTCATCATGTCGTCGCGCTTCTGGAGCTCCTCGATCTCGGCTTGCGCCTCTGCGAGCTCTTTGCGAAGCGACTTGGCTTCTTCGCCTGCACCCGCACCGTTTGCGCGCGACTGACGTGCCTCCTCGAGGAGCTCGGCGAGCTTTTCGTTCTCGGCCTGCAGCTCGAGCGACGCGGCCGACTTGGCGGCGATCTTCTTTTTGAGACGTGCCTCGTCGCGGAGTGCGGCGCGAACGTGGAGCGAGAGCAGATCGGCACGCTTGCGTTCGAGCATGAGGCGGATACGCAGCTCGTCCATCTGGCCCCTGAGGTCGGCATCGGCGGCATGGTAGCGGCCCTCGTGATAGGTGGCCTCGTTCTTGGCATGCTGGAGGGCGACGTCGATAAGGCACGCTTGGCGACGCTGTCCGAGCAGCTTCCAGGCGCGGTCGTCGGCCTCTATCTTGTACTGGTGAAGGCGCACCTGAAGCTCGGCACGCGTCCTGGACTCGCGAGCGATGGCAGCCTGGTGTGTGCTCTTGGTCGATGCAAGCTGTTCCTGCAGACCGGTGCACTCTGAGGCCCAGCCTTCGGATTCTTCCTTTGCTGCGGTGAGCGCGTCCTGGGTGGCGTCGAGCTCGCGGAGGAGTGCGGCGTGCTTCTTGCGGAGCTCGCCGAGCTCCATAGTCTGGATGCGATCCGCACGAGCAGAAGGGTCGAAGCGGTGATTGGAGGCAATGGACGAGTCGGCGAGGACAGACTGGCGAGTGGACGTCGAGGACGAGGCGGCTTGACCGCTGGAGAGTGAGGAGAGGTGGGAGAGTTTGTGGCTGGAAACACTGGGGCTGGCATGCGGACTGAGGCGGGGGGTGGCGGCTGCCTTGACGCGACTGATGAGTGGAGTGGACTCGATAGGAGCAGATGTTGGAGCAGGTGCGGTACTGGCAGCCGCAGCGGAGCGGGCACGCGCAAGCTGGGACCCGCGCGCAGTGTTGTCTCCTGAGGACTCTGCTTCGTCCTCGTCGTCCGGCTGTTGCTGAGCCGGGAGAGGACGAGATTCCCTCCGCGGGTTCGCGCGGGACGCTCGGTTGAAAGGGTCGAGTTCGCTGTCGAGGTACTTGTCGAAGTCGTACGCGGTGCCCACGGCTGCACTCGCCGCACCGATGGGCTGGTCTTGACCGTTTCGACGATTGGTGGTTCCAAAGATGGAAGCCTGCGAGGCGCTCGAGGTGCCGACAGCCGCGTTTGCCGGTGGAGCTGTCTCCGAGTGGGACGGCTGAGATGCAGAGATGGACGTGAGAGGGCGGTCAAGGTTAGGAAGGCGAGGGACATCGACTTGAATGTCGGCATGAACGGGGTCGATGGCAGGATCGCGTCGGCCTGGAACGAGCTGTGCGGTGGAATCGCCGCTTTCGTCGGCAAGAGGAGGGCTGGTACCCTTGTGGACGGCACCGGCTGCTTGACGAGCCGCCTTGGCTTGGGAGACGGCGATAGGGGTCTCGTCGCCGGCCATCTGACGGGCGCGTTGGATGGCGCCGTTGGTGAGCGAGCTACGCGCCCCCCGCACGCGGTGTGCAGTGTCCTGCTCGTCGTCGTCGCTGTGCAGCATTTGCGGGCGCGAAACAGGGCGCGGAAGCGAGCTGGGGACCATGTTGGAGGTCTTGGCCGGGAAGGAGGCGGAGAAGGCTGCTCGGTCGGCGGGGCGAGATGCAGAGCGACGTTCCTGCGACGCGGCGGCCATCTGATCGAGGCTGGGGAAGCTAGAGGCTGGTGCAGCGGCGTGCACCGGAGTAGCTGGCTCGACGACGGAGGCGGCGGATGGTCTGGAGGAAGGAAGCTTGCCGATCTTCCTCGGCTGGGTAGCGTGGGAGGAGAAGGACGAGAACGAGGCGTCAAGGGCCGCCGACGCGTCTTTGCGTGGGGACCTGCGCACTGGTGGTGGTGACCTGGATACGACCATGATTGTGGCGATGTGGTAGCTCCGGGGCTAATATACGGACTGGTTAGTTTGCGATAGCGATAGGATATCGATGGGATCCAAGTGGACGCGGATGGGGTGGCAGCAGCGGCAGGATGGCTCCGAATAGGATCGGGGGCACAGAGGCGTGCGGTGGCTGTGGGCGTGTTGGGTGCTAGGGCGGGGTATAAACTGGGTATCGATGGGGATGGTGAGGGGCGAGACGATGAACGGCGACGTGGAGGAAGGACCGGAGGCGAGCAAGAGGACGACGCGACAGGCAGTGCGCTCCACAGACCGGGCTGGCCGTACACCGCGATGGCACGAGGCTTTGTGCTGAGTGTTGCTTCGGTGCGTGTTGTGGTGCGCGCCCGCTCCAGCACCTGACACAGGGCAGCGCGTCTTTCGTCCCCTTTTCAACCCATCTTTTTCGACCGAAATTTCGGGCTGCCATTTTTGTCATTTTAGATTTCTCAAAAGCATCACAACGCGGTCTGCATTTTCGCCCCGTCCTTTGGTGTTTGACTCAGCAGGACGCGCAACAGGCAGCCAACATCACGTGAGTGCATGCCCCGATGATGAGTTCTCTCTAGCAAATCGAGCCCGATGCAGATCTGCATTGACTCGACCCTCCCTAAAGGCGGAGTCAGACACTCGAGGCACGGATGGCATGCGGATGCTAAAATTTCGCCGGAGGCTGCGCGAAGAAAAGATGGAGGGGCTCCTCCTCTCCGCAGTCCAACCTATCCAGACATCATCCATCATTCATCAGCCTCCCTCCCTCCTAGGCACATCCTCTCACTCCAACCAACTCATCTCACAGCACCTCGCTGCGCACCGGCGCCCTCATTGGCATCATTTCTGCATTCGCTCTTCGCCGCCTGCCAGCTACCCTCGTCCGCTCGCCGCTCCTCTCCACCCGTCCTGGTGTCCTTCGAGCCGCTCCGATCCGCTCGCACCTCGACTCTCTTCCTCACACCAGGCAGCACTACCCATCTGCTTCTCCTCCCTCCTTCTCTACATCAGCCATGTCTTCCGCCGATATCGCCCTTGTGCCCTCGCCGGCCTCCTTCAACGGTGCTCCGTTCCTCTCGGAGCTGCCGCAGCTGCCTTCCGTCCCGGGCGTAGACACCAAGCGTGCGCCTCTCGACAACTTCCGTCTCGCCATCGCAAAGCACGTCTCCGAATCCCTCGGCGTCGACGTCAATGCTGCCTTCGCCGCTGTCGGCACCGGCAAGATCGGCGACTACACCGTCGCCGTGCCCCGTTTCAAGCTGCCAGGCAAGCCCATCGAGATCTGCGAAAAGGCGGCCGCCGCCTTCCAGCCCAACGAGTTCCTCAGCAAGGTTGAGGTCAAGGCCCCATTCCTCCACTACTTCCTCAACGACAAGACGCTCATCAAGCTCACCCTACAGACCGTCCACGTCATGACCCACGGCTTCGGCGCACCCCGCGACGACGCCGGCAACGCCCAGCCAAGCTACGGCACCAACCGCGACGGCGAGGGCAAGAACATCATCGTCGAGTTCTCCTCGCCCAACATCGCAAAGCCCTTCCACGCCGGCCACCTCCGATCCACCATCATCGGCGCCTTCCTCTCCAACTTGTACAAGGCAAACGCGTGGAACGTGTCCAAGTACAACTACCTCGGCGACTGGGGCAAGCAGTTCGGTCTGCTCGCCGTCGGCTGGAAGCTCTTTGGTGACGAGCAGCGCCTGCAGGACGACGCGGTCAACACGCTCTTTGACGTCTACGTGCGTGTCAACCAGCTTGCCAGCGTCGAGGAGGACGGCAGGGGCGAACAGATCCACGAGGAGGCCCGACGATACTTCAAGGGCATGGAGGACGGCGATGCAGAGTGCCTCGCACTCTGGCAAAAGTTCCGAGACCTCTCGATCAAAAAGTACATCGAGGTTTACGAGCGTCTCAACATCCACTTTGACGTCTACTCGGGCGAGTCGCAGGTCAAGAAGGAGAACCTCGAAAAGTCGCTCGAGCAGCTGCGCAAGGCCGACTTTGTTTCCAAGGAGGACAACGGCGCAACGCTCGCCGATCTCACCAAGTACAAGCTCGAAAAGTGCGTCATCGAGCGACGAGACGGCACGCCGCTCTACATCACGCGAGACATCGCCGAGGCGGCGCAGCGCTTCGACGCCAGCTTCGACGGCAACGGCTTCGACAAGATGATCTACGTGGTCGCCTCGCAGCAGGACCTGCATCTGGCGCAGTTCTTCAAGGTCCTCGAGCTCATGGGCTACCCGTGGGCGCAGAAGGAGACCTCGCGTCTGCTCCACATCAACTTTGGCATGATCCTCGGCATGTCGACCCGAAAGGGCACCGTGGTCTTCCTCGACAACATCCTCGACGAAACGCGAGACAAGATGCACGAGGTCATGCGCGCCAACGAGGCCAAGTATGCGCAGATCGAGGACCCGATGCGCACCGCCGACATTGTCGGAATGACGGCCGTCAAGATCCAGGACATGAGCTCCAAGCGCATCAACAACTACAACTTTGACTGGTCCCGAATGCTTTCCTTTGAGGGCGACACGGGTCCGTACCTGCAGTACAACCACGTGCGTCTGTGCTCGGTCGAGCGCAAAGCCAAGGAGTCGGACGGTCTCGAGCTGCCCACGGCCGACCTCGACCTGGCGTCGATCAACCTCGAGCTCATTTCGGAGCCCAAGGCTCGTGACCTGGTCATGCTCATTGCGCAGTGGCCCGACACCGTGCGTGCGGCCATGAAGGACCACCAGCCCTCGACGATTGTCACGTACGCCTTCCGTCTGACCCACCTCATCTCGTCCTGCTGGGAGTTCCTGCTGGTCAAGGGCCAGGAGCGCGACCTTGCCCTCGCCCGTCTCTTTGTCTTCCGATGCTGCAAGGACGTCCTCGGCTCCGCCCTTCGACTCCTCACCATCACCCCGCTCGAACGCATGTAGATCCACACGCCTCGGTACAGTTTCTCATTTTCACTTTGCATTCGCTTCGACTCCTCCTGCTGCCAAGAGCTCTCTGAGGTGTGATTTCGGTCGGATGTGCCGATGCAAATGTGTCAAGGTGCGGTCGAGCCTATTTCAACGAGAGTTCACGCCCGAGGCCGCATCTGGCGTTGGTAAAAGATCCGCAAGGCGCGCATCGAGGGCCACCAGTCTGGCGCAGCGCGTTGGCACTGTCGAATCAGCGAGCGAGACGCACTGCATCAGGTCGACCAGACACCTTTCTAGTCTGGGCCAATCGGCCCTGTTCGATGAGGAGCGCAGGGGCGACTCGAGTGCGCTAATCCAGCACTTGGCCACAGCTGACAGGATCAGCGACATATTGCGGCCTATCTTTGACGCAACTGTTTTGCGCAGTGCCAGCTGTCCGTCTGCATCGTCTTTGCTTTCATCCGCACCGGTCGACCCGGGGAGAAGCAACTGTGTGGCCAGACGCACGACCTTGACGGTGGTATTGATGTGTTCCGTATTGTCGAAAGCAACGGTGGAGAGCCAGGTGCGGAAGATCCAATCGATGCTCACGTCGACGAATCTCGCGGCTGCACCAAGATTCGCTGCCTGTGCGGTAGGGGGTGGGGACAAATCCTCGATCAGCATTAGGTAGGCTGTGCACGTGGTTGCGACGAGCTCGCGCCCCAGCCGTGTGCCCGAAGGCGGTAGCGGCAGATACGACCATGTGGACAAGATTCCCTGCGAAACAAGCCGGCAAAGCGCCTCCATCCTGCGCTTTCCACAGTCATCCACCCCACCCGCCTTTTCGTCCGGCCCAGCATCTGGCCCCGCACTTTCCGCGGCTGGCGTGTCGAAGGGTGACTGCGTCGCATCGCGCCATACAATCGGATGAGTGGTGAGCAAGATCAGTCTGCGGAGCGCGCTGATCGAGAAGCCGACCAGAGCTGGCGCATACGTGGCGTCGTGCACGTACGTCAGGTTCACTTGCAGCGCGCGCTCCAGCAGGCTTCCAATTCCCGTCCGCAGCAACAGCCCGCCCAGGATCGCCTCGCGTCTGCTTTTGCGCATCGAGTCTCGCCCCGCGTCCGCATCTGTGTCGGGACCAGATGCATCTGCGACAGTACTCGGTCGGTCAAGCAGCTGGTGCACGAGCATGCTCCCCCGCAGACGGAACCGGGGCTGCGCATGCTCCAAGAGCGTCAGCAGCGGCGGCACCAGCAGCGGCCATGCCGCGTTCCAGTCCGATTCGGTCTCGAGCTCGAGATGATCCAGACACCATGCGAGCACATTGACGCATCCCAGTGCCTCGTTCCGCTCGTGTAATGCAGGCTGCGCATCATCTGCAACGTCAGCCGAGTCAAGGGAGAGCGCGAACTGGTGCGGTGCGAGATTCGAGGCTTCGTTGTCATCCGCCGCACTCGAGAAGCGATGCTGCCCGAGGTTGCGATCGAGATACGAGACGAGCAACGCTCCCGTAGCCGGTGCCTTCTTCCTGCCTGTTTCCGGATCCACAGAGCTGAGGGAAGCGCTCGATGACTTGCTAGTCTCTTTGACGATCGGCTTGATGTAGTGTGCCAGGAGCGATCCGGCCACCGCCGAGGTCGTCAGCGATGCGGTCGGAAGAACCTCGTTCCCCAGACGACCGAGGATGCGGTGTGCCTCGATCTTGCTTTCTCTTCCAATCCAGCCGTCGTCAATTTCCTGGTTTCCTTCTATGAAGCTCGTAGTGTCCGGGTCCGGGAACGGACTGACGTGCGACGGAGGGAGAAAGCGGGCGAGCGTGCAGACTACATGGCCAAGGACAAGATCCAGCTGCGTGCCAATTTGCGATGAATCGACGGAGGAGAGCTGTTCCAGGAGTTTGAACAGTTTATGTAGCAACGTAGGAACCTGCTGCTGCTTCCATCGGAGCAGGGCCGGGTAGTCACTTTCGGACAGGGTCCACGCTTGACCGTCTCCACGACCGAAGACGGCTGGAATGCAAAGCTGACAAGAGAGTGTAAGGAGCTGCTCTGCAATGCTGTTTATGTCATGATTGTTGTCATGGGATCCATGTGATGGTAGGGCAGCGAGGCCAAACTGATACAAGCAACGCTCTGCTGCAGGAGCAAGAGCAGGTCGAGAGGATGTCGGTCTTGACAAGCCGGCGAGTCCGATCGAGTCCAAAAAGACCGTGGGCTTCGGAAGGTTCACCATGGCATTGTCAGGCGCGGTTCTACAGCCTCGCCGAGGTGGCCAGAAGCAAGGTGAGGTGGTCGATTGCGAGAGAGGTCAACGGCGAGGGTTGCTCGAGAGGGTTCTTCTGAACCCAACCCGAAATCCGAGTTCCGAGATTTAGTCAGCGGGAACGCCGCTTTTTCTTCCGCCGTTGCTTCCGCACTTGAACTCGACTCATCATCATCATCCTATTCTTCTCCTAGCTCCGTACGGTATCGCCACATCCGAACAACGCGAATACACAATGTCGATCGCAGCAGCATCCCTCAAGCACATCACGGCGATGTCGTTCGAGTTCGCCCCGCTGAGTGCGTCGCAGGCGTCGAGGTCGATGCGCCTGCTGCTCGCACGCCTGCCCACCAAGCCTCCCATGCCCGGCATGGATCTGCCGGACATCTCCACCAAGACTGTCCCCACAGATGCACTCCAGAGGGTCGAGATCACCTACAAGAACAAGCAGAAGCTCGTGCTCGACCACCAGGCCGCAGAGGCCCGCCTCACAGACCTCGTCAAGAAGGTACGCCTCGCCACTCCTACATTGACCCCTTCTGACACAGTTCACTGACCTTCGGACATGCCTTCTTGTCTACATCTTTGGTTCGCAGATTGAGGAGCCAGCACGGGCTTTGCGTCTCAAGGAGGAGGGTCTCTGATCTCGCATTCCTTCAGCCCAGACCATCGCCACAGACGCGAATCTCTTGTACTTGTATCTCACCTCGCAAAACTTAGACTGCGTTCCGAACACACTCTCTCTATTTCTCGCGACACACGTCGGACTCTAGCCCGACAAAGACATGCGAACGACATGGACATTCGTTCGAAAAAGTGCAGGTACAAATACAAAAGCACGAAAGCACGACTAGGACTAGGCACGCAGCATTTTGGCAGGACGTTCTTCGCCAAATTCGGGGATTTGGGCGAGCTGGCTGTGTTTGCCCTGAAAGAGCGGGGTTGCCATCTGCTGTGGAAGGTGGAAGGCGTCCGAGAGCGAGGTGAAGGAGCGCAGAGCGAGCGTGCATAGGTGCTGAACGCGTGCGCGGAAAGATTCGGACGAAGCGAGGATCACGAGATTCTGCACATCCACAATAGCCTCTGCATCGTCGAGGAAGATACGCAGCGCAGGACGCGACTCGCCGTCGAATAGAGAGGCAATGTGGATAGGCGGCAGCGAAGGCTGTGCCTCGTCTTGCTCTGCAGAGTTGCCCTCGGCTTGTTCGGCCGGCTCTGCGGATGCACTGGCATCGGCTGCATCCGACGTGTCCTCGGTTTTGACCGCAACAGCCTCGTCTGCGTTCTCTTTGACTGACTCAGCCTGGATGGGCGCACTCGATGCGGCCGGCGCTTCTTCGGCATCGGTGCTGTCCGGCAGCTCCGGAATGACGAGTTCTTCCACTTGGCCAAAATGTGCCTCGAGGAACGCGGCCATGTGCTCCATCTTGGCAAGCTGGTAGGCATCGTGTCGCGCAGCCTCATCGGATGCCGCCTTTGAAGCCCCGGCACTGCTCCCTGCGAGCAGTGCTGCCTCGGAGAAAGGATGAGGCGGCACAATGTCTGCACTCTCCGGAGGTGTGAGCGCCTCCTCCTCTTCTGCGCCGTCCATCTCTTGATCGGCATCCTCCGCAGCCGGCTTGGCATCCTCGCCGTGGTGATGCGAGTGATCGTGACTATGCATGGTCATCTTGACGCTCGAGGGCGCACTGTCGATGCCAAGCAGCAGCGCGACGATGCTGTCGGCGACCATGTCGTTGGCGATGCTGCTGCCCCACTCGACGAGCAGCTCGTGGCGCGCGCTCTGGCGCACATCCACCACGCCCATGATGCGCAGCGTGCGCAGACCCTCTTCGGCATCAATGCCCTCCTGAAGGCGACCGAACATTCCCTGCAGATGCCAGCGCACCATGTCCCAGCTCACCGCGAGCGCCACTCGCTGACGCTGCACGATGGTGCTGGTGGACAGACCTGTAAAGTCGGTGAGGTCCTTGGGGTCGAGAATCGTATAAGCAAAGTCCTTGCTGATGAGCAAGCCGTCGACCGTGTCGCCCTGTGCCGGTAGCTTGGCCGCAATCGTACCGATCGCTTTGGCAGTGCGCTGTGCGCGGAACTGGAGTGTGAGTGGCTCACAGTTGCGGGGCGTGTGGATCTTGACGTCGGAGCCTCGTGCGGTAAAGCGCGCCTGGAGCGCTGCGCGCAGCTTGGACATGTTGTTCTGCTCGCCGTGCACAAGCACAATGTGCTGCGCCTTGATCTCGTCGATGAAGCGCGAGTTTTGGGCAAAGTCGACGTGGGCGGAAAAGGAGATGTAGTCGACCGACATGCGGCGTGGAATCTTGATGCCGTTCATGCCAATGATCTCGTCGGGCTCGTTGAGGATGTTGCGCGCCATGGTGCCCTCGACCGAGTATCCGGACACGATGAGACCGTTGCGCTTGTCCGGAGCCCACCTTTCGAGAAGCTCGCGCGAGACGCCGGACTGCATGAAACCGGGCGAGGCCATCATGACACACGGACCGCGGTCCTCGAACTTTTCGAGCGAACGAAGGTTGGAGATGTGCTTGAAGACGAACGGATTGTCTCGACGGTTGAAGCGCGTACGGATGTGGTCGTTCATGGTGTGAATGTAGGTCTGATAGACTGAGATGCACTTTTTGGCGAGCGCCGAGGCGTAGTAGATGGGTACGCTGTGCAGTTCGGGATGGGCAGCCCAGTACTCGTCGAGCAGAAGCAGCAGCTCCTGAGCTCTGCCGAGCACAAAGACTGGGAGGAGGACGCGGCCGCCGCGCTTGATGATGTGATGGATCTGGGAGGTGAAGCGATGCTCCTTGTCGAGACGCGGCTCGTGGGTCTGTGTGCCGTAGGTGGATTCGCAGATGAGGACGTCGGGTCTGACGGGAGGGATCTCTGCCTGCACGAGGTGGCGGTCCTCCTCACGACTGAAGTCACCGGTGTAGAGGATCCGGAGGCCGGCGATCTCGATGAGGAACATGCAGGCACCGAGGACGTGGCCCGCATGGTACGAGGTGAAGCGCAGACCACCTGCGATGGAGACGTCCTGGTGGAAGTCGACGGCCTCGATCTGACGCCAGGATGCGAGCATCTCGTTTTCGTCAAAGAGGTTGTCGTCGTTGCCGGCGTTGCTGATGCGGACGAAATCGGACATGAGGAAGCGGTATACGGCCTTGGTCGGGTGGGTCATGTAGACCTTGCCGTGACCGTCGCGGAAATTTGTCTTTTCCATGATGTAGGTGAGGGCGGCGGCATGGTCGAGGTGGAAGTGGGTGATGAGGATGGCGTCGACGGTGGACCAGTCGAGCTCGTCGATGAAGGGCAGTGCGGCGATACCCGTGAATGCGGGATGGACACCGGTGTCGCAGACGATCGTCTTGCCCTTGTACTTGAGCACGCAGCAGGATCGACCGACCTCCTGACCTGCGCCGAGCATCTCGATGGTGAGTTGATCCTCTGCCGATGCCTGCAATGAGGCACCGCCAGCCGACGACTGCGGAACGACGAAAGGCGCCATGATGCAGACCAGATGGCTGTGTGCCCAATGTCGGTCCGAGGGGAAGAGGAGAACGGATGAAGGACGGGTGAGAAGAAAGAAATCGGTCCAAAGTGCAGATACTTAGCTGTCTGTGCTCTGCGGGGACCCTGTTGAAGGGACATCGGGGGGCGAGTCGCCCGATGAACAGCTTCTCCACTTTGAGGCACGCCAAACGCGCTCGGCGTGCCAGGGCCACCCAAAAAAGCAACACGCACACACAGACCCCACTCTCGCCATGGCAGCAGAAGACCAACACCCAGCCTTGCCATTGCTCTTCATCACCATCACCGTCTCTCATCAGCCCAATTCCTGCAGACGATCGGTGATACCCGACCATATCGATGCATATGCTTACGCTCTGATCCGATCCCGTCCATTGATCTGCTCAGGCGCTCATCAAGTCTGAGGGACGGCTCAGTGCTCGATCAATCAACCCGTGGCAGCCATGGCATCGCCTGTCCGCACCCCGGACCTCGCAAAGGCACATCCCTTGTTCTCAGGCGAGTCGCCCACAAAGTCTCCAGGTCCTTCGTCCCTCGTCAATCGCCCGATATGGGGTCAGCGCAAAGCCGCTCAAGTCGATTACAGTGCAGATGCACCATCAGCCCTTCAGCGCCGTTCGGTCAGCCGCAACCCTTCATTCCATGACAGCACCTCGGCGACCACTAGTTCAACCAGCTTACGGCCTGTTCCGACAGATGGCGATGTCTTTTCCTCGCGAAGCTCAACGTCGTCTACTTCGCCAGCCCCATACGACGCAGACACCTCGCACATCACATCCTACATTCCGCGCACAAGTCGAGTGAGCAGCTACGATCTGCAGTTCGACGATGCCGACGAGCCCGACATCCCCAACGACTCGCTCTTCGGAGCTCCGGAGCCTTCTTCCCCACGCCTCTTTGATCGCGAGCTCAAGGCACCCAAGGCGACGCGACCCGCCACTGTCTATCATGCGATCCCTCAGCAAGTCTCTCCGGATCAGACGCCCATGCCCAAGCACCAGTCTCATCGACCTTCATCTCTCTCAGGCCTAAGAGATGGCGCCCTTTCGCCTTCACATGGCCGCAGCAGGCGCAGCCCCGCCCCAAGCGCGTCTCGTTCTGGCGTCAGTCCAGCAAATGCTGGCAGTCGTGTCAACGAGCTTGCGCGCGAGCTCGAGTTCCCCGTCGACTGGCTCCAGCAGCTCCATCGCCTCGCCGATGCCGACCTGGAAGCAGCCCTTGCAGGTCCGCTCGCGCATCGTCCGCTTCTCAATCAGCAGCCTCGCGAATCCACACCCGTCAAGTCGTCCGCATCTGCCGAGCGTCGTAACGATGCCAGATCCCTTCCCTACCATCTTCAGCTTACCAAGGCCCTGTCGCGAGCCCTGGCCGAAGCCAACAAGGAGCTTGACCAGCTCCGCATCAGCGCAGCCGAGGAGCGTGCCCAACATGCCCAGACGCTCGAAAACACGCAGCAGCGCACAGAGTCCCGCGAGGCCGCCTTCACTGCTCTCTGCCTTGATCACGGCATCAAGCAAGGAGAGATCGACCGCAGTCTCTTGCGTGCCCCCGTCCTCGATGCCGAAGTGCTCAAACGAAGGCGTCTTGCGGAGCAACAGCGCAACCTCGTTCAAGAGGCTGCGAGCGTACAGACACCGTCCAAGCCGGCAGACATGGCCCTCCCTGACTCTCTTCAGGAGGCTATGCTCGAGGACCTCGAGGGAGTCGCAAATACCTCCCATCGCCCGCGCTCCCCTTCGCTCAAGCCATCCAGCATACACAGCGCCATCGATGCATCTCCATCCAACCGTCGAAGCCCATCTCTGCGCTCGCACGTCTCTACGGCATCTACGGACGGTACCAATCCGCAACGGCAACGAGGGAAGTCGCTGTCCCTCTCCATTCCCTCAGCTCGTGACAAAGATTTGGATCAAATCAGCATCAAATCTTCGGCGGGTGTGACTGCAGACAGCTTGGGCACTAGTCCGATCCTTCGCCAGCATCCTAGTGTTCTCAAAGGCTCGCCGCAACGCTCCGCATCTCCGCACTCGCTCCACAAGCCAAAATCACCGCATGTCGCTTCGCCACGTGCTCGATCCACATCTTCCAGCACTTCGGTCGGCGGCGGCCTCGGTGACTGGGCCAGCGGCCTTTTGCCCTGGTCCGGCGGCGGCGCCTCGCGCAAAGCGGCTCCCAGCACTGCTCAAAGCATGGTCAAGGCAACCAGCCCGGGCCGACGCGAGATGGCGCAATCCGCAGCCGCCAGCGCTGCGGACGCCAAGCGCTCCGTCAGTGCGTCCAAAGGTTCCAAGGCAGCTTCGTCTTCCACCTTTGCCCGCGCATTCGGTCGATACACACGCTCGTCGCCGACACCGGAGCCGGTACCAGCTGCGCCGCAGCCCAACGTCACCCGACTTCCGGACACGTATCAGTTCGACCGCCGTGGCGGCGACACTACCGAATTTCTGTCAGCAGCAGGAGGCAGCGTGGTGCTCGGGGCACCTTCGCCCCGCCCGCCGAGTGCGGCCGTGGAGCTCGAGCCGATTTTACCCAACGACGCCGCGCCTCCCACCCTGATCCGCCGCAGGAAAAAGGGCCGCAAGAGCGGCTCCAGTGTAGCGGGTCTTGGGATCAGTTCCAGCATCAGCGGAGACTTGTCTGACAAGCTGAATGGCAAGGACGCTTCGTCAGCTGCAAAAGAGGTCGCTTCCAGAGCTGTTCCATCCACTGCGGACGCAGCATCGAGCCCGGCCAGGAGGGACCGCGCCGCTCGCCTTAGCACTCTCAACGAAGAGGACAGCTCGGGCGACGAGTTTGAGGTGTACGGCGGCAAGGCGCCTGTGCCCGGCTTCACAAAGACGTACGACCCCGCGTCCGCAGCTTCCGGGCTGGAGGCAAAGCCGGCCGACGAGGACACCTCGGTGATCATCCGACCCGCAGCCGGCGATGAGTCGGATGCAGACAGTGAGATGGAAGAAGAATTCGAGCTGCTCACCGACCGATACGGCTTTATCTACAACCCCACCGATGCCGACATCCGTCTCTTGCGTCAAGCGCGCAAGGCTTCTGCGCCCGCGCCGGCCACGCTGACCGGAATCAAAGTCGGCATTCGTGCACGTGGCGGCACCGATAGCCAGAGCGAAGATGACAAGAACGATCCAGACCTCGACATGGAGGACTCAGACGAGGACGACAATGCACGACTCGGCCATCCGATCGACGCTCAGAACGGTACCGGAGTTGAGGAGCAAAGATCCTCGCAGAACAAGGCGCTCTCCGCCACAAACACAGCAGGATCAGGCACTGAGGGCACAGCATCTGACGGTGGTGGCTCAACGGACAGCACCGGCGCGAAATCACGCGACAAACGTCGCAGCCAGCTCCTCAGCGTGTCTGACAGCAAGCCGGTGCGCGCCGAAGTGTTGCCCGTCAGCGCCGTCTCGCAGCCAGTGCGCTCGGCTTCTCCGACGAAGCGCAGCGGGACACGCTCGGCCGCCTCGTCTCGGTCGAGCAGCCCGGTAAAGGGGCAGGCTCCTGGTTTAGGCACACCGCGCGCAGGCCTGCCGTCGATCTCCAACACGGTGCGACGGCTGTTGACGCAGCTCAAGGACATGCACGATACGCAGCAGGTGGAGCAAAAGCAGCGGTGGGATGGCTTCCTCGAGCGCCGGCGCGCACGGCTCAAGCCGAGCTCGAGCGAGGCCAACGGGCTTGGCGGCGCGGCTAGCGGTAATGGGGTCGGAAGCGCCGCGGTAGCCAAGTCGACCTCAACGTCCAAGACCAAGGCGCTGTTTGCAGGGAGCCTGTTTGGGGCGGCGCACGCCGACAGCTCGGAAGCGGCCGGTTCGGCGGAGAAGGCGCCCGAGGAGGACTGGTCGTCGGGCATGGTGGGCGTGAGCCGCATGGGCGACTCCAAGAGCGGCAAGGAGGACTGGCGCGACTTTTTGGCGCTGTGCCAGGCGGGGATCCCGCTGTGCTACCGCGCGCGCATCTGGGCCGAGTGCAGCGGAGCCAACGACCTCGCCGAGCCCGGACGCTATCAGGAGCTGCTGTCAGAGCACCAAGGCGAGACCAACGAGTGTCTGACGCAGATTGATCTGGACGTGCACCGCACCATGCCGACCAACATCTACTTTGGCGGCGATGGGCAAGGGGTGGCCAAACTGAGACGGCTGCTGGTGGCATTTAGCTGGTACAAGCCGAGCACGGGCTACTGTCAGGGGATGAACAATCTGGCGGCGACTCTGCTGCTGACGCACGCGACGGAGGAGGAGGCGTTTTGGGTGCTGGTGTGCTTGATCGAAAAGATTCTGCCGAGCGAGTACTATACGTCGCACCTGCTCGTGTCGCAGGCGGATCAGCGGGTGCTCATTGAGCTTGTGCGCGAACACATGCCGGCACTGCATGCGCACATTGACGAGCTGGGCGTCGACCTACCCGCGATCACGTTTGCGTGGTTTCTGTCGCTATATACCGACTGCCTTCCGGTCGAGACGCTATTTCGCGTGTGGGACGTCATGTTTGTCGAAGGCATGGTGATCCTCTTCCGCGTGGCCATGGCCATCCTCAAGCTGCACGAACGCGAGCTTCTCGCAACTTCGTCGGCTTCGTCGTTCTACGGACTAGCACACTCGCTCACCTCGCGTCTGTTCGGTGTGGACAAGCTCATCCACCTCGCATGCACCGAACTCAAGTCCACCATCCGCTACGCCAACATCCTCGAGAAACGCGAGCGCCACGTCGCCGATCTCACCTCCGAACTCGGTCTCGACCTCACCACTGCCTAGTTTTTCGTCAGCCCACGAATATCAGCATCTCTCATGGGGAACTAAATTCGATTCCGATCCGGGCGGAATTCAGTTGAGAGGAAGGATGTGCGGGAGGGGACCCTGGGGGACGATGCGGTTGGGGTTGATGTTGATGTGGCTCTGGAAGTAGTGAGCCTTGATGCTGTCAAAGTCGGTGGTGTCTTTGAAAGCCGGGTTGTTCCAGTAGAGGTTCTGCATCCACTTGTTGATGTGCGGGTATCCGTCGCGGATGGTGCGCAGGTTGCACTTGAAGTGCGTAAAGTAGACGGGGTCGAAGCGGACGATGGTGGTGTAGAGGCGGATGTCGGCCTCGGTGAGCGTATCGGCGTAGAGGTAGGTGCGGCCGTCGGCGAGCATCTTTTCGACGCGGTCGAGCGAGTCAAAGAGCGGGCCGACGTTGGACTCGTACGCCTCCTGCGTGGTGGCAAAGCCGCACTTGTAGACACCGTTGTTGATGTTGGGATACACCCACTCGTGGAAGGCATCGATCTCGCTGCGCGATGCCTCGGGGTAGAACGTCTTGCCGCGGAACTCCTGTGGGATGAGCTCGTCAAAGGCGTAGTTGAGGTTGCGGATCACCTCGGACGACTCGTTGTTGACAATCGTGTTGAGCTTGGCGTCCCAGATGACGGGCACGGTGCAGCGCTGCGAGTACTCGGGATCGGCGACCTTGTAGAGCTCGCGGATGCGCTTCTTGTCCTCATGACCGGGGATGTGGTTTCCCGTACCGGGCACACCGAGCCCCTTGGGCTCGTCGTAGGGGACGAAGCTCCAGCCCTCGTCGCCGAGGAGCGAGTCGACGACATGCACGGGCAGCAGGTCGGGCACCTGGTCGATACCCTTGAGCTTGCGGACGATCAGCGCGCGGTGCGCCCAGGGGCATGCGAGTGCGACAACGAGGTGGTAGCGTCCCACCTCGGGCTGGTGCTTGCCGTCTTTCTCGATGCTCGAACGGAAGCTCGACTCCTGGCGACGAAAGTGGCCGTCCTTGTTGGACCACTTGGAAAAGCCGTCCTTGTGTGCGTTGTCGTCCGACATGCTGATAGATGTGCTGAACGGGCGGATGTGGGGTTCAAGTCGGGATGTGCGGTTGCTCGACTGGATGGAGGCGCGAGGCGACGGACGCAGCGAACAGGCAGCGACGGATGCGAAGAAGCGGGACGAAGATGGCGCCTTGAAAACGGCGGTCCTCAGTGGCGAAGCGGCGGCGAGAATGGTGGGCAACTGCGGCACGCGATTGGAAGCTACAGTCGTGGATGCAGAGGAGCGGATGCTCGGGCTTCTGTGCGCGGGCTCTTTATACGAGGGTCGAGCGGTCCATCCGAAAGTCACCTTACGCTTTTGGCGAGAGTGGAGGTTTACAGAGCACTCTGCTGACAGCACAGCGGCCGTGCGCGCCCGACCTTTCTTGACTGGGGACGCACGGACAAGAGAGGCGGCTTGTCTCCGGGTTCCGCGCTGCGCTTGCCTCCGAAGCTGCCGCGTAAAATCCGAGAACCCCGTCAGCTGACTCTCTTGGCGATTCGGATTTAACACGCACGCAGAAATTCCCTTATGTCCACGCACCACAACAGCTCGACTGCAAGTCACTCAAGATGATGCAAAGCTCTCTGTTTGATTGTCAAGAAGCGTGGAGCGGGATGGATGTACAGCGGGAATGTGACGCGCTCAGTGTCGGCGCACGTTGAAGAACTCGTCCGGGTGCTGGAGGGCGGCGACGGCGCGTCGCTGGTGGGTGGTGAGGAAGGTGAGTCCCACCTGGAAGCTCGAGTTCATCCAGCCGAAGCCCTCGCGGGGCACGCACTTGAAGTCGATGCCCTGGTTGCCGTACTCGGCATCGACCATGTGCGAGAGGTTGACCGCGTCGAACTTTTCGGGTACGGTGCCGTTGAAGTCGACAAAGGCGACGGTCATCATGTAGAGCCAACGGTAGGCGAGGCGCCTGGCCTCCTCGAGGTAGCCGTATCGCTCCAGACCCACCCAGGCGAGCACGTTGTGGGGCGGCCAGGCGTACGGCCAGTCCCACTGTCGGTTGGGACGGTCGAGGCTGATCTTGCCGCGCGAGTCTTCGGTGCCGGAGACGAGGCCGCCCTGCTCCTCGAAGCGCTTGAGCGACTTTTGCACCAGCTTGGCCGCCTGGTCCTCGCTCGCCATGCCCGCCCACATGGCCCAGAAGGAGGTGACGCTCTCGTATACGATGGGCTCCTCCAGCCTCGTGTCGTAGTCAAAGTAGAGGCCCATGCCGTCGTTCCAGAGGTACTTGTCCACCTGCGCCTTGCGGTGCGCTGCACGCGCAAACCACTCGGCGCTCGTCTGGGGCGTCTCGATGGAACGCGACGGCTGCGCCGGTCCGGAGCCGCCGTTGAGCAGCGAAGGTGGCAGCGGACCGTGCAGCAGGAAGTCGTCCTCGAGCTCGAGGCGGTCGTCAAACACCTCGCGGATGGCGGTGGCAATGTCCACCTCGTACTTGTACAGCAGCGCGTTGAGGTCGATGGTGGCCAGGTCGGCACACTTGCGCTCGAAGCGGTAGGTGGTGTCGTGGCCCGACTCGCGCACGGCGCGGTCGTGCATAAAGTAGGTGTCCAGCTCGGGCTCCTTGATCTCGCCGTGATTGTACTTGCGCGTGAACTCGTTGACGCTCACGCCGTGCTTCTCGGCGTAGGGGCGGAGGATGTGGGTGAAGTGCGACGCCTCGGTCTCGGGCGGCACGCCGAGGCCCTCGGGGCGGTAGCGGCTGAGCCAGGTCTTGTGGTCGAAGCGCGGCTTGCTCATCCAGACGGTGTGGTACTCCTTGATGGCGGCCTGGATGGCCTTGCGCAGCCATTCCTTGTTGTCCGCCTCGTTGGCCGGGTCGAGGCGCGAATAGACCTGGAGCGCCATGTCGGTGAGGAAAGGCGGCTGGGCACGCATGAGGTAGTAGGTGCGGTTGCCGTTGAGGATCTTGCCGTAGTGCTTGATCTCAAAGATAAAGTGATCCACGGTGCCCTTGGCGAGGTCCACCATGTTGTCCACGACGAGGCCGAGCGAGATAAAGTAGCTGTCCCAGTTGTAGAGCTCGTTGAATCGGGCGCCGGGTACGACAAAGGGGATGCCCTTGAGGCCGCGCTTCTCGCCGGTGGTGGGGTCGATGTCGTCGCGCATGGCGAGTGCGAGCAGGCCTGGCTTGTCGTTGAGGTCGCGCGTGTATTCGGCGGTGATGCTGTGCGGGAGCGCCTCTACCGTGAGGTTGAGCGAAGGGCGTTCCTCGGCGACCTTTTGGTAGTAGCGGAGCATCTCGGTCTCGGAGGCGGGGACGTAGATTCGCGGGTTCTGGGACTTGCTGCGGTTCTTGGGGTCGGAGAGGATGGCGTCGAGGCCGTCGCCGTCGATGCGGCGCGTGAGGTTGTGCCAGAAGGTCTGGCTGATCATGCGCGAGAGGCGGTCGACGGGGTTTTCGGTGAGGCGCGACTCGTCGAGGACGATGCGCTTGCGGCCGTGCTCGCGGGCGAGGGCGAGTTCCTGGAGGAGGTTGGAGAGCATGTAGGTGCCGCGAATGTCGAAGCCCTTGTAGCCGTTGCTGGTGGCGGTGCCGAGGGTGAGCACCTTGGGCCCGCTGTCGGTGATGCAGATCTGGAAGTTGCCGTCGGTGTCCTCCTGCTCGAGCACGAGGCGCATGGTCTCTTCAACGTCGACGATGAAGCGGCGCGGTGCTTCCTGGACGGCGTCGTGGCTCATTCGACGCGAGAGGATGACAGGGTCGTCGTTCATCTTTTGAGGGCGGCGCTTCTGCTGACCCATGCTGTAGGTGCGCACCACGCCGCGTGCGCGCTGTAAGACGCGCTGCTTGTCTTCGTCGATGCCATGCTCTGGGAGGTTGGCAAGGTTGGAGGACTTTCCGAGGCTTCCGGATAAGAGCGTAGCCGAGTCCTGGTCCTCTCCGTAGGCCTTGTCCGCATCAGGGAGATCTCCGCGGTGCGGGGTGAATCGTGCGCCTCCGACGGGTTCGAGGGCGACGGGGCGTGGGTTGGGGTCGGCTCTGGGAGTGAGCGCACCGTTGCTGCCACTTGCGGCTGCGGTAGCGGCATTGGCGTTGGCATTGGCGGCGTCACGGAAGGCGGGGAGGTCGAAGGTATCGCTCGAGTTGGAGACGGCGCTGTTGCTCATGCTGAGCTTGCGCATGTGACGGGCGAGGGAGCGGAGCTGGTCGCGCTCGTCGACCGACACTTGGCTATCGTCGTCGTAGTAGCCAGGTGCATCCTGGTTCTTTGTGAAAGGGTTGGAGGTGGATCGAGGCAGGCCTGGCTGCTGCTGCTGCTGGTCCCCGGCGGACATGATGGGACCGCTAGCACGAAGAGACAGAAGGAGAGGAGAGGCGGTGAGGTGGAGCGTCTGATTGGACTTGTTGGGGTGAGGAAGGCGGGTGATCCGAAAGGGAGGAGGAGGGATGGTCGTTGTTGTGTGAGGTGAGTGAGGCCGTCAATCTATGATAGGGCGGCGTCCCGCAACCGTGCGCGAGCCAAGCTCCACCGAGAACGACTCGAGCTTTTTTCCGCACAAGCTGCATTGCTCACTCTGCATCCCAGGGTGGCGCGCGCAGCAGAGTCACAGAGCTCTCCTTCTGCACCTCCGTGCTGCGCGTTTGGGCCAAGTCGCCGTTCCCATTTTTTGAACTGCACTTTGACGCAGTGCGGGGTGGCCCACAGAAGAGGCGCGGCGACATTCTTGCCAGATCGACCGAACTTTGGCCGGGCTGAGCTCTTCACGGCGTGTCTGCATAGCTTGACCCCCGCATGTCTGCCTGCCTGCCAGCTGTATGCGGCCGCACCTGCGGGCATGCCTCGGCCGACCTCCGCCCTCTTTGATCTTGACCCGCTGTTCGCGCTCCGCACATGTCTCGAGCTCAATCTTGCCGCGGGCAGGACGAGTCACACCCCACAAACTGATGGAAGCGGATCGACAGCCGATACTCATGCAAGACAAACAATCGCTCGCCAAAAGAAGCCACGAGGTGCAATTGCTAGGCAAATGAAATCGCAACGTATGATACTTGCGTCTAGAGCTTGGGCGTCTGAGTAGCCTCGGGCGGTGGGCCGCCGTGCTCGCAGATGCGGCGCATGTCGCGCAGTGCCTCGACCAGGCAGCGTGCAAAGTTGGTGGTGGCATTGTGCTTGGACTCGATGCCAAACTTGAGCAGCTGGGCGCCCGCGAGGTAGTTGATGCCGTACGACTCGGTGGGATAACCGGTGCCGAAGCCTGTACCGGCAAAGCGGTCGCCTGCACTCAGGCCGCTCGTGCTGAGTCGCCACGACTGCGACTCGGCGAACAGCGGGTCAGAGAATACCGCGGGTGTCTCGCCGTCCTCGGCGCGCAGCAGCAGACGCAGGCCCGTCATGTGGCGGTCGATGCCCTTGCCCGTCGAGCTCTCGCGCGTCTGCGTGTTGTGCGACTTGGTCGCCGCCGTGAGCAGCGCATAGAGCTTCTTGGCGTCCTTGCCCTCGCGCACGCCGCGCACAAACTCGTACGCCTCGTCGCTGAACGAGCGGATCACATCGGTACGTCCGTGCTTGAAAAGGCGCGTCGACGCCGTCTCGTACGTCGACACCTGCTGTCCGTGCGCCTTGGCATACGCCAGCTGCAGCGCCATCTGCAGATACGCATCCGGACTGTGCTTGCCCACCTTTTTGATCCAGTCCGCTCCGTACTCGTCGTACCAAAGCGTACGGATGTCCGACTCCTTGGCAGCCTGCAGCGCCGCCGCCTCCGACTGCGCGATCGACTTTTGCGTCGACTCGTCCACCGTCCACTCGAGCTTGCTCCACGCCGCACTCTCGTTGGGCGAGCTCAGCTCGGCAGGCACATTGGTGCCTGGCGGAGGGCACGACTCGGCCGCAGCATAGTCGCACAGGATGCTCGGAATCAACGCATCGCATGGCGAGTGCTCGCCCATGATGCCCGCGCGTCCATTGGGCTCGACGACGATCGAGAGCGCCTTGTCAAACCATCGGTTATGGCCACCTCGGCCCGCACCGCTGCAGTTGCGCGCCAGCGCATCCACCCACACGGGCGTAGACTCGTGCGCCGGCGCAGGATGGTCCGCCGACAGCGCAAGCACGCTCGAGTCGAGCGACAGGCACAGCAGGCTGTCCTCCACCGAGTTGATGCTCTTGCGGTTCACCGGCGACACGCTGAGCAGGTGCTCTCGTGTCTATCAGATCATCGAGTTCAGTCAGTCATGCCGTGCTATGCAGGATCATCGAGACGCCAGCACTTACCTTGGTCCACGTGTCGCGGTTGTCCGAGCTGAGCACGCCGACGCCGGCGCCATCGCCCTTTTGCGCGTCGGCGACAATGTCCCACAGCGCCTTTTCGAGCGTGTCGATGCCGAGCAGCGTGCCGTCTTTGCGCACCACCTCGAGCTCGTAGTAGTTGTCGCGCGCAATCACCGTAATGTGGCGCGCCACAGCAGGATGCGGCGTCGCCGTGTTCCAGTCGTGCGGAAGCGCCGGGATGCGCGTCACGCCATACAGTCTGCGAGCGAGTCGATTGAACCAGCGACCTGTCGTGTCAGTCAGGGTGTTCGTCGAAAGGCGCAGAGGGGAAAGGGGAAAGGGAACAGAGTCAGCACGCTGCTCGTCACTCACCGTGTGTACTGGTGCATGCAGAACGGACCGGCACGGGATGAGTCGGGCATGATGTCCTCGCTGCCGTGTCATTCCGCACACAAGTCCAGGGGGGTCAGTGGGAGTGAAGGGGAAAGAGAAGGCAAGAGAGAAAGGAGCAAAACAAGTCAGCAAGACGCTACAGACGACGCGTATCGTGAACACGTGAGAGCACCTACTCGTCGAGACGCTTCTTGAACTGGAGGAAGCGCGAGGTGAGCCAGGCGGCGCGGCGGATACCCCACGCTGCGTCGTTCCAGTTTTGCGATCCGAGGCCGGTGACGGGATAGGCGTCATGGCCGCTGTGCTCTGCCAGGTCGGCGGGCATGTTCTTGTCGTGCGTAAACATGAGCCACCAGTTGCTGTTGATCATGAGCGGCACGCGCCACTCGTGGTACGCCTTTTGCAGCCACCAGCGGTCGTCCAACCAGTTGTTTTCGGTGGTGCGGTCGACGTCGATGAGCCTCTGTTGCAGCTTCGGGCCGAGGCCACCGGTGGCGAGGAACTCGCTGATCCACTGCTTGCGCTTGGCGAGCTCCTTTTCGGCCGTGCTGCCTTCGAGCTTGCCTTGCTCCTCGAGCTGGCGCAGGAAGGGCGAGAGCGACTTGAGGTACTTGTCAAACGTCTGCTCCAGCGAAGGCACCGGCAGACGCGGCATGTTCCTCTGCTGGCTGAACGTCTTGGGCTGCGTGCCCGGCGCACCGCGCCAGGGGGTGAGAGCGAACATGGCTGGTGACGAAGCGTGGAAGGTGCGCGACGAAGGAGCGAGGCGAGGTGTCGGGACTGGGACACGCTCGTACGAGGGTCGAAGAGGGATGATGCGGCCAGTAGAGAGAAGCTGTTGCGTGCGTGGCCCAGCGTCGAGGCAAGACAAGGAAGAGGCGAGTGGTGAGCGACATGAAGAAAGAGACGATGACGACGGTGACGACGGTGACGGACTTACCTCGAGTCCCTTGCGTTGTCTGCTCAACAACATCAATGCGGCGATCTCGAAGGTGCTCGAGAGCGTGCGGCGCTTGCGGATGATACTTGCGGATGGATTTAGGATCTAGACCTGGAGGGGGCAGGAGATGGAGGAGGGGAAAGGAAGGCGGGTGCACTGTACCGACGAAGCGCAGCGTGTTGGTCTGCTAGGTTGCGTTGACGGGGCGTTGGGTGTGGTTGTGCCGAGCGGGGGATGCGGAGAAGCTTCGTGCGTGCCAACGGGAGGCGCTCGTGGAAGCCGGGGCGTGGTTGGTGAGAAGTGCGGAACAGGAGGAAAGGCGGGGGTCGGCAGCGAGATGAACCGGTGTCGATCCGCAGCCCTGAGCCGAACTAGACTCGACGCTGCGCAGAGGAGTGCGGGGACAGAGCGCTGCGCTGCGCCAATGCGACCCGCATTTTTCAAAAACATGCACCGACACTCTGGTGAACGTGAAAACGGCCCGACCGGTTCCAGCGCTTGCCGACACCTTCACTCGCCTCGGTGCTGGGCGGTCCTCGCAACTGGCAGTGGCCGTCCGTAGTTGCTCCCTCTCATGTCTGTGTTGGTGCGCTCCGTCCTGTGGGAACTCCACCACCGTGTTGCTCGCTATGCCCTCTTGTTCTCCGTGCCTTACATGCCTCGTTCGTGCTACAAACCGAATCATCGCGGCCTGCTCGACTCGCTCGCTGTATCCTGAGCTCCGATCATTTGGGTTACTCGCCGCTGTCAGTGCGGACGATTCTCCAACATCACCTGCACAGCGATGAGACACAAACATTTGCCATCCAGGACCGCACATCATCTCTCGCGGTGAAAAATACAATTTGTTAGACCAGCTCCCACTCCGCTCTGGTCGTGAGAAAAGCTGTGCGACCAATCACCGCTCGTCGATCGCCGGACCTCGCACAAGCTCGCATCCCCATCGCAAACTGTGTCTCAGACCCGCAAACCTGATCCATCCGCCCACTTTGCTCGCCTTTTCGTCTTGCAAGACCGCATACACCTACCTAATCCGCATAGAGCCGCATGCATACAGTCGACCTCATCCCGTCGCATCCCTCTCGTCGGCCCCGCAAGGGGCTTGACATATGATCTAACAAATAAACGATACAGAGAAGATTAGCATTGCCCCAGCATATGGTTGGCATTTCTGCTCAGAAGAGTCGTTTCCTTCGGGAAACATCTATGTTTTTGCTCTTCGCTGACGTGGATGGATGAGGTGGATGATATGGTGTTGGTACGACGCGGCGGATGGCGAAATCGGGAACGTGGCACAAAAAAAATAACGCGCCGGCGGAAGCGCCAAAAAAAATTCCAAAAAAAAGGACAACCAGGAACAAGTTGCGGAAAATCGACAGCTGCGCGTGCGGACCGTGTTTTTCGGATCGACAGCGGGACAGCGGAACACACCGAGTCCATCGTGAGCTCGTGTAAAGATCAGACCGTATCTTCATTGTTGGGCTAGATCTTGATCATTTCGATGTCAGCTGGTCGCACCGTTCGGCTGCAGCAGCGGTCCCACAGCGCCGAGAGCGCACTGTCCTCCGTCAAAATAGAATTGGCGAGCAGACTGTCCCGGTTGATGGTAGAGGGGAGCCACGGGCGCATGGCCTAACTTATGCTGCGTACTGGGCTACGTCATGTGCTGCGTAGTGTGCTGCGAATTGGAGGCCGGGGTGGTCTGCGGACCGAGGTGCGGGGTGGGCTCCGAAATGGAGTGCTGCACGATCGGCAGGATCGGCGGCGTTACGACAGAGGAGCGGTCGGACGGCTTCGAGAGCGGCTGAAGAGCGGCGGCAGGGCTGCGGGGAGAGACGGCGTCAACAGAAGGGCGACATTCTGCTGACGCATGTGCTGAAAGTGTTCGAGAGGGATGGACTGGAAGGGGGGGGGGGGGGGGCGAAGAGTCTGGTGTTGGACTGGCAGGGCCAGCCAGACGTTCAGCCCGTTGCTCAGTTCAATCCTCCGCTGGCTAGGCCCGACCCTCAGTCCTTAGCTCAGATCACATTCCCTGACCTTGAAGGCGCGGAGCGGAATTGGCAGGATCCGAGAGCTGCAGAGCTGTTGGCGGAAGAGAAGGAGAAGCGCGGACCGAGACTCTTTCATGCCCTGCTGGACTCTAGGTCGAGTGCAGTCACTTTGGCTGGACTCGACCCCGAATGCAGTGGGGCGACGATAGAGTCTCGGTCGATGCAGCGTCGAGCCTTTCTCGGTGTTCGATGCTCGGAATTTGGAACGCAGGCTCGAGTTCGAGCGCCATGTCCGTCGTGATACGCACAGAGCTGTGTGACTTGAGAAAGATGTGTGACTTGAGAAAGATGTGTGACTTGAGAAAGATGTGTGACTTGAGAAAGATGTGTGACTTGAGAAAGATGTGTGACTTGAGAAAGATGTGTGACTTGAGAAGGCGCACATGACGGACACACAGTCGACTCTGCTGAGAAAGTGTACATGATTGATAGAGTGATGAGATGCTCATGCGCGCAGCAGATGAATCAGGCGCGCTTGACGGAATCACATTTTGGCAGCGGGGCCTCAAACCGAAAGAAGCGCACCCAGCTCTTGCAGGTGGAGGGAAGCAAGGCGCATGAACTCGCTGCGCATGAATTCGCTGTGCAGTCAAGTACTGCGCGAGCAAGACCAACACTCTTGACCACCATCCCGTTCCAACCACCCCTCTCTCTCTGTTCACGATGGCGCCCAGCGCAATCAAAAAGCTGTGGGGTCCGGTTAATGGATCTAGTGTCTTTGACAACGGTCGAAAACTCATCGACTTCATCGACCAACACCGCGATCAGCATGGCCAACTCCAACCTGCTGCGCCTCGCCAGCGTCACACGCTCGAAACGCTCTTTGACGTCGCTCCAAACCTGAGCCACGTCTATAGCGAGCTGATTGGAGGCCTCGATAGCGTCGTCTACTTTGACTGTGTCTCGCTGGCTAACAACGACGAAGTGGACATTGCCAAGTTTTTGGCGCGCTGCACGCAGCCCAACAGCGCTCCTTTTGACCCCCAGGACCGTCCGTACACCGCGGTTCAGACCAAGCCAATGACGACTCCCAGGGGCCTACTTGCCTGCGGACCTCGTCAGCCCACTCCTGCCATGTTTCCTGCCTTCCCCTTTTCTCCCTTCGCCTACTTTGGCAGGGAGCAGGAGCGCACGGTCATGGCAAACAGCGCTGGAGCTTTTACTGCTCCTCACATCGACATCGGCTTTACTTCTGGGTTCTCGACCGTCATCACTGGCACCAAGATCTTCATTACTTTTGATGTCAGCGACAAAAACTGGCGCGTGATGCAGCCATTCCAGCTGCAACCGCCGACCTGGGACCAGAGCCTCCGTCTCATGCGCAGGGAGCTCGAAGGTCCCCGCTTCAACGTTCTCAAAACCGGCGACACCATCTACATCGCAGCTGGTCAGCCATACATGGTGCTGTCGCCTACGGTCGGCGCTCTGTACGCTTGCAATGCTGCCAATCCATCCGTCAAAGAGTGGGATGCCACACTCAAGGGACACCAGTGCGTGATGTGGGCGATCAAGACTTTCGTCTCCGGCTCAAAAATCCGCTACATTCGCGAGGCCGTGCGGGATCTAGAGTCTGGTCTCGAGCTCTGGAAAAACGTCACAGGTCTGCCTCAACAGCGCACCGACGACACAGTGGCGCAGTCCGAGGTGGATAGCTTTGTCGCCGAGCAAGAGGCCTGCCTTGAGACCGCTCGCAACATTCTCAACACTCAGCTCGAGGCTCGCCTATCTGCCAACGCTCCTGTACCAAGCGCCGGACCAAGCGTCGGACCAAGCGTCGACACTGAAGGGGCCGGCTCGAGCTCCCCTAAGCAGGAGGAAGAGTCTTCGCGACCCCTCAAGAGGGTCAAGACTGAGGATGGCGAGGAGTAAAGCATCTTGGGCGGCAGCTACTCGAGTCGCGACTTCCTTCACTCTCTCGTAATGTGACTCTGTTCTCGCTCAACCCGACTGGCTGAGGTTCAGACGCTCGTGCAAAGCCTGACCCAAGTCGAACGCCACGCCAAGTCGCAAACTCAAACCCAGAAAGGCAAGAACAGATGGATTCCAGCGAACGGCACTAACGAACAGGCGCGGATATCCATGCGGGAAAGGGGGCAGATACAGGGCGGAAAAGAATGTGCGAGTAAAGACCGTTCCGATGCATACCAGCAACGGGGATGTTGAGCGGAAGATTAGGCAGGCGAGTGGCTGCCAGGATAATAGTCGACGTGGATTTCGGGCTGAGAGATGGCCGAATCGCTGCTGTACGGGTACGCCGGTGGATCCGACGAGACGTTGAGGCTGCGAAAGGTGCTTGCTGACGGCTTGAGGCCGACCGTGCGCGAATCGCGAGAGCCGAGGATCTCCTTGAACGAGTAGGCCTGCGGGTTCTCGCCCGCGACGGTGGCGAAAGGTGGACTAATATCTTCGTGCACGCTCTTGCGCTGCGTAACGGTAATGTCGATGGGCGGCTGGTTGTTGCGGATCACGTTGAAGCCGATAGCAGCGCGGAAGACCGGATCCAAGGTGGCCACGGTGGAGAAGATGGCGATCGAAGTGCACGAGATGGTGGTGACGACGCTCGCCGCGTAGATGGCCACCTGCCAGGTGAGGACGATATCGCCCGTCAGCGCCACGTGCGGATAGGCAGTACCGACAATATACATCGGAATCCACGCATAAGCAGGAACGCAGAAGATGAGGATCCAGACGTAAATGTGCGCCAGGAACGTCATCTTCCACGTCGCCAGGTTGTGGTGCACCGTGCTCTTCTCCGACGTCGGCTTACCCTTGGTGACCAGGAACCAGAGCTTGCGGAGATAGCTGTTGCACGTGCTCGGAAGCGGGTCCGGGCAGCGCGAACAAGCGTGTTCCACCAGGACGAGCAGGTTTGGAGTCCCGTACGCTATACACGGGATCCACAGCAAAATGGCGCTGGCCGCAAAGAAGGCCAGGTTGATGCATACGTATCGGTGCGATTCGATATAAGCCGCTGCTACGACACGTGCATGCCAGATGAGCTCGTCGCTTGCCAGCGTGGAGTCGTTGCCAAAGCGGTGCGGCTCGAAAGCAGCCTCCTGGAGGTGGCTGTGAAACGATGCCGGCAGGCTCTGGTGAGAGAGTCGCTTGGCGTGATAGTAGCTGGTTCCAGAGAAGCCGACCAAGGTGAAAGTGGTGATGGTGAATACGACAAGAGGAACGAAGAGTGCCAGGTTGACGACCAAGGGGGACTTGGGTACGCCGAGGAAGTACCATTTTCGACGGCCATTGGATGAATTCGAGCCGGAATTGATAGAGAGGGGCGATGCAGGACTGCACCCAAGGATAAAGCCGTGCATGCTGATGTACGAGCCAGCAAGCAGAGGGTACCAAGGGAGCGGTATGGACCACCACCATTCGAGCGCGCTCAGCTTTGCAAAGCTGTAAGTGACGTTAAAAACGCAGGCGATGCCCCATGCGAAGAGGTACAACGCGACGGCGATGATCAGCGTGACAAGGGCATTGGCGACGTAGAACGTTCCGTACGCGGACCGACGGCGTGCTATCAACCAGACGTCGCTATAGCTGCGCTTTTGGATGATCATGATCCCGCAGACGATGAGTGTGAGGACCACCTCGAACTGGTTGGCGCAGAGATAGACGCGCATGCGACTGGGTACGGGCTGATATATGGTATGCGCCAGCGCCACGAGAACTTGATCCTGCGTCAGGCCGCGATGAAGGAATGCCATCGACTGCGGATCGGTCCGACGGTGAAGGGATGCGACCGTGTACGGCAAGTCGAGATACTGGGAGGCGTTCATGATGGACGCGACCAAGGGACGATCACAACGTGACCGATCGAGCAGACTTAAGGGTCAAGAGGGGTAAGGAAGAGGGGTAAGGAAGAGGGGTAAGGAAGAGGAGGGCGGTGGCCGGCTCTTCTCTAAGTTGAGGTCGTCCTTTATACTTGACAAGTGCAAGCTTGGTTCGCACAAGGGCGCCTTGAGAAGACGTTCGAAGGCTCAAGCCACTCTTCTGCAATTCCGTGTCCACAAGGGGAGCTAGAAGTGTTCGAATCGCGACTGTCCGAGAAAGCGACGGAAGGCTCGAGCCACTCCTCTCTCCATATCGACTGTTGCGGCGGAAAGACACAGTGGTTCAAGAGCTGTCGTTTTAGAAGGCGTCCATGAGCCCGAGCCACCCCTAAGCATTGCACTCAATGCCAATTGTCATCGTCGGCTAAAGCTTGCCAAAGCTCGGTCCACTCCGTTCTCCACTGCGATGGACAAATAAAACCGATCAGGACCGCCGTCGACGTACGGAGAGAGAGGTAGAGGGAGAAAGTGAGAGAGAGTGTGAGGAGATCCATTGGGGTCCCAAGCGTTTGGCTCTGACAGCGGGGAAAAGATGTGCAGCTCGCGGAGGACACTGCGCAGCGGAGAACGAACAAGAGTCGCCCGTGCTCAGTTCTAGCGAGGAGTCCTGATCACCACGGACCGCGATCTGAGGAGCGGCCCGAGCGCGACACCGTGCAGGGTGGGTCAACGGCTACTCTTCAGCCTCGGTATAGTTCGTCCGGCTACAGACGGATGCTGGTGGGTCCGAGCTGCGAGGAACGAGAATACCAGTCAGTCGAATCACACACCTGTCACCAAATCAATCATGCGGCTCCGTGACAACTCGGTGCGAAATTTCTGCGTGAATTCCGCGCGCGCCGACAATTCATGTCGACGTCGAGCTGATTAGCCTTTTGACAGTCACATGGGCGCTCGCTACGGTGATGACAAACAGTAGGATGCATTGAATGCGGTACAAATACAGATGATAGCGAAACGGGAAGAGGAACAATGACGATGCTAGGACTGGCCAAGCTCGCCTGGGAGCGGGCGCGACCAGTGCGCAGCGAACCAGCGCTTGAGGATGCGGTTGAGCTTGAGTGTGCCCTGAGACGACTCCTTGATGTCGTCGTTGAGGCACAAGAACGTGGTGGGGTGCGAGTCTTCCGCGAGAGAGCGGTCGACGGCCTCGAGCTGGTGCGGGAGGCGCGAGGCGTACTCGACCTTGTAGAAGGTGGACGGCGTGGCGCCAAGCACGTACTGGTACCTCTGAATGAGGCGCGTGCACCAAGTGCGAAGCGAGATGCGTCTAGTCTCGGATGCGGGAGCGAGCTCCGAGCTCATATGCAAGACCGAGTTGAGCGAAAAGTCGGTAGCGCGCCAGCTTTCGGTGAGCGGCAGGTGGGACCGCGAGCCCATCTTGTCGCTCGAGGCGGGTACGTTGATGAGGGCCGAGTGCGGCGGAAGGAAAGCCGAGATGCCTGCTTCGCCTGAAGCGGTGAGAAGCGCGGCCATGATGCAGTCGCCGCACTTGGACGCGGTGTTCGGCGCGAAGGCGATGCGCTTGAACAAGGCATCTGCGCTTTCGCGGTCGTTCTGCGGTGCAAAGCACGCGGAATACGAGATTCGACATACGCTCGACCGCGACGAGCCGGATGAGGACGACGGGATCCAGGAACGAGCATGTCCGCGCTCCTGCACGTGCTCGCTGAGATCCGGGTATCCGTCGCGCGAGCGTTGCCACGGCCAGGTCCAGTCGAGGTACGACAGCGCATGGCCGTCGTGCGACGAGAAGGAATACTCGGTGTTCTTGGGCGCCGGTACGCCTGCCTGCTCGAAGATGACGCGATCCTGGTCGCGAGAGCGGCGGACCGGCCTGCTGACGGCAAAGGTGTCGGCGTCTCTTTCCGTGCCGACATATTTTGACTCGCTGGTCTTCATCCTGATCTCGTCCCACATGGCTCGCTTGGTGGCGGCATCGAGCACGCCGTCGCGTCCGCCCCACTTGGCAACAGCCCAGGACCAGAGAAGCGCCTCGCGGTGACGCTCCACAATGTACCAGCTGGCGAGGAAGAAGGCCTGGATCGAGTCGGGAACCTCTTTCTGGGCACGAAAGCGTGCTAGGGTGGTGTTGCTGAACGCCTCTGGGAACGTCTGCGCGGCTTCACGCAGCAGAGGCAGCGAGAGGGTGCGTGGGTGGTGAGTGATATAAGGGAGCGAGCGCATGGGGAAGCGCTGACCGAGGATCCAGGCGGCGCGCTTGATGCCCACCTCTTCACCAGCGGGGTTCCAGTGGCGCTGGAAAGGGTGCTCCGACGGACGGTAGAAGGAAAAGAGGCGCGTGTCGCTCTTGATGACGGGACCAAAGAGCGCGGAGCTGAGATCGGACACTTCGTTGGGCACCATGGTGAAAAAGTCGTCGTTGAGGTAGACGAGCTGGTCCGAGGAAGTGCCTGGCACGTTGAAGAGCTGCGACTCGACGGCGAGGCTGTTGAAGCTGGGCAGCGTTTGTGCTCGCCATGCATCTACATCGGCTGGCGAGAGCTTGTTGGGATCGTCGAGCTGCATGGGTCGGAAATAGGCGGCGTCGTGGTGTACCTGGATCTTGTCTTGTTGTGTGTCGGAAGACGCGTTCAGCCAGTAGGGGATCTGTCCCGCGTAGAGGGTGGTGTTCGAAGATGCTCCCAAAGACGAGACAGCCTCTTGTGGAAGAGGATAGGCGGATGCCATGATGTGCATCTTGCCGATTGAGTGGCCGCCAAACGAGTGATAGAGAGAGCGCATCGAGTAGAGCAGCTCGTTGTGGTCTGCATAGCGATGGGCGGCATCGACGTTGATGGGCGAGGAGGGCTTGTAGGTGTTGCGCGCGAGGATCTGTGCTGGATCGCTGCCGTTGACCCAGGCCCAGACGGCGTCGAAGCGGAGGCTGTGGCTCATATCGGTCCCACGACATGCGTCGCCCCAGCGATGGTGGACGACCCATTGCTCGATGCAGGCGTCGCTGAGAGCGTCGTAGGCTCGAATGGGCATGACCTCGCGCGAGGCGGCACCAGGCGAGCCATCGGCGAAGACGCGATGCACCGACTCGGGCGACATTGCAGTCTTGGCTTTGATATGTAGGTTTGCGGATGCTTGGGAAGCAGGTGTCGGGGACTCTATGGCTAGCTGATCGGTTAGCATGGCCAGCGCCTCGGCGCGTGATGCCTCGGTTGAGGGCGCGGCTGGAAAGAAGAAGTGGCGCAAGGCGGCGTGAAGGGCGAAAGCGGATACAGCAAGAAGCAAGAGTAGTCTCAGATGCCAGGAGAGTGAGCGGCGACGCACACGGGCCTTGGACCTTTGCGCGTTCGCAGAGGAGACATGGTTGGAGGGAGAGCCAGGCGCACTGCCGTGGGTGGAGACGGCATCGCCCTGTGCGCTCACACTGCCGCGGGGACTGCTGGTTGGGAGCGGAAGGTATTGTCGATATCGGCTGGAAAAGGGCTCGGTCAACGGCCGGAGGTAGCGCAGCATGTTGTATCGCCAAGACTTGCTGCTGGCGCCTAGCTGTGACCGGCTATCGACAGACTCTCGCAAAGGATTAAAGGTGGAGCAAAGAGAGATGGAAGGGGTTCAGGCAGCTTGCCAAGTCGAGGATTGGATCAAAGTAGAAGAGATGATGGAGAGCTCAAAAGCCGAAGGATACGAAGGCATACTCGAGGAGAGAGCGACATCAAACTTCACCACATGGCTAGGCTGGCACACGGCTCGGCCGGACCAGTAGAGGCACGAGCGGAGCCACAGTGAGATCTTGGCTCTCCACAACGCCTCGGCGGGCGTCGGATGCAAGCCGAGAAAGCTGGCAGATCACGGTGCCTTCGTACGGCCCTGAAGTCGCACGGGCATTGGGCGAATAGGGACGGGGTGGTCACATCGTGCGAGCAAGTCGGACGCCAGCCAAGCGTCAGCCAGGGGCGGCGGCAGGGGACGGAAGGGTCTCTCGGTTGACGCCGACGTTCACTGTGACGGTACAGATCTTGATGAGCGCTCGGCCAAATAGCACATGGACAGGATCGGATGCGAGATAGCCGGACAACATGTCAGCATCGTCCACATGTAGGCTGCAGTCAGGGGGGGGGGGGCAGCCGTAGTCGTCGAAACTTTGGTCATGGCCAGCGCCAATCCTGCAGTTCCAAGGCAAGGGCGTGGTGGGCAACGGTGACGATGCGAAGAGCCAGATTGGGCGCAACGGAGGAGCAGTGAACGCCGAAGGAGACCGCAAAGTGTCCGAAAAGTGCCATGTCAGCGGTGGGCACCAGTGCAGTGTGGACAGGCGCAAAGGTACGGCGGCACATGTGGAAATTGTTCCGATGCGAGCCAAGGCTTGGCACGTCAGAGACGGCGGTTCGCGCGCGCGGAGTGCCAAACCCGGTCAGGAGAGGGCCAAAAAACACTCAACAACCAATGGTGCCAGAGACCCGGTCGTGTGAGGAGGGCGCTGACGATCGTGCATCCCGATTTCATGCAGCGAGGTCGCAGCATGCTGTCTCGCTCTCCTTTTTGAAATGGCCCTCCGGTGATTTCGGGCTGGCCGAGCGCGCGGGTCGGTGCGAGCCGATATTGTCTGAGCAAGCCAGCAGTGTTGCCGATGTCGAGCAGCGTGATCCATTCCAGCGTGTGTCAGCGGGCAACGCGTGTGCTCGGAACGCCAGCCGATGTCACGCCTGCGTTCCGACGAGGCGTTTGCAGATTGTACCAGGTCACACGAGCAGGACCACGCTGCAGGCATCCGATGCATCACGCGGTTCAGTCGCATGTGCATGGCGATCAGGTGTGGTCACTTATCGGGTGCGTCTGGTGTAGCGCCTCATCCGCATGGCGGTTGGTTCGGTTGCGTCACTCGCCTGCTCCCGCTTGCACCGGACCGCGTGGTCGTTGGTCGAATACCGCGGACTTCGGTGTGAGGCTCCACAGAATCAGTGCGGCTCCTTGGCGCCAAGCGATAGGGCTTAGCCATGCACCCTCCTCTTTGAGCGCCTTTTCCCTTGGCATCTCCTGCGAAAATTTCCCTCAAAATCGGATCGGAAGTCAACCTCCGTCCGGTTAAATTTATAATACTTAGCCGCGGAGCAATTTGAGGACTGAACGGATCGGGATTGGACATCGGCGAATCGGCAACATCTATGGTGGGCAGGACTGAGCTGTCTAGGGCTTGAGCTTGTCGAGCAGGCGCAGACACGCAATGTCCGGCGACACGTTTTGGTCGTGCCAGATAAAGTCGACCACGTGCCAGTGTTTGCACTGGATCGCCAGGCGGAGATGCGCGTGGTCAAGACGATAGACGGGCGAGCCTAGCTGTGGTGGAGCGCTCGGTGGCTGCAGCGGCAACAGATTCGTCAGGTCGTGGTCGAGGCACGGACCGTCGATGAGCAAGCGGAGGAGATTGAGGTTGCCGTTGCGGATCGCAATCTGTACCGCCAGTCCGTCTTTGCATCCAGGGTCGGCGCCAAATAGTAGAAGCAGCTGGACGAGCGAGTAGGATCCGCGGTGGACAGCCATGGCGAGCGGATAGCCGCTGTGCGAGCTGGCGTCCGCTCCGTATTGGTACAGCAGCGTCACAATCAGCTCCAGCTCCGCAGCTTTCGGCACCGCCCCAACGCTCGTCTTGATCGCGTCCGACTCGTCGCTCGGGTGCGCCCGCTTGATGTCCGCCAGTCCATTGGGTGCTGCCGACTCCGCGTGGGCCTGTTCCGTCGCGTGTGATCTTGCAGAATGCGGAGCATCACGTCCCAAACTTCTCAGGAGCCGCGTGAGCCACTCGGGAAACGCCTCCTCACTCGAAACCGGCCCGACCTCTGTACAGTCGTTCGTGTCTCCCTTGCGCCCTCTGCGCCTCTTCTTGGGACGCTCGATGACGGCCGAAGGGTTTGGTTCGGCGTAGCCGTAAATGTCAATGTGACGGAAGAGACGCTTGGGCAGCTGCGGTTGCGGCACTTCGAGTCTTTCCAGCGCCTCGTGCACTACAAGCGGACCGTTTGCGGATTCGTTTCGCAGGTAAGCACCGAGCAGCGCGCGCGGGATCCTGGCTGCAGCCGCGCACTTCACCAACCGCTCGAGTACCTGCACTGTACAGATGCCGAGCTCGGCTGCAAAAGTAACTACGTCCAGCTTTGCCGTACGCAGCGCATCGAGTTCGCACGGCTCCACCGTGAGCGTGGCGACATAGTCAGGCCACGCAGGCTCACGCTCTCGCCAGAGCGCAATCACTCGACTCGTCTGTCGCCTGCACGCTTTGTGCTTGGCTCGACACGGATGTGCGATCTTGTGCGCCACGTAGCGGTCCACCCACCGTGCCATGATGTAGTCGACGCGATCGGTCACGCTCGCTTGTTGGCAGAGGGTGCGCAACGTCCGACTCGCAACGGCGAAAGTGTCCGAACGTGAGAGCACGAGGATCTCATGAACGAGTTCCGTCGGCAAATTCTCGAGTCCGATAGGCCGCGGTTGGTCTTGTGCTTGCTGTCGGAGCAGATCGATTGCGCAGGACGCATGATGTGCGGACGCGGACGGACCACCACCGACCTGCTCGTAGCGCGGATCGCGCTTGGTGTACGGCAAATTTGGATCAAAAGGGTCATTCCGCGACTCGTCGGAGTCGTCCTTTTGTGGTCCAGCGCCGGGATCCTGCGGAATGAAGTCGACGAGGTCCACCTGAACTCTAATTTGCTTTTCGACCATGGTGTCAAAGATCCAGACAAGCTCTTGCTGAGTCAAGACGCGTGACAGCCGAGCGGTGAAAGCGACCAGGTAGACGCCTTTTGAAGACGGACACGCACGGATTGCATCGAGACACGCCGATTTGGCTCTGGCGACCTGCTTCTCCTTTGCTTTGCGTTTTGATGATCCGCGCTTCTTCGGCTCTGTCGTCTCCGATTCTTGCGAGGTTGAGAGCATGCAGTCGAGGCAGCGCGATTCAAAGTCGACCCAGAGACGCCACAGGAGCGGACAGTGCATTCCCGCCTCGGTGCTCGTGGCGCGCTCGAAGAGCTTGCGCACGTCGACCTCGTCGACCACTGTTGCGACTGGATGCAGCTCGAGGTAGATGCGCAAGACCCACAGTCGGCGCTGGTCCGGGATCGAAAGGGTCGGATCCAGTGCTTGACTGTTAAGAAGATCATCCAGGACGGAGCTTGAAGCGTCGCTCGACGGCAAGTGGATGCCCCTGGCAGACAACAGACTGAGCACCTTACGGACGCTCGACAGAGCAGTCGCAGACTCGCTTGAGGAGCCGATAGGTTTGGGTCCGAGCTCGTCTGCCCTGTGCAGCGTTCGTGGCCAGAAGGAGGCATCGATCGAGCCCTGAAAGTCGGGCTGTAGCTGCTGATTTGACCAGCAGCCTTGACTGGTCCAAGACATTATCTCGGACATCAGACCGCGTGCAGGTTTCGTGAATTCGACGCATACGTCCAAAAGCATCTGGCGCGCACGACATTCGGAGGGTAGCGGGAGCAGAAATGCGGCAAAGTCGTCAAAGAGGACTGTGGCATACGGGTCAATCTCGTCTCCCTCGATTTCCCATGTCGGCAGATCTTCCAGGCGCGCCGGAGAGCTTCGATGATTGCAGCGAGTCGTCTCGGCTTGAAGCCATCGCGATGCAAAATGATCGCTATGGGCTGCATCCTGTACAGTCGTCATTTGAGTGCTCCGGTCAGACCCGTAGACGGGCCCAGAAAAAGCTTCTGTCGACTTGGCGATGCTTCCTGTGTCCCATGCCTCCCTAACGACCCCGACGAGTCGCTGATATTCTTGCTTTCTCTGATTAGGCTCGATTGCGGGACGCCAGACGCGATGCGTGTGCTGGGTGATTGTGGAATCCAGGTCCGAACCAAAATGGAGATTTGCCTGGATGAGCGCAGTGGCATATTCGTGATATCCGCTCTTGCGCAAAGTATTGAGAAGCTGAGCGAGAATCGCCAGCATGCCCTGCGCTAGGACTTCGACAGCATCGCTCGCAGGCCCTGCTGCCGCGGCACTCAGCAGATGTCCGCGCAGGCTGTCTAAAGCTTCCTTGTAGGTGTCGAGGAGCTGGTCGAAATGGAACATGGACCACGACGACTCGAGCCACGACAGGTAGAGCAGCCAAAAATCAACGACACTGGCTTCGGTGTTCGTGCCGAGCGGCAGGTCCGTGTGGCGGAAGCGATTCAGGACCTGTACGAATTCGGCTTGGACTGCCGACGGCTGCCATGTGTCGGCCTGCGTCAGAACGCGCAGCCGTTCGAGATGGAGGCGGATCGAGCGATGATTGCTGGGTGCTGCCTCAAAGGCCCGATCAAAGACGGAGAGCTGGATATCGACTGAGGCGGCGTCCTTGCCCGCAGTCTGAGGTGCTTTGGACGGTGTAGCCGTCGAGCTCGATGCTCCGGCTGTAGCTAAGGAAACGAGCGGAAGACATCGCACCAGCTCGAGCCAAGCATCAATATCCGTCGGGACGGCGTCGACGGCGGCCTGTGCCCTTCTCTTTCGCTCGCTGATGTCGATCCCAGCACCAGGAAGCGGCGGCGGGTAGCTATCACCAACTGCGTACGAGTCCTGATTGATATCGATAAACGCCTCTGCGGTCAAGGGAAAGTCGGGTGCTTTCGGTGGCGGTAAGAAAGCGGACGAAGGGTCCGGGAAATTTGACCGAGGCTCGTCTCGCTCCGAGGTGAGAGGGTCGCGCGAAGCCGCACCGAGTGCGTCGATCGAGCGGGAGACTCGATGGGATCGAGGGACCTTGGCTCGATCTTGGCCATATAGCAGAGCATCTGGATCGCCCCTGGTATCGGTAAAGAACAAGTCGCGATCAAACGTCGACGAGTTGCCGGGATGCTCTGGATCGAGTCGAGGCTTTCTTGACGAAGAATCTGAGTCGACTCGGGTAGAGCTGCGGTGTTCGGAATATCTTGATGAGCGGAAAGGCGAGCGCGACCGATGTCGACGCTTGTCTTTGGAAGAGCCCGAATCGCGGTTATGGTCACGGTGGCTGCGGTGGCTGCGCTTTTCGTCCCGAAGCTTTGGATCACGGGCGTGGCTTGATTCCCCGCGGGACGACGGACCAGCAGCACTCGACTGGTCGGGATGCCGCTCCCGCTCCCGCTCGCTCTTGCGGAAGCGTTGACTGGAGTGCTCGGATTTTCGATGTCGACTGGTCTTGAGTGATGCTCCACTCACAGACGGAGAAAGGGCGGAAGGAGGTTTGTCGGTGCTGCTGGACGGGCTGGCTGTGGAGGCGGACTCGAGCGGTCGGAAGGAACTGAAGCGCGGAGGTTGAAGTGGGCGAGCCGAGGCGGGGGCATGGTCAGCAGCGCCATCTTGCCCGCGGTCTGCACTCATACGGAGTGGCTACGGGCAGACCGTTGTCGAAGGAAGCGGTGCGAGCATTCAAGGTGTCGGTTGGTGTCGGGAGCAGAGGGAGAGGGTCTTCTAGCTGGACCCTGTTGGTCACAAAAAGTTTGGCTGGGCAAGCCTCCACATCGGCGAATTTTTACGAATGTTAGGCCTCTGGAATACATTGTCAGCGATGGATGGAAAAGGCTTGCGGCCGATAGGAAGAAATTTGCGGCAGAAGGGGCCCATCACGTGAAGATGCGAGGCGAGGCACAGGTCCAGTCACAAAGGGCTGGCAGATTCTTCGCCCAATGCTGCTCAGTCTCCAGCGCCGTCAACCGCGCGCAACCTGCAGATCTGGATTCGAGGTTTCTGCAGTCCAAAGGCGAAGGTGTTGCTGAGCCTCTTCCAACCTGCTCGCTGCTCTCGACTTTGACACCATAATTTTGCGGCATACCTACAACAGCGACTGTACACGGACCGACCAGTCTCGACCACACCGCCGCCGCAGCACAATTCAGCACGTCGACCCGCGCACCAGATCCGTCGATCCGAACCTAGACAGCGCTCGAACGCACACCCTCTCCAACCCCCAACCAGACCCGCCAAGATGCGATTCTACAAAAAGGAACTGCCCGATGTGGACGAGGTGGTCATGTGCCAGGTGCAGCAGATCGCCGAGATGGGCGCGTACGTCAAGCTGCTCGAGTACGACGGTGCCGAGGGCATGATCCTGCTTTCCGAGCTCTCCAGACGTCGTATCCGATCGATCCAGAAGCTCATCCGCGTGGGCAGGAACGAGGTGGTGGTGGTGCTGCGTGTGGACAAGGAGAAGGGCTACATCGACCTGTCCAAGCGACGAGTGTCGCCCGAGGACGTGGTCAAGTGCGAGGACCAGTTCACCAAGTCGAAAGCGGTGCACAGCATCATGGCGCACGTTGCGGGCAAGCTGGGACGCGAGGTGGAGGAGCTGTACGACTCGATCGTCTTCCCATTGCACGACAAGTACGGCCACGCGTTTGACGCCTTCAAGCTCGCCATCCTCGACATGGACAAGACGTTCGAAGGCATCCAGATGGACGACGAGGTGCGCAAGGAGCTGCACGCCAACATTGCGCGCAGGATGACGCCGCAGCCGGTCAAGATCCGTGCCGACGTCGAGGTGACGTGTTTCGGCTACGAGGGCATCGATGCGGTCAAGAAGGCGCTGCGTGCCGGCGAGGCGGTCTCCAGCGAGGCCATCCCAATCAAGATCAAGCTCGTGGCGCCGCCGCTGTACGTGCTCATCACCAACTCCACCGACAAGGTGGGCGGCATTGCGCTCATGGAGCAGGCACTCGAAAAGATCACCGAGAGCATCCGCGCCAGCGGCGGCGACGTCAACATTAAGATGAAGCCCAAGACGGTGTCCGAGGTGGAGGACCAGGAGCTCGAGCAGCTCATGGCGCGTGTCGAGAAGGAGAACGCCGAGGTCGAGGGCGACGAGGACTCGGAGGGCGACGACTAAGTATGCGCTGTGCAGACTTTTCACCGGTCTTAAAGGCCTGCGCACGGCTGCTCCGCTCTCACAACCGTAGCAGGAGAGCACGGCTTGCACTCTGTATCAGTATTCGACCCCCTATTGGCGGTCTCGCAGCACGGCCGACCGATCCGACCCAATCCATTGCATGATACTTTCAATTGGCATTGCAAAGATTCGCCGCGACTCTCAGCAGGGCCACAGTAGCCGGTGAGGTGTGAGCAGCAGTGGGAAAGCATCCAGGCATATCCCAAGCAGTTGATTAAAGGCGGCTGCTGCAAAGCGGTCGTGTGAGATCGCCGAGCATCATATGAGAAAAGGGAAACGCTTCACACGCTTCACACGCTTCACACGCCTCAAGCGCTTGCTCGGTCGACGCGAAAAAAGGGTTTCCGGAGTGGAGCGACGGCCGCTTAGCCGGGCTGTCATCACCGAAAAAGGCACAAATGCGCATCGGCGGCACCGTCCGACGATCGGCTCGCTTCTGTACGCCCAGACAACGCACCACTGTCACTGTCATCACGCAGAACCAAATCGACGTTCGCTTTTGCGTGCTGGGTTGCAACTCTCTTCTGCTCCTCCATCAACAGGCAGACTGTATCCTGGAAGCTCGCCAGTGCCGAGAGCATCGTCGCATCTTTTTGGCCATGCTGTCTCGGCGCTAAGTCGTTTACTCCTTGGCCTCACGCCAACCACATCCATCCATCTCGACAAGAATGAGCCTCGCGCCATCAACCAACGATACCAAGCCGGCTGCCGACTCGGCTGCTGACGCGGCTGCCAGTCCGGCTTTGTCCCAGCACGGCGCGGCTAGCCATGCCAACCTCGTCCCCACCGCGCTCACCGTCGGCCTCGTCGTGGCACTGCTCACCATCGGCGTGCGCAATGCGGTGCTTGTGGTGGTCGTCTCGGCGCTTCTCGTGTGCAATCCATGGGTGCGCACCCTGCTCGAGCTTCCAAGCACCGGCGACAAACGCGGCCTTTCCACCTTTGATCCCGCCCGCTACCTCCTCTCCTACACGCCAGAAGCAGCCGCACGCTCCAACGACGCTTCATCCGCCCAAGACGATACCACCGCCGATGCTGCGTCGCAAGAAGATGCGCTCATGCAGACCGACCGACTCTATTCGCTCAGCGAGATGCCCAATGCGCTCCGGCAGAGCTCTCAGACCATGATCCGCTTCGTCGTGCGCGACTTTGTGCAGGGCTGGTACGACAACCTCACATTCGCACATCCCAACTTTCCCATCTCGGCGGAAGCCAACATCTCGCACACGGCCACGAGCGTCTACCTACGATCGCGCCAGCTCAAGAGCGCCAACACGTCGGCAGAGATGCTGCTTACAGTGCAGAGCGTGCTGCTCTCGTCGCTGCGCCGTCGACGCATCTCGAATCAGTACTCCAACGGTGCGGCTGCGGCGGCGGCGGCTCGCTCCACCTGGCCCAGCACCGCCGCGCGTGTGGATGCACTGCGCAAGGCGGTGCGCAAGTTTCTCTCGCGCAACCTCGCACCTGCAGAGCGCTCGAGCCCCGTGGTCATGCTGCTTCTCACCGAGGTTGTGGCCAAGCAGGCGTGGCAGGTGGTGCACACCATCGGCGACCCGGACTTTATCAACCAGAAGATCGTCCAGTGGGCCGAGCCCGCCTCTGAGACCAGCCTAGAAGCGCAGACCATCTCGCCCGAAGAGCTCGAGCGTCTCAAGTCGCTCGATACCGCTGCTTTGGACCGTCAGACATCGGAAGCCTCGAATGCGCCAGCCAAACGCGCCACTCAACCGAATTCATTCGAGGAAGCAGTCCCTCCGACCTCGTCTCTGCCAACACAACCTTTTCATGCTCCGGTGCCGCGCTCAAGATCGCCAGACACCGTTCCGCAGCCAAAGATGTCACTGGACGCGCAGCCGCGAGCGAACCTTCGCATGCCACCAGCGTCAGCATCGCATCCGGCTGCGTTGGCCGATCGCGCTCGGCCACGTGCGACACCGCCCAAGAAGTCCAACAGTTCGGGCCCCTTTTCGGCGCTGGGTGGATTCGCGACAGGCGCGTTGGGCGCCTTGGCCGATGCTGCTGAGCGCGCCGTGGATGTGGTCGGAGGCACGGTGGATGAATTCGGCAACATGCTCATGGTGCCTGCCGATCCGTCGGCGCGCGCACAGAACTCCGGGAGCGGCACCGCCAGCCCTACGAGCACCACGTCGCCACGTCGTCGGTATGCGCTTTTGGCCGAAAGGGAGGCCGGTGAGGTGCGCCCGGGGTCTCCTTCGCCAAACCGGACCGGCGCAAATGACCATGCGAACCGCTCTGCGCCCGCATACCACCTAGACATGCCGTCGGGGGTTGACGAGCCAGAGCTTCCCGCATCGCTGCGCCAGAGCCTGCGCACGAACACGGGTTCGGATGCGGCCAACGAGCCGCGTGGGTTCGAGATCCCCGAGACTCCACAGCATCGCTCGTACGACGCACCCGCGATTGTGGCACCTGCCCCCGTTGCTGCTGCGCTCAACTTTGCGTCGCGCGACAGCATGTCGATGGACTCGAACGAAGGGGACGCGCAATCATCGTTGGAGGCGATGCATCAGCTGCTCTCGGACCGGAGCTCGGCGGCGTACGATGCATTCGAGGCGTTCCTCGAAGAGCCGGGCAACCGGTACTGTGCGCCGAACGAGGGCGAGTCGCTGCTGCGGCTGCATACGCAGCTCAACACGCTGGCGAGCATCATGGAGTTCACCACACTGGACGAGCAGACGTTCCGAGCGGATGCGAGCACGATCCTGAGCAAGGCGCTGGAGCAGCTGCCGAGCACGCTGCCGCCGACGCACGACGGGCAGCAGCCGGTGCTGGTTCGGCGCAGCGCACAGCAGGTGCTGACGAACCTCGAGTGGTGCGCCAACATGGATGTGGTGGAGCCGCTGCGGGAGAACATCATTGCAAGGCTGGTGCAGCTGCACAATGCGCTGCGAGCTGCGCGCGATGGAGGGACGAGCGAACCGCCGAGTGCCGTATCGAGCCCGATGAAGACGAGGTTTGGCGACGAGATGGCGAGGAGCGAGTCGCCCGAGCCGAACCAGCTGCGCGCGTTTTTGGAGCGCGAGAATCGGCCGAGCTTCTCGAGCACCGACTCGGAGCGTGGGGCGTTGCGGTACGAGCCGCGCAGGAAGCCGACGGGGCCTGCTACGCAAGGATCGCTGCTGCAGCCGGCAACGCAGACACCTCCGCGTGCGCCGTCGGTGCCGCCGGGGGCGGCGGGAGGGGCACCTGTGATGGGCCCGCCGCTGGGACCGTCTCGACCGATGTCGGTGCCTCCGCGCGTGCCGTCTGCGCCACCACGCGCGCAGCCGATGGTGCTGCCCGGTCATGCGGCCGAGGCGCCTCGGCAGAGCATGGACGCTGCGCCGGCGTCGAACAGCGTCGAGGTGAGCGTGACGGACATCAGCGCGAATGCGGAGAGTGGGCGTGCGGTGGACGTGCGCACGTTCGAGGTGATGATCTCGGTGGAGGGTGTAGGCGAGGCGAGCGGGGCTGGTGCGGACGGATTTGTGCTGGTGCGGCGGTGGCACGAGTTTGAGCAGATGGACGCCGAGGTGCAGCGCCAGCCGCGCTCGAGCCGCCCGCTGCCGCGGCTGCCCGTGGTCAAGGGCCGACGCAGCGCCGAGGTGTGCGGTGCGCTCGAGGCGTATCTGGGCGAGCTGCTGCACGCGGATCAGCGTGCGCAGCTGGCGGCGGTAGGTGGCGCCAGGCGGTTTTTGGACCGTACGCGTGCGGGAGCGTCGGTGGAAGATCTGCGTCGAAAGGGCGGCGCTGGCGCACTGCTCGGCGGCATTGGCAAGGGCATCGTCAGCGGCGTTGGCATGGTTGGCAAGCAGACGGCCAAGACGGCCACGGCGACGGCGGCGACGGCTGCGAGTGCAGCGACTGCAGCGACGGTGGCGACAGGGATGCAGGTGCCGGGATCGCCGGTGGCCGATTCGGCATCGGGCACTACGTCGGCGTTTGTGTCGCGCGCGAATTCGCCGTCTGCTTCGCCGTCTCGCCGTGCGGGCCGGGAAGGCGCAGCGATGGTCGGTGGTGCTCAGCCTGCAACGGGTGGGGCTGGAGCGAAATCGGAGCTGAGCGCGCGCCAGTTGGACATGCTGTTGTCGTCGATCTTTGCGGTGGCGGACGAGGCGTTCAACGTGCAGGGCGGATGGACGCTGCGACGCGGGATGCTGCGGGTGCTGGAGCAGGTGGTGCGCACGACGTACGCGTCCTCGATTGTGGCGGGCTTCAACAATGCGGCTGCGGGGCTGAACGTGGAGAATGCGGCCAAGTGGATTGCGCAGCTGGCGGAGACCATGTGGCCGAACGGACGGCGATGGGGGTCCGAGGTTGGCACGCCGGACGAGGTGGTGCCACGGACCGAGGCGCAGAAGCGTGCTACGGCGGAGCGCGCGCGTCAGATTGTAGTGTCGTATGCCCCGGCGCAGGCGGGATACGTGCTGGGACCGGGAGGCAAGATGGCGTGCGTCAAGGCGCTCGCCGAGGTGCACGAGACGGTCATGGACCCCATCACGGCGTCCGACCTCGGGCTGACGGTGGTGCTCAAGGCGCTCGACATGGCGAGTCGCTAGGTCGAACACCGGCTGCCAAACTGACTGCCAATGACAAATGATTTTAGAAGGAGAATTCAGGGTGTGAATGCGCGCGAGGGTCTGTGTTACTTTTGGGCGGTGTTGGAAAGTGCAGTTGTGGAAGCTCCGCTCCGGTGGAAGAGGGTTCGCGCGCGCGCATGCACCCCAAGCGAGGGGAGCGTCGCTCATGCGCGGAGTCCGTGGATGGTGCGGGGAAGCTGACGCTGCTGGTGTTCAAGCGGGCCATGCGAGGTGCATCTCGGTAGAGGCGGAGGCGTTGCGGGGAAAGCAACGGCCATGCCTCGAGTGTGGGGAAGGGAAGGCAAGGGTAGGACGACACTCGACTCGGGCGAGAAAAGTTAGACTTCATGCATGGACCGACGTGCATTTCACGCGCAAAGCGGATCTTTGCTAGATGCAGCGCTGCGTGACGCGCCACCACCATGGTGTCCCGCTGTATATGCATCCGAGGTTGTATAGCGCAGAATGGCTCTCGGCTCAAAGCACAATTTTGACGGGGTTAGATAAGGCCGCAGTTGCTACTCGCGCAAAGGGGGGGGGGCGAAGAAATGGAAAGGGTCCTGCTAGCTGGGATCGACAGTGGCGAGGCGATGCGAGGCCTAGAGGTGGGACCGCGCGCGCTCTGCCAAATTGCGGCGTGAAAGCAGCGAAAAAAGGGCGCGCGTGAGGCTCTCTCTCGGCTGGATTACAAACCCAGTCGACTCGGATTGGATGCCAATTTTCTAGGCCAAGGGCTCAGCGACCCTGAAGAGACGGACACCAGGCTCCGGTCGTGCCGCCTGTCAACCGGTCCATCGAGTGGGCTCTTGTGCCGGAGCATCGCTGCCTCCCGCTCCTCCTCCCTTCTGCCTACCCCGCAACCCGTCGAGGCCGCCACACATCTCGCTGGCAGTTCCTCACTTGCACCTTGTCTTCCCATCCACCACCATCTCACCGCATTCATCCCACCCTCCCCGGCCCCCACACCTTCTTTCACAATGTCTGCACAGAAGCAGGGCGCATCCGCCCCCCAGCGCAAGGAGTACACGCGCGAGGAGGTCGCCAAGCACAACAAGCAGGGCGACCTCTGGATCGTCATCGACGCCGAGGTCTACAACGTCTCCAAGTTCTCCGAGCTCCACCCGGGTGGTGAGAACGTCTTCCACGACGAAGAGGTCGCCGGTCAGGACGCCACCGAGACCTTCTTCGGCCTCCACCGCCGCGAGGTGCTCTCCAAGCCCCAGTACCAGCGCCTCATCATCGGCACCATCAAGGGCGAGCAGTCCAAGCTCAAGCCAGACCCGCTCGGCAGCCCTTCGCGCGTCCCCTACGGAGAGCCCACCTGGCTCACCCCCGCCTACCACTCGCCCTACTTCAACGACTCGCACCGCCACCTCCAGCGCGAGTGGCGCAAGTATGTCGACGAGAACATCATCGAGGTGGCGCAGCGCTGCGAGGACTCGGGCAAGCGTCCCGATGTCGAGCTCGTCAAGATGCTCGGCAAGAACGGCATCAACGCCATGCGCATGGGCCCCGGCAAGCACCTCCACGGACGCACCCTCTTTGCCGGCATCAAGGGCGAGGAGTTCGACTACTTCCACGAACTCATCCTCACCCAGGAGCTCGTCCGCTGCGGCCAGCGCGGATTCGGCGACGCCCTCAACGGCGGCATGGTCATCGGCCTGCCCCCCGTGATGAACTTTGGCTCCGACGAGCTCAAGAAGGAGATTGTCGAGCCCGTCCTCGCCGGCGACAAGTTTATCTGCCTCGCCATCTCCGAGGCCTTTGCCGGCTCCGACGTCATGGGTCTCCGCACCACCGCCACCCTCACTGAAGACGGCGAGCACTACATTGTCAACGGCACCAAAAAGTGGATCACCAACGGCACCTTTGCCGACTACTTTTCCACCGCCGTCAAGACCGACCAGGGCTTCGCCATGATCTGCATCCCGCGCTCCGCCGGCAACGTCGAGACCAAGCAGATCAAGACGTCCTACTCGACCACGGCGGGAACCGCCTACGTCACCTTCGACAATGTCAAGGTGCCCAAAAAGTACCTCATCGGCGAGGACGGCATGGGCATCTACTACATTCTCTCCAACTTTAACCACGAGCGCTGGGTCATGTGCTGCTCCACCATCCGCGCCGCACGCGCCGTGTGCGAGGAGTGCATGCTCTGGATCCACCAGCGCAAGGTGTTTGGCAAGCCGCTCACCTCGCAGCCCGTCATCCGCCAGAAGCTCGCACAGATGATCTCGCTCGTCGAGGCTGCGCAGAACTGGCTCGAAAACGTGACGTACCAGATGTGCAAGATGTCCTACGCCCAGCAGTCCAAGTTCCTCGCGGGTCAGGTCGGCCTGCTCAAGTCGTGGTCCACGCGCGTCTCGCACGAGGTCGCCGACGGCGCCGTCCAGATCTTTGGCGGTCGCGGCCTCACAAAGACGGGCATGGGCAAGTTTGTCGAGATGTTCCACCGCACCTACAAGTTTGACGCCGTGCTCGGTGGCTCCGAGGAGGTGCTCGCCGATCTCGGCATCCGACAGGCGCTCAGGATGATGCCCGAGAACGCGCGTCTCTAAAGGCGATCCCGCCTACGAATGTTACGCGCCTTTGCCACTTTGAGCAAATGTCAGAATGATTCCACAGCAAAGCTTTCGCGCGTGACAACAGAGTGAAAGCAAGATGAAATTGAGATGGGGAGCGGGGCTCAACGCGACGACTTTGCTTTTTTGAGCGACTTTTCCATGCGTTTCTGGTCCTCGGGGTTGTCCAACGACAGCATGGCGTCTGCATCTGCGTTGGCGTCCGCCTCGGCCGCGGGGGCGTTCTTGTTGTTGTTGGAGGGGGGAGAGACCTTGAGTTTGCACAAGAAGAAGCCGTCGAGGTTGTGGACGTGCGGGAAGATGCGGCGAGCCAGAGGCATGCGTTCGTCAAACTTGCTGCGGCCAAACGCCTTGAATCCGTCGCGGCCAAACTTGATTCCCGTATCGACGATCTTGACGTTGGAACGCTTGCGCAGCGCGTACTGCACCACCTCTTCGTTTTCCTCCACCATGACTGAGCAGGTCGAGTACACCACGTATCCGCCCGTGCTCGAGCGGGGATTGACACTGTCGATGGCACACAGCAGAAGCTGCTTCTGCAAGTGCGTCAGCAGCGCAAAGTCGCGCTCCGACTTGTTCACCTTGACCGACTGGTCCTTGTGGATCACACCCGTGCCCGAACACGGCGAATCCAACAACACCCTATCGAACCCACCGATCACCTTGGGAAACTGGCGTCCGTCGTAGTTGCACACCACGACGTTCTTGCAACCGAGACGGTGGATGTTGGCCACCAACGACTTGATGCGGTTCTTGTTCGAGTCGTTGGCGAAAACCGTGCCCGTGTTCTGCATGAGTGCCGAGAGGTACGTCGACTTGCCACCGGGTGCCGAGGCCATGTCGAGCACGCGCTCGTTGGGCTGCGGTGCAAGCGCAATGCACGGCAGGAAACTCGATGCGGCCTGAAGCATGTAGTGCCCCGCGAGGTACTCGGGCGTCGCGCCGATGGGCACGCTCGACTCAAACACCTGCAGCCCCACCTTGCTCCATGCACCGATGGGCTCCAGGTTGACGCCGCGGTTGATGAGCGCCTGCGCCAGATCGCGTCGACGCGTGCGCAGCGTGTTGGCCCGGATCGTCACCGGACGCGGCGTCTCGTTGGCCTCGAAAAACTCGATCGCCTCGGCGGGCGTAAAGAGCTCAAACAGCTTCTCGGCAAGGAAGGCGTTGTAGCCGTAGTACGTGCAGATGTCCGACAGCAGCTGCTCCACGTACTCGGAGCGCGATCGTCCGTCCACCGCCAGCTTCTTGAAGTTCGACAGCACCGTCACGATCTCCTGGATGCGCATGTGCACCAGCTGCAGATCCGCGCCGCGCATCTTTTCCGCCTCGCGCTCCTCGAGCGTAGGCAGCATGAACTCGGCGCCCTCGTCTGCCTCTTCGTCGTCGTCGTCTTCGTCCTCGTCATCTTCTTCGCTGTTGGGCTCGTCGTCCTCGTCCAGCTGCTCGTCGTCCTCGCCCAGCACCTCGTCGTCCTCATCGAGGTCAAACTCGTCGCCAAGCTCCTGCTCTTCGTCAAGCTCCTCCTCTTCTGCCTCCTCGCCGTCCTGCTCGTCGTCGTCCGAGTCGTCCGAGTCGAGCGAGAGGCCCTGGCTCTTGAGCAGCTCCTCGAGACGTTCTGCCTCGGCGAGCGCCTTCTTCCTTTGTCGCTCGGTGAGCTTGCCGTTCGTTGGCAGGCCGAGTGCCTCGAGCGGGTCTTCCTCGGCTTCCTCAATTTCCTCCTCCTCCTCGTCCTCGTCCTCATCGTCGTCGTCCTCTTCCTCCTCCTCTTCGAGCTCCTCTAGCTCCTCGTCATCCTCGTCGTCCAGCTCCTCCTCCTCGCTAGGCTCTGGCGACGGCGATGGCTGCTTGCGCTTGGAGCTTGGCTTTGCGGCAGTCTTGGATGTGGAAGGCTTGGTGGATGGTCTGGAGCTGGATACAGACGTGCGTGCGGCGGTGCGCGTGGTGGCAGAGGCGCCCGAAGTCGCCTTTTGCTTTTTGGCGGGCAGCGACGACTCCTGCGCCTTCCTCTTTCCCTTGTTGACGGGGCGGTCCTCCGGCAGAGGCTGCGGGGGCGCCTGCTTGTTCTTCGATCGGCGACCCATGATGTGAGCTGTTGTGACTATGCAGGAGCGGCGATGGTGGTGAGAGAAGGTGCGTAGCGGCTCAAGAAGAAGCACCAACCCAACTGATGCAAAATTTGGGCTCTTCTCGACTGCGCCAAAAAGGGCTGTGGAGCTGCACCTGCATCTTTCCAGCGCCTGGCCCCACTTTTTTTTTTTTCTTCAGCTGCAGCAAAAATTTCGAAGCCAGAATATCATTTCGTCCTTGATCCGGCCTAACATAAAGAGGAAAAATGGAGATCGCCGATGCGACAGCCTCCACAGACGTCACATCTGAGCACAGAGTCACATCGCCCATCACCTCGGAAAAAGAGCGAAATCCCGCGGTTGGGCAGATGCGCAGAGCGATGGAAGAGTATAGCCGGCGCCTCCGCGATCCTATCGATAGCCGATGGCCGCCGACGCCCGACCCACCCCAAGCATCCCTTCCGACCATCACCTGCCATCCCTCGCTCTTCCGCGAAACCACAACAAACGTCACCATGGCCAACCTCATGTCCGTCTTTGCCCAGCGTCAGGGCTTCGACGCTTCAGCTACAGCCATCGTGCTGCCCAAGTCGTCGCCCACGCCCTTCACCTTTTCGTACGAGCGTCTGCATGCGCTCGTGCTCGACCTTCAGGCGCAGCTCGCCTCGTTCAACCTCGCGCCCGGCAGCGCAGTCAGCTCGTCGCTCGTCAACGGCATCGAGTTCACCCTCGCCTTCCTCGCCACGGGTGCGCAGAGGCTCATCGCTGCACCGCTCAACCCCAACTACTCGCAGGCCGAGGTCGAATTCTACCTGCAGGACACCAAGTCTCAGCTGCTCCTCCTGCCCAAAGGTGCGCTTGCTGCCGGTCATCCTGCCATCGAAGCCGCCAAGAAGCTCGGCAACGTGCAGGTCGTCGAGGTCGTCTTTGACCCTTCCGGCAACGGCAGCGTCTCGCTTCGAAAGGCCGATGGGTCCAGCATCGCACCCAGCAAGCAGCTCGAAAAGCCGCGCGACGACGACGTCGCGCTCGTTCTCCACACCAGTGGCACCACAGGCAGACCCAAGGGTGTGCCGCTCACCCACGCCAACCTGCACACCACCATGCGCAACATCATCGGCACCTACACCCTCACCCCGCACGACCGCACCTACCTCGTCATGCCCCTCTTCCACGTGCACGGCCTTCTGTGCGGTCTGCTCGCCACCTTGCTCTCTGGTGGCAGTGCCGTGATCCCACCCAAGTTCTCGGCGAGTGTCTTCTGGAGCGAACTGGCGGGCAACGGGTGCAACTGGTACACGGCCGTGCCCACCATCCACCAGATGCTGCTCAACTCGCCCCTGCCCAACCCGGTGCCCAAGCTGCGCTTCATCCGATCGTGCTCCTCGGCGCTCTCGCCCTCCACCTTCCACGCCATCGAAAAGACGTTCCAGGCTCCCGTGCTCGAGGCGTATGCCATGACCGAGGCGTCGCACCAGATGACCTCCAACCCGCTCCCGCCTGCCAAGCGCAAGCCGGGCACGGTGGGTATCGGACACGGTGTCGAAATTCGCATTCTCGACGAGCAGGGTAACGAGGTGGCCCAGGGTAATGTGGGTGAAGTCAGCGCGCGTGGCGCCAACGTGACCAAGGGCTATTTGAACAATGCCAAGGCCAACGAGGAGTCGTTTGTACGCTCCGGACCCAACTCGGGCTTCTTCCGTACGGGCGATCAGGGACGAAAAGACCCCGATGGATACGTTGAGCTGGTGGGACGAATCAAGGAACTCATCAACCGAAGCGGTGAAAAGATCTCGCCTCTCGAAGTCGACGCCGCTCTACTGGCGGTTGAGGGAGTTAAGGAGGCAGTGTCGTTTGCTATGCCCGATCAACTGTACGGCGAAAAAGTAGGCGCCGTCGTCATCCTCCACTCCAACACCCAGCTGGACGAAAAGAAGATCCAGGACGCAATGCAGGGAAAGATCGCAAAGTTCAAGGTCCCCGAACGCATTTGGATCACCGATGTGATTCCCAAGACCGCAACGGGCAAGATCCAGCGCAAGAACGTCGCCGCTACCTTCTTGCGTAAGGACGGAGCCAAGTTGTAAACCCACCTCCAAACGCTTCCTCTCTACAGATCGAAATCCCAGATGCACTTGCTCCCCGCGTCCGCGTTCGGGAAGCGTCCCCTTCCGCACTGTGTGTGCTGTGAGCGCAGACCCCCTAGCCCCGACTCGCACAATGTGACACTGAGATACTTGGACTGCATTTTTTTTTCCACTTGGGCGCGGGCTACCACGCGGTGTCAAAGCGCTGCACGACATTCACGGCATCCTCGACGTCCTTCTGCGCACGCTTGCGCTTGAAGAAAATGGGGCAGTCCTTGTTGGTGCACAGCACGTCCTGCGCCAGACTGCCCTGGCACCGCTGGCAGCACGTCCAGAGCCGTGCAAATTCGACCTCGAGCGCCGAGGCGCGCGCGAGCTTTTCGTGGTACAGCTGCGCCACGCGCGGCCGGCAGTTCTTGCACACGGGCGTATTCTGCTCGCGCAGCGGCGTGCGGCATCCCAAACACTGCACCGTCTTGACCGCAAACTTCATGAGCGCGCCCACATTCGACGTGGCCACCTGCACCACGCGCGTATGCTCGCCATTGAGCATCGTATTCGCCTTGGGCCCCATGATGGGCTCAAAGATGCGCAGCAGCGGCTTGGCCAGCTGATTCTCGAGATAGTAGCGCGTGTCGATGGGGATGTTGTGGTCCAGCACATAGATTGGGTCTTCGGAGCGCTCGTACGCCGCCGCACCCTTGGCCGCCTTGACGATCACGTACGCCACACGGTCGCCCAGCGCGGGCGCCGAACCCGCATCGCGCTTGCGCATGCGCTCGGCCAGCTCGACGTGCGCCTGCTTGGCGGCATAGTCGGCCTTGGCGAGCGCCTTGGTGATGACGAGCTGCGACATGTCCACCTTGTTCTGCAGCAGGTCCGAGATGATGTTCTTGGCATACTCCTCGGCGCCCTTGACGTCGCGGTCGATGAGCATCTTGCGCAAGCACGTGTCGATGACGGTCTGCACCAGCCGGCAGTTGTCGCGACGCACCGTCTCGATCCCCTTGGTGTCCATCTTGTCGTACTTTTCCGGCTTGGTCCAGTAGAGCCCCGCGTAGCGCTTCTTGCTGATGAGCAGGTAGGGAAAGTAGACCTTCTCGAACTCGAGCTTGATGGGATCGACAAACGTCTTGGACACCAGCGCCGCCGCCTCGGCGCCGAGCTCCATGGCCTTGGCGAGGTCCGGCACGCCAAACTTGATCATGACCGAGTCCGTGTCGCCGTAGACCACCTCGGCGTCGTGCTCGTATCCGTTGGCGATGGTGTAGTGGCGCTCGACGTACGCTTTTGTCTGGTCGATCATCTGTCGTCCGTAGGCGGTGGTGCTCATCGAGATCTCGAGGCACGGCAGCTTGCCGATGGTGGCGCCCGTGAAGCCGTAGACCGAGTTGGCGCTGATCTTGAGCGCGAGCTGGCGACCGTCGAGCACGGCGCGCTTGAAGGGGTCGGTCTCCTTCTTGAGGTCCGCCTTGGCGCGCTTTCGTGCAGCGAGCAGATTTTCGAGCACGGTGGGGAGCAGCCCTTTGCGCAGCTTCTTGGTGGCAAAGCAGTTGTTGTTGGGCGTCACGACGTAGTCCTCGTCCTGCTTGAGCTCCAGGCGGTCGATGGTCTTCTTGTCGAGCAGGGTCGTGTAGCAGAGGTTGTGCGCCATCATGACCGACGGGTAAAGCGAGGCGAAATCGAGTGTGGCGATGGGACGGTCGTAGTAGCCCGCCTTGGGCTCGAGCACGGTGGCACCTTCGTACTGGTCCTCGGTGCCTTCGCCCTTGTAGGCGGGGACGAGGTAGTTGTCCTCGTTGGCCTTGCGGAAGAGCTGGGAGACGACCTTGATCTGCTGACCGCGCGAGAGGAGGTAGTTGAAGGGGACGCCGGTGACTCTGGCCATCTCGATGTAGTTGATGAAGCACATGAGCTTGTCCATGAGACGCTGTGGCAGATAGGCGTCCTTGAGACAGTAGACGGCGAGACGGCGACGCGATTCGGGACCTGCGTTCTGGAGCTCGGTGATGAGCGAGTGGTGCACGTCCTCCTTCTGCTCGCCGAGGAACTCGAACGAGACCGAGTTGAGCGAGTAGGAGCGCAGCTTGTAGTCGCGCTGCATGACCTGGAGCATGTCGAGCTGAAGGCGGCCCTGGAGTTCGGTATTTTTGGAGTCGCGCGTGCCGTAGGCTTTGGAGGAGAAGTGGGTCTCTTTGGCTTCGGTGCGCACGCCGCGTTCGCGCCCGAGGTAGGCAAACTTGGTGGACTTGAGCGCCTTTGCACGGTCGAGGAGGTAAGGAAAGTCGAAGTTGGCGATGTTGTAGCCGATGACGACGTCTGGGTCGACCTCCTGCACGAACTTGGTCCAGGCTTCGAGCATGTCGATCTCCTTGTTGAAGGAGAGCACCTGACTGCCGACGATGTGGGAGCAGGTGTTGAGCGTAAAGACGTTCTTGACAAAGGGTGTGGATTCGCCTTGACGGGTGACCATGTTGGCGATCTGGATGACGGGGTCGACGGAAGGCTCTGGGAAGACGCCCTTGCGACCGGCGCACTCGATGTCGAAGCTGAGGATGCGGAGCGGAGCGACCTTGGACCACTCTGCGTCTGGAGCATGGGAGACGAGCGCATCGCAGCTGCAGTCGAGCTCGATCTGGCAGAGGGATACCTTTTGTGACTCTGGACGCAGCTTGTAGTTTGCCTCCTTGACGCGGATCCAGTTCATGCCGACGATCTTGAGATCGATCATGAAGCGGAGGGTGTAGGCGATGTTTTCGTAGGTGAGGCAGACGTCGCCGGCGGTGAAGAGGTCGCGGAAGCCGATCTCGCCACGTTCGAAGGAGCCGCGGATGCGGGGAAGGCTGCGGAGGTCAGAGATGGTGAGTTTGATAAAGGCGACGTTCTCCTGGCCGGCGTAGCCCATGAGGCTCTTCTTGCTGACGACCTGTGCGTTGTGTACGGTGCGTGCGCCGAAGAGGACGTTGAGATGGTTGGCAAAGTCGTTGCAGGTGTTGGCGGTGAAGCCACGCGGAGCGTGGATGTAAAAGTAAGGGAGGAAGCCGTGGACGTGGGCGCAGACCGAGTTGCCTTGTGCGGTGACGCCGTACATGCGGATCGCGGGAGGCTGACCTACGGCTTGGTGTTCTTCGATATCGATCTGCTGGAAGGTGACGGCATCGTTGTCGACGTCGAGGGGCTCGAGGTCGGGGCGAGGCCAGAGCGCCTGGTCGTCTACGTCTTGATTCGAGTCGGCCTCCTCCTTGAGCCTTTTGAGCGTGTCTGTGAAGGCGGAGGAGTGATGCTCGTCGATCTTGCGTTTGCTCGATGATGATGGACCGGCCGTTGGCCGAGCCATCGTGTCTGTCGAGACGGGCGCCATGATGAGCGTGTCGGCAAGCTGCCGAAGGGTGAGTGCCAAGGCGGAGGATCCGAATCGACTTGCGGAGGTGCCGATCGACAAATGCTTGAGCTGCTTGCGGGTGCAGCCAACGTCGAAGGAGGGGGAGGCGGAGATCGATGAGTCTGTTGAGGCCGTGACGGAAAGCAGCCGAAGTGTGGCACGGACGAAGGAGATGCCGGCTGAGCACCGTTGACGGTTTGGCCAGGGTCTGGCGTTCTGGGGCAGCAGCTGAGCGGCGTGAGTGAGCGGGCGAGCAGGCGGAATTTTGAGGGCCACTCTGCGCGACGCGTGCCGCGCAGCAGAGCATCGAGCGCGAAGAGACCAACACCGCCCGAAAAGAAAAGCAAAATGTGAGATTGGTCGAAATTCGAAATTCGTAGGCTCGGGTCCCTTTGATGTCCGCTCTTGACAGCTCGTCAGGTTGGGCCAGCTGAGCGCTTGATGCTGAGCATCTACAGTAGCATGGCTGTGATGGCAAGACCGCAGCTCGATCGGCATGGCCATACGCTAAGATGAGGAGCGAGAGGGAGGAACGCAACGATGCGGCTCCGTTGTCGGGATGTGATCAATGGCCGCTGTCACCTCCACTCGGACGAAGCGCCGACGTCTTGCGCAGCGGCTGCAGGTGGAGAGTGCTTGTTTCGAGCACGGGACCGGCTTGCTGCGCTTGGCCCTGCATCCGAATGTGACGCTTGCAGAGGTCAACAGCACAGTCGCAATGGCTGCTCGTCGGCTCGAAGCTGCACTGCACGCATCGGCATTGTTCCGCACTGAAAAGCGTGCCGAGCTCGGAGCGCAGTCACACGCGGAGGGAAGGATTTGCAATCGCTGCTGACCTCCCTTTGTTGTCGTCACATTGGGCACACGGCCGCTCAGCTTCGACCCACCTTCGTCTTGAGAGGCCGTCCCTTTGCACTTGGCTCCACACTCTGAATGGCTGCAGCTCATGCAAGTCGTGCATCGGCACCCATTCGACCTGCATTCCAGCCGTCCACGCTGCTACGCCTCGAGGGTGCCCATCAAAGGGCTTCTCGGCCACTCCATTGTCTTGAGCACGTAGAGAGGCCCAAGCATCGCTCGCTCCCTCACCCATCAACCAGCTATCCACACTCCTTTCAAGTCGTCGACGCCATGTCCACACGCTGCTTGCCCATCAACCTCCATCGGCGTGCTGCATTGGCTCGTCCATTCGCTGCGCCTACCCTCCGTCTCGACAAGGCGATCGCTTTCTCATCCTAATCCGACTGCTGCAACAAAACCGCACCGGATCTGCAAGAGCCCCACCACCTCATCTGCCACCGCCTCAATCCAACCCAAACATGCTTTGCGCATGCAGCTCGTCCAAAACGTTATTTGACGCTGCCCCCGGCCCATCACACCAAGTCGCTCAAAATCGCTCCGCATTGCCCTTTTCCGCTCGCCGGCAACTCGCTCCAGCCAACCTCATTCGCACCGCACAGAGCCATCACAACGCCTTGATTCATTTCCCTCGCTGGTAACCCGCAGCCAAAAGAGGTCAGCCGGCTGCCTTTGCGGCAGGCAGAAAGCTGCTCCCACGCTTTCCGCTCCGCTCGGCTTCCTCGGGCTCCAGCGTCGATCCTTTGGCCGCGTCTTCGCTGCTGCCCTCCTCTTTAAATCGGCTCGGCTCGGACAGTTCTTCCATCGTGAATATCAAACGGTCGCTTTCTTGTCCGCCACCTCGCACTCTCTTCCCTGACTGGCGCCGCTACCATACACCATGCATCCTTCCACCGAAGCAGGGCCATCACGACCCGGTCGCTCGCGTTCAAAAAGTCTCGCCAAGAAGGCAGAGGATCCAGCCCAATCCGCAATGCTGCTCCACCACTCCAACATGGACGACATGCCCGTCTTCTCTCCCGTCCTCCGCAAGATTCCTCGTCCGCCTAATGCTTTCATTCTCTACCGATCCGCCAAAATGCGCGAGATCTCAAACAGCGACAAGAATCGTAACACCGGTACCGGCCTAGGCAAGCTGGACTACCAGCGCCAGTTGAGCAAACAAATCGGCCAGCTCTGGCGTAACGAGACCCCAGAGGTCAAAGCCGCTTTCTACGACAAGTCAAAGCAAGCAGCTCGAGAACATGCTCAGCGATACCCAGAGTATCGATTCAAGCCCGGCAAAAAGGGGGCTGCAGCCGCCGACGATCCCTCAACCTCTTCCACCCCCACCAAATCAGTAGCCGATACCACCTCACACTCTCGCACCGGCAGCAACGACTTCTCCCCCGTCAGCGGCCCCGTATCGGGCTCAGGATCCGGCAGCGGCCGCAAGAGGGCCTCGCTCGAAAGCGCAAGGTCAAAAGCTTCGCCCTATTCTGCAAGTCACCACCGCCGCTCATCTTCCACCAATTCCACCTCCCCCACCCGCAGGCGATCCAGCGACCCGATCAAGCAAGGTCCAATCCACCATGTTGATCCCGTTGCGCTACACCAACCAACACCAAGCTTGGTTATTGCTCCGCAACAGCAGCAACGCCAGTACACCTCTCACCGGTCGTCGGCCGAGCATGCGCCCACGCATCCATCGTCACAAAACTCCTTCGACACGCTTCTTCCACCGCACCTCCGAGAGCGGTCTCGCGTCTTCCTGGCTCCGCTCGACAATCCCAACGCCCCTCCAATTCCTGTCGGTCAGGCTATCACCACGACTCAGGCGGTCCCAGTCGTCACACCCAAACGTGAAGCCTCTCCTCCACGACACAGGCCCAAGATGGGTCTCGCCGAGGCCGTCAAGCGCGCCCTGCCTCCCGAGAGACGCGCTCTTTTGCATGCTTCCCTCATCAGAAAGGGTCTCATACCCGTCTCTGACCAAGACGCCCCATCGCCGCTCACCCAAGGCCTGCCTTGTCCTCCACCCACATCCGAGCAAGCTACGCAGAGCCAGTCTGCATCCCAAGGCTCCACACCGAGCCTCGTGCAGACAGACTCGTGGAGCTCGATCACCAATTCTAGCATCCAGATGGACAGGTCGCATACTTGGCACGCTCAGGCATCGATCATTCAAGGAGAGACCTCACCTGACTCTTCTTGGCCAACAGCAAATGCCACGAGCACAGAGGACCTGCTTCCCTCGCCAGATCCTGCATTGCAGGATTCCGTTCCCATGCCACCGACCCAAGGCTCGAGCATCAACATCAGCATGAGGCCTGCCGACGCAGCACGATACCACGAACTCTCGGTCTGGAATCTGCCCGAGCAAGACTGGTCCCAGAACTCATGGACGTGGGCAGACCCAGCCAGCGACAGTACCATGCCCGCATCTCAAGCATCCGTCGCCATGACCTTTGATGTGAATGATTCGACGATTTCTCAGGACGCACACACCGCGGCCTCGCAGACCATGTCCCAACACCATGCACCAGTGGACGTCGCCTTCAACAACATCGACTTTGACAGGTACAACCCTGCGGAGGCCATCTCTGAGCTCGATCGCGCCATCAATGCGGCCAACTCGGCCATTGTCTTGGTGTCACAACCATCGCAAGATGGTGGTGTGCACGGCCACATGTACGGCTTGGACGGCGAGCTGATCGGTCACGGCACAGTCAATCCTCCCGAGGCAGAGCCTCCCTCTGGGCTCAGCGCAGAGGAAGAGAGCCAGCAACGAGCGGTAGAGCTGCTTCTCGAGCAGATGATGGGTGCAACGAGCCAGCACGCGCACGACTCTCAATTGCAGCCGTACAACGCGGATGCCAGCCCGAGTTTTGCGGATTCGCAGTCGCAGAGCTTCCACGATGCACAGCAGTGGCCAGAGTGGCAGCACTCGGTCTTTTCGGCGACGCCGTCCGGTCCGATCATCAATGCGACAGATTCGCAAAGAGACGCAGCGTCGGCGCGATCCTCAACCGCAACCTCGCAGTGCCAATTCAGACACGACGACGCGACGCCTGTTAACTTCGCCTCGTCGATATCGTCAGGAAACGCCTGCTTGCATGCTGGTGGCCCATCCGAGGCGCAACACCGCAACGACCAAGGATATACAGCGCTCCACGGCAATGCACACGCCCAGCAAGACCAGGAGAACACTCCAGCCGAATCTGCATCGGCGAGCCGCGGCTTGCGAGGCTGGAAGGCAGCCCAGCTCAGCTCGATCAAGGAAAAATTTGCGCGCATACGCCAACGATCCACGTCCACCCCACCCATCCCCTCCATGCCGTTGCTTTAGACCCCGACACACGCTTAACCATCTAGACAGAATCGAATAATTCGTGCTTGCGCTTTACGACCATCGAAGAGTGTCGAACGAGGGGTTGTGGGATGCTAGAGACTTGGACGCAGATGCTGGTGGTGACCAATGAGGCCTTCGAGGAGGCCGGCGACGAGATCCGCCTGGGCCTGGGCCGAGCATGCGCCGACGTCGTTCGCTGAGGTGGGAGGTGCTTGCTGCGCGACGCCGAGTGCAGGCAGGGTGGACGACGGCCAGAGATCGGTCAGTGTCAGTTCGCCTACTGGCACCACGGCGTTGCTGGGCCAGGAGTGGGCAGGCGAGCCCAAGCTAGCATTGATAGAGGCGTGCGTCGAAGCGTGCGCTGGCATGCAAGCTTCAACGGTCTCGGCTGTGGGATCTGTTGCGTCGGACTGCTCGGTGCGGACTCGTTTGGCGGTGGATTCGTCGAGTACCTGCACGTACGACGACCGTTTCCTGTCTTGGTCCGGTGCGATCTGGAACGCTGCTCGAATGTGCGAACACAGCAAGTCGAGATCATCAACCATCTCCTTTGCGCCCTCTATGATCTCGGCCGATCGGCGAATGCCGGTCAAAGTGGCCTCTACCTCGGCCACGATCCTGGCCGCAGCTGAAGCCGGCTCGTGCACCATCCTCTTGAGTACAAACGCTGCTGCCATGGTGTAGCACTGCAAATGGAGCGCAAGCCACGGACTTGGTGGTGGGAATCGCAGAACTGTGTCGGATGCGCGCAGTGTGTGCATCGCCAGCTGCATGCATCGAGTCGCATCCTGCTCGCCACCAGCCTGGTCTTGACTGTGCATTAGCGCGAGGTGCAACCGCAGCCGGGCGTGCTGCAGCGACACGAAGGCGATACAACTAGCAGCTGCCGAAATCGGCTCACTTTGCGCACCGGGCGACGATCGGAAGGAGAGCGGAAGTCGATCGTACCACGATTCCAACAGGCTCTCCTGCTCCACCACCCTCTGCTTTGCTACCGTCTCGCCCGGCGGAGAGGAGACGAGTTCGACCATCGTGCGGCCGACTGATCCGGTGGTACTGCACAGCGAGGCCAGCTCGGCAAGTTCACTTGCAAGATCAGCGGGGCTGCTGCCTTGAGCGAGCTCGCTCGGGAGATGCCATACCGGTCCGATCCGACTCTGCAGACCATCCACCAGCATCTGCAGCACAGGAATCAGCCGCAGCACGCCGGCCACGCCTTGCTGGCTTTCGTCGCAGCTTGGCTGTGCCAAGGCAGATGTTAGGCTATACACGTGGTCGATGTGTCTGCGCGCATTGTCTGCCTCTCCACGTGCAGCAGCAGCATATGCTAGCAGGGTCAACGCCTGCAGACCGTGTAGCTGTCGAGTTGATGTGGTGGTGGGCTCGGCGAAGAAGCTCGTCCACAGTCGAGCTTGCGCATCGTATTGAGCCGATGAGCCGTATGTGTTGAGGTTCTCGGTGCACGCCGGCATCGCGGCTTGCGACGCGCACGACATGATCGCGTATACAAGCGCCACTGCCTCGGCGTCCAACACGCTCGGCAGGGGCGAGGAGGACGACACACGGTCCCAGGCGCTCTGCGCCTCGGCCAGCGAGACGGCGGGGAAGAACGGGTGCACGCGGAGGGCGTAGCACTCGAGCAGCGCGAAGAATTTGGCGCCCTCCGGTAGCGGAAGTAGCGTTAAAGCTTGCGGTGCCTCGTCCTTTGTCTTGCTTCGAGACGTTGGTAGTAGTAGCTGTCTGCTGGGATGCAGAACTTGGACCGCCGCACTTGTTTGAGCGATGAGGTGCGTAGCGGAAAGCATGGGTAGTGCGACCGCATCTGACTCGGTCTGGCTCGGGACTGCAAGTTGCGCCAAGGCCGAAGCTGTCTTCCACGTCGGTCTCGAGTCAAAAGCCTGGCCATCGGGCGCATCTGTCTGGCCGAGTGCACGACGGCAGTGCGGATGGCAGCGGTGCTGGAGCATCACCGACCAGGCGTGTTCGAGTTTGGCGAGTCTTAGCTCGAGCGACTCGACGTAGCGCCTGCTGTAGGCGGAGCGGTCCTTGACGTCGACGTAGATGCACTCCTCGGCAAACGAGATGCAGTGGCTGCACGGTTTCTGGCCGTTGCACTTGACTTTCTTGCGGCGACACACCTCGCAGGCGCGCACCACACGCTTGCGGATCGACCCCACCGCACACGCGTGAGCCGCGGCTCCAGCCGCACTGGGCGACTGCGACACGGACGCACCGGCAACGAGCGAGCGCGGCGACGACGGTGAAGAGTCGCTCCAGTTCGAGGGAGACTGCGTCGTCAGAGATCGCATACACATGGTGGTGAAAAGTTGTGGGGCGTGGTAAAAAGTTCCACTTCCGAAACAGGCCTGGCTCTTTTATCTGGACCCCACTTGACGCTGCGAGGGTAAAGAACGATGCAGCAACGACAACGCGCGTTGCAGACGACCTCCGACATGGCGTAGTGCAGCATGAGCCCTTGCGACGGAAGCGAGATAAAGCGTACCGCACTGCCGCCATTGCCGCGCGCGCGCGCAGCGCAAGACCGAAGCTGCGCCTAAAAGACTTCATATGCGTGCAGATGACGGGGTCCCAATTCAGCGGTCCGTCGGCGCGTACCGCCTGCTTGGTCCTCTCTCCAGCTTCCGCACGAGCATGATCGCCGAAACCCTGCCGCGAGAAAACACGCCCAGAACGTTGCTCGCTTCTCGATTCACCCTTGAGTGTGTTACCCCCTTGCGCCAAGAAGATCGGACACCCACCATGGGTATGGCTGCTCGACCGAGGTCAGCCCGAGCTCGCCACTTACTGAGAGATGACGCCAAGACCGAGGAGGCTACGATCGCTAAAGCCGCCCCACGTTCCCGCCCTGCATGAGGTCACGTCACGATGGCCTTTGTTCGGCTGATGACCTGCATGAGGGGCATACCGTGTTGCCGTCCAATCTCGGCACGAGCTGCTGGCACCGCGTAAGAGCGCCGCCCTGACGCAAGCGTCCGACAGCACGCTGTGGCAATTACGAATGGGAAGCGCTACGGTTCCTGAACGCTCACCACCTTGCGCATTTCTGGTGCACGCTTCTGGTGGTGGTTGATGAGTGGCTCGACGATAACATCAAGCTCCACGCGGCCGATGCAGGCGTGTCCGACGGAAGGACGACGTGCGAAGTCGACGTCGCGCCTCATCTGAGCAGATCCATGCTTCACATGGATCTGGAACCGTGCTGGCTGCCAGTACGATTAGCATCACAGTTGGGTTCAGACCCACCGTGCTACAGGCACCCTTACATGCACAGCTGCGATCGATCTGGCCTTGCACTGCGCACTGCGGGCACTTTTGCAGCGTCATGAGCCCGGCCATACTCAAGCTCGAGTGGTGTCAAGCTCAGAGAGGGGGGGGGGGGGGGGGGGACCTAAGATGAACGCTGAATGCTGAGCAGACGTGGTGTGGCGATCGGACAGATGCGGTCCGCACCCACTCGGCATTCTCACTCGGCAGCGTTGCGCACGGGTTCGGGGTTCCTAAGACACATGTTGGATTGGATGAATGAGGCTAAAATGCTGGGTAAAAATACAAGATGCATGACGACGAAAGAGGAAGACTGGAAGGTGACAAGATCAGAGTTCCTCGATCTGCAGGTCTTCATCATCGCTATCTACGGGCTCTTCGGCACCGACGTCTTCTGCGGTTGCGTCGGCATCGTCCTCGAGGTCCTTGGCGGTGGCAGCCGACTCGTCTCGCTTGAGGATGTTGACCAACCTCAGCACGGACTCGGCGATCTTTTCGTCGGCTTCCACCAGGTGTGCTGAGCGCACCACCACATACGCGCCGCGCGCACGCAGACACTGACGGCCGTACACGTTGGTGCAGAGCAGCAGCAGCGACTCGACGAGCATCAGACGCAGCGCCGGATCCTTTTCGCGCCTCTTGTCCTCCGGCAGCATCTGACACTCCTCCGGCAGCTCCTCCTGATCCTCCAGATCCACCTCGGCCAGCTCCTTGCCGTCACACAGCGGCAGCAGCAGGTTCGGCAGAATGTCCACCGACGAGGGCGGACGTGTGGTGGCGCGCAGCGCACCAGCCAGCATCTCGTCCTCCCCCTCGCGCGCCGGCGGCGGTGCCACGAGCAGCTTGTGCGCCGACTTCACGAAGAGCACGTTCCTGCGGGCGAAAACGACAAAGCAAGTGCGGTCAGTCTCGGCGTGTTCGTGCGCGATGATGATGTAAGGCGAGAGGAAGCGCTAGGAAGGACTCACTTGAGCGTGCTGATCACGCCTCCGCGGCGGATGAGGTTGGGATGTTCGGTAAAGGCCATGATGCGAGCCACGGGATATTCGGTAGCAGCCGGGATGGAGCCCTGTTCATCGACGCCACGGGCAAGCGCGGCCTGTGCGGTCGCGGATGCGGCTGCCGAGGAGGCCGAGAGTGGCGAGACGAACCAGTCTCGTCCACGCGGCAGCACAGTGACGTTGGCAAAGACACTCGCAAGAAAGTTGCAGTTGGTCTTGCGCTTGATCCTCGGCCTGCCGTCCGGGCCGCGTTCGATCTTTTCGGGCTCCTTGTCCTTGTCCGCCTGGGCCTTGGTTGCGGCATCCTTTGCACGCTGCTTCATGGCCTCGAGGTCGCTGCCCTGCGAGGCGACGGTGGCGCCCTCTTCAAAGGCGTCGAGCAGGCGTGCCATGGCGGGCACCTTTTCGTCCATCTTCTTGGCCTGCTCTGCGACTTTGGTGGCGTACTCCTGTGCCTTGGCCTTCTTGGCCGCGTAATCGGGGTCGTTGGGCTCGACGTCCATGCCGTTGAGCGCACCCTCCATCTCTTCGGACGCCATGAAGCTGTAGAAGGGACGAGCCTGCACCTGGAGATCCAAGAGGATGGCGCAGATGGACTCGAGCTTGGTGAGGTTGGAGAGCAGCATGCACGCCAGGTCGGCGAGCAGCGAGACGGGTTCGGCGATGTAGCGCACGAGGAACTCGAGGAAGGCCTTGTCACCGATCTTGCGAGCGAGCACGAGGCTGTCCGAGATGTTGATGAGTGCGCTGAAAGCATCGTGGGCGGTGATGGGCTGGTCCTGGCAGAGGCGCTTGAGGTCCTCGACCGTGTCTACCTCCTTGCCGTCGCGGCCGAGGAGGGGCGAGCCGTCTCGGTTCTTGTGCTTGGAGATGAGCAGCGAGCGATGCGGACTGTCCTTGGCGCTGAAGCCGACGATGTTGGAGAGCGCGACCTGGCGGACCTGGGCGTTGGAGTCCGAGAGGAAGGTGAGCACCTCGAGCTCTGGTGGCGGCGTCGGTATCGATGGCATGGCTGTGCGTGTGTGTCGAGGGAGGTCGTGGTTGATAGGAAGGACGTGCGAAGGCAGGAACAGCTGCTCCACTTTGTGATGAGCGGGAATAAAAACTTGAAGATTTAATCGACCGCGAATTTCGCCGGACTTTATTTTTTTTATGCAGTAATCCTGCTGCTGCTCTGCTTTTCCTCGACCTTCCAACATGCTGAGGTGGGATATCGGGAGTATTCGCCATCGGGGTGCCACTTCGGCCCGATCCAGCAACCTTTTAGGCTCGAGTTGAATGCCGGCGAGCAAAGACACGCTTGGACCACAGCACAGTGGACCAACCAAGGCAGCAGAGGTGCACCGCCCACATCTCCCACAGCATCTTTCACACGGATCACCGCCCACCCGCACTCTTGTAACCGCACCATCACCACTTGGAACTGGGCTCGCCGGTGAGCTCCGGTATCGGTGTTGAAGGAGCAACGCCATGTTCTCCAACCTGATCAGCAGCCGCAAGGGCTCGGGCGATCGCAGCAATGCCTCCGGGTCGGCCAACCATCGTCTTTCTGGAACAAGTCAGCCCGTCACAGCAGAGCGCATCCGCCATCCGCAGCACGTGTATGCACAGGACGGCTCCAGCTCGCCCTCCTACGAATCCAGCCCGCACGGCTCGTCATACATGTCCCGAAAGGACAGCGCTGGATCCACCTCGGCCGCCTCAGGGTGGAACAGTCCGGGCGGCGCACCCACATACTCGCGCTCGCCAGCACAGCTGCCCGAAGAGATGCGTGCGCGCGAGAAGCAACGACAGGCGGAGCGAGAGCGCCAACTTCAACGGCGCGAGCGCCAGTCGAGCCAGTCGTCGATCAACACACCTGCTACCGCAGCCCCAGCCGTCGCCTCGACGCTGGCGCACGACTCGCCCGCCAAGTACTCTTCGAGCCACATGGAGTCGTCCGTCACGCGGCTGCTGGTGGCCACCAAGATGCTGCTCGAATCGCTCACCAAGTGGTCCGTCGGCCAGCGCAGCGAGGAGGACGTCTCGGACATCTACGTGCGCCTCGGCAACGACTTCAACTCGGCCAAGCTTGCCTTTGGCTCGTACGGCATCGACATGAGCGACCTCAGCTCCGTGCCCGACGATCTGCGCGACTGCTTGGAACGCTGCCTCTCCGAGGAGGCCTCGCCCGCCGTGCTCGAGGTCCATCTGCCACGCATCCGTGAGATCATCATCAACCTCCTCCAGGGCCTCAAGATGAAGCAGGCCGAATACAAGCAGTTCCTCGTGCAGCAGCGCGCCGTCAAGGAAGCACGCCGCTCCAGCGTCCTCGGCGACGTCCAGACCACATCCACTCCTCCTGCGGCTCGACAGCCACAGCCGCAGCCGCAACCATCGAGCCGCGTGCTGGGCCCCCGCGCCTCGAGACAAGGTGTCAGTGAAGGAGGCTTTGCTGCTGTCTCAGACTCCCACGCCGCCGCCGCCTCTTCTGCAAGCTCCCTTCAACGGCCCGAGTCTCTTCAGCGTGCGAGCTCTGCCGGCGCAGCACTGCATTCGGATCGAACCTCGCAGCCCGCAGCTCCCGACGATGCAGCCGATGCGTCGAGCACCGCAGCAGCCGTTCGCAGCAACAGCAGCATCGTTCGTCCGCCCAGTCGAGTCTCTCGCACCGCCAGCGAGCGCACGGCAGACAAGCGCGGCAGTGAGCAGCACTCACCCGCACCTCCTCAGCCTGCCACACTCGCCTCGTCGGACGCTTCGGAAACCGACTCGGGTCAAGTGACGCCGCGCATGCCCAGCGTCGAGCGTCACACCCTTGTCGATGATGGAGCCGTCGCCCCGCCGGTCGCAGCTGAATCCGACGACGAACAGGAGAATCTGACAGATGAGCCCACCGCACCAGTCAGCATGACGCCGCAACGTCTCAGCACACGCTCTCCCCGCCACACGCCCAAATCTTCCGTCGACGCCGAGGACTACACCGACCACGATCCCAGCCTGCGCGCGCTCAAGAACCGCGACGCGCTCGAACGCCGTGCGAGCAAGCGCTTCAGCGCCTACACCTTCAACAAGATGGGCATTGGTCAGAGCTACAGCCAGGGTCTCAGCATGAACATCTTCCCTCCCTCCTCCACCGGCGGCAACGGCAGCCCGCTCGCCGAGCGCAAGCCGTCCGAGCGTCGTGGCAGCGGCGCACGCCGCGTCGTCCGTCCGCCGCTGCCCGAGTCGAGTCCTGCGCTCGAGGCCGCGGGTCTCTCGAGTCCTTCCACCTTTACGCGCACCGCCGACTACTTTGGCTCGGCCAGCGCAAGCGGCAGCAGCAACGGCGCAGGGGCTGGCGATGGACGTGCGATGCCTCGATCCAGGAGCGCCGCCACTGTCGACAGCAAGTTCGAGTCGATCGAGGAGGTCAAGACGCCCACCTCATCCACCTTCAGCCGCGACGGCCGCAGCCCTTCGCCCGAGCCCCGCACCAAAGATGCAGAGCCGACTTCCAGCTCGGCGACGGCGCGTGCATCGGTGCAGTCGAGGGACCTCCTCTCGCCCACCCCGCCGGGCGGGCGTGTCACTTCGCACGCCGCCAGCTCGACCGAATCGCTACCCTTTGTCGATGCTCAGCCGCCCGCCTCGGACGCTGGCGATGTTGGCGAGGCCCACCCGACCGCCGCCAAGCCCGGCTCGCTCGACTCGAAGGCGCTCGGCGCATCGACCAACGCAGTGCCCTCCACGCCACGCAGTCGGGCGATTCAGGCCTCGCCGGATGCGCTCAACGTCTTTTTGCAGCTCGGCCGTCAGACGCGCAAGGCTGTGATCGAGATGGATCGCACCAACCCAATCACCCGCGGTATCAGCGTTGCGCGTCTCCGCATGCTCTTCATCGACCGCTTTGCCTACTCGCCTGGCATGGACGACTTCCCCACCATCTACCTCAAGGACCCCGCGAGCGGCGTCACGTACGAGCTAGAGGACCTTGCCGATGTTCAGGAGGGCAGCCTGCTCACGCTCAACATCGAGCCTTTAGACCAGGTCAAGCAGCACCTCGACCTGTCGCTCGGCACCATCTCGCGCGAGATCCGCGAGCTTAAGGCGGCGCTGGCCGAGCGTGAGCGCGACGCGCGTCGCATGTCGCACGGCTTTGTTGGCAACGACAATCTGCTCGCCGTCACGCCGGCGCACGCGACGCCGACCAAGATCAGCGACTCGCAGTTCCAAGCGGCCGGGCAGCGTGTTGCACAGCTCAAGCGCGCCAACACGCGCGCGGCGGGAGCGCAGCACGAGGAGTCCGGCGCGCCGCCGCCGCTGCAGAGCCCCTCGGCGGCATCGCCCACGTCGTCGGCCATGGCAGGCTCGCGCATCGCCCACGAGCTCAAGGTGCAGTTCGACGAGCTGCAGAACCTTCGTCGCGAATTCGCCATCACGCGCCAGCTGCAGACGGACTTCGAGGGCGATGTCAAGTCGATCCTGACCACGGTGCGCGAGCAGGCGGGGGCGGTGCGTGCGATCGCCTCGACCAAGGTGGCTGCCGAGCGCAACTTTATCGTGGCGGGCAAGTCGCGCCTGGACACGCAGTCTCAGGATCTGCTGACGCTCATCGAGGATCTGCAGGATACGGTGGACGATCTGCGTGTGGATGTGATCCAGCGCGGCGTCAAGCCCAAGCCGGTGCTGGTCAAGCAGATCGTCGACGACGTGGAGCGCGCTACCAACGGCCTGGTGGAGCTCGAGGAGTATGTGCAGACGGTCAAGCCGAGCTGGAAAAAGACGTGGGAGTCGGAGCTGCAGAACATTGTCGACGAGCAGGAGTTTCTCAACCACGAAGAGGGGCTGCTCTCGGATCTGCGCGATGACCTCGGTGCGCTGCGCGAGGTGTTTAGCAACATCCAGCAGGTGGTCAAGTTGCGCGGTGGGTCGGGCAAGGGGGGCAAGTACATCCCTCCCTTGCCCGAGGACGGCCACGAGGGTCTGTCGACGGTCATGATGGAGGTCAAGTCGCAGGCGGTGAACCACGAGAAGCGCCTGCGCGCGCTGCAGGCGGTGGAGCGCCAGCGCCAGAAGGACATGCTCGCCTCCAAGGCCAACGACGAGTTCAGCGAGGAGCTGGCCGGGTTTGTGGACAAGAAGGTGCTGCGCAAGACGGGCGGCGTGCTGGAGGCCGAGCGTGTGCGTCAGAAGAGGGACCACGCTACCTGGAAGGCCATGTTTGGCGGCGGTGGGCCAGGCGGCATCCCCATGGCGCCGAGCGCGAGCGGTGGCGCCGAGGCCAAACCCAAGAAGCTCATACTCGGCGCCAAGAAGGCGGCGGATGCGGCCAAGCAGCAGCTTTCTGGCTCGAAGCACACTGCTGGTACCTCCGAGGAAGCTGCCGTCTAAGATCATAATCTCACTAGCATCCACAGCTGGACGCTCGTTTGTTGGAGTCGCCTTTCTTCGGCCCCGTTCCCGAATCCATGCCATTCTGACTAGACATTCTGTCGTTCTGCTGTGCTGAGCTGGGATTGAGATTCGTGACGGGAAAAGAGAAGTGAGGAGCCGATCTTTCAATAGCCTTCCAGATCCAGCGCTTCGAGCGCGAGATCATCTTCGTCCTCATCATCCTCTTCCTCTTCCTCTTCTTCCTCTTCCTCCTCCTCTTCTTCTTCCTCCTCTTCATCCTCCTCCTCCTCTTCACTCGTCTCTTGATCCTCTCCATCGGCTGCATGCTCGCCGTCGTCGGACTCGTCGTCATTGTCGTTTCCAAGGCTGCGTCCTTCATCGATGCTTTCCCGCGCGGTGTCCGAGTCAGGCCGCAGAGATACTTGCGCGGCGCTATCCTGCTCTTCGCTGGATGCAGCGCTGGCATCCTCTGTGCGCAATCCACCAACGAAAGCATTTTTTCTCCGCTCTTCCATTGCATTTGAAGGCCCGACGAACGGATCGTCGGGATCTGAAGCCAAGATCCAGGCGGATGGCTGCATGACAGCGCGGCCGGCATGTGCGGTGGGATCGTGCTTGGTCGCTGTGGCGCTTGCCTTTGTCGGAGTCTGTTCGCCCTCGACATCGTGTGCATCCAGCTCGACTGCGCGCTGGCGTCGCTTCTCGAGCGGAACCACCACGCGGGACCCCGGAATGCCACCCCTGTATCCTGGCGCGGCGGTTCGACGTCCGATGCTCGAGACCAGATCACCCTCGTGGTCCGTAATCTCGTCGTCGTGGTGAAAGACTGTACCGGCGATGCCGATGTTGAAGTTGCTCGATGTGGTGGGACGAGCGCGTGGCGTGCTGACGTCGAGGTCGTCGTTGTGCGCTGTGGCGAGCGGCGGCTTGGTCTCGATCGAGAGCGAGCCCGAGTCGGTCGAGGACGAGGCCGTATGCAAGGAAAGCGGCTGATCCGCGAGTCTCGGCATGACCGTGTCCGAACGTCCAGGACGCACAGGCGAGCCATCGGAAGATGGATAGACGCTCGGCACAGCATCGTCGAGCAATTGATCTTCGAGGAAGGCCGCAACGGAAGGCAGCTGGCTCTCGGACAACCCCACAGCAGCGCTTGCTGGACTGGGACTGAGGAGCGAAGCGTTCCTTCGTGTGGATCCCGCCTGGTCTGGCGCCAGCGAGGTGGAGCGCGATGCGAGTGGATGCGAGCCGGCGGTGCTGCTTGCAGTGGGAGGTCGACCTGCGCGACTGGAAGGCCTCGAATGCGGCGGAGTGCGCAAGCTGGCGATGCTGTTGTACGACGAGGTGCGCGAGTGTGCCTGCAGTGGACGCGAAGGTGTTGTTGGCCGATGCACACCCGAAGAAGGGGTCGCCGAGACAGCTACGGACACCGACGGGGGAGAAGGCTCGGCGGGCAAGTCTGGGTCCGTGTCAAAGTGGAGCTTGAGCGTGGGATGATGGATGGGAAGCTGCCTTTCGCGCCGTAAGGATGCGATGGCGCGTTGCTGAGGCACTGCTCTGGCAGAAGAGACAGCCAAAGTGTCGGACGATGCGGAGGATATGGGCGCGTGCGAGGGACTCTTGGCCATCTGCGAATCGGCTCCATTGGATGCATCCTGAGAGCTGCTGCCGTTGGAGAGGCCGTTGTGATGCGAGCTGGGTGCCCATGCATACGGATCGGCCAGGACGGAGAGCGGGTTGGGCGCAGGCCATAGCCAGGACGGGATGTGGTTGCGGGGCGGCAGACGCACGCCGTCAGGCTGGCCGAACTTGGTGAGAAAGGACGACAGATGCGAGGGCACTTCGGTCCACTCGGACGAGCTGGAATCGCGCAGCGCGCGCCCAAGCTCGGCGAGGATGGCTGGTGTCGACCACGCCTGCACCTTGCGCATGCACGCGACGAGCGTGCTCGTCACCTCTACGCCGTCGAGGCAGTGCACGTAGATCGGATGGTTGCGCCGATCGAGCAGCACCGAGAGCGCACGCGCTGCACCTTCACGCGTGAGGCCGCCGCTCTCGTCTTTGGGCTTTTCGCACCGCACATGGACAAGCTGGATGCCGAGCTGCGACGCTTTTTCGGCCACGACGGATGACGACGTCGAGGCAGATTGTGACGGCGAGGACCACTTCAATATGGCGGCATCGTTGTCCAATGGCCTGGGCGTCAAGCTGAGCACGGTGCGGAGATGCAGCCGCGAGAGAAAGTAGAGGTTGCGCGCCTTGGGGTACGCGCCTCGATAGACCGATTCGCGGTGATGCGGATGGCTGCGAGGGTCGTCCGGTCCGGCATCGGGTACAGATGTCGAGGGCCTATCGTTGCCGGAAAAGGCGACGGTCGAGAAGCGCAACGGCGGGGTGAGCGGCTTGAGCGACATGACGGCCGAGCATGCCCCGCAGGCGTGCGGTCGAGTCTTCCAGACTCGGTGGTACACGGTCGCTAGGCGAGGCTGGAGTACGATCTAGCGTTGGCGTTCCATCTCGGTATCGATGGTCCTAGTGCAGTATGTAGGCGAGCGGAGGATATGGATGACGAACGACCAGGAGGAAGGACAGAATCGGCGCTTGACAGGGTCCAAAAGCGGATCATCATCCCACTCTTCATGTGGAGAGGAATTTCGCCGGTTTCAGAGTGTTAGACCCGCGTCCAAGAGGTTGCTGAGCCGGTCGAGACCAACACCCAACAACCAACACAGAACTCGGCGCATCTGCCAACCTTTCTTCCTTTCGACGTCACCTGCGATTCGCCCGCGACCTGCCTACTCTTCACCATCATGTGGCGAAGAGGCTCCGAAGCGCCGATGGACACATCCCCTCCGGGCCCACGGCAGCGTAAGTACTTGGCTGCCTCGCACTTGGCTGCCTCGCACACGAATGCATGCATCAAAGTCCATGTTGAAACTGATACTCACCCTCGCTCTTGTCACATTCAGCGAGCATCTTCGATAGCAACGGCTCGAGCGGCTGGACAGCAGGTCAACACACCAATGCAGTGCAGACCATGGACACGGACATGGCCGACGTGGAAATGTCGAGCCTCACACCGCCTTCTCACAAGTTTGGCGATTCGCGACGCCACTTGGCAGATGCAGGCCAAGCGCTGGCCGACGACTCGATGACCGATGCTGCTGATGCTGCTGCGGCACGCAGTCACTCTTCGAAAGCATCAAGATCGGACGCAGCTGCGCAGAATTCGCCATTGGCGTCCACTTCGCAGCACGTGCGTCGCAAACGCAGCGTGCTCAGCAGGAAGGGAAAGCGCCTGGCGCATCTGCAGAGCAGGGATCTCGTGGCCTCGTCGCGCAGCTTTGGATCTCATCAGGACGACTTTGTCGATGATGGCGACAGCTATGGCACCGAGGCAGAAGACGACGACGACGAAGACGACGATGAGCAAGGCAGCGGAGGGTCGCGGCAGCGCGGGACGCCCAGTCGCATTCGCTCAATCACCAAGTATGCCGTCAACTACATCCTTCCCGGTGCGGTCTCGCCACTACCGCATGCGCAGGGCGCCGCATCCTCGGCTGCCTCGGGGCATCACATGGACAAGCCCGAGCTGCTGCTTGGGTATGCGCAACTCGTCTTCAACGCGAGCATCCTGTCGGCGTTCCTGTATCTGCTCTTCCACGTGGTTCGCACGGTGCAGAAGGACGTGGCGGAAAAGGTGCGCGCCTACGAGATGGACACGCTGTCCGAGATCACGGCCTGCGCTGCCGCCTACACGGCCAACCGATGCGGCACGGATCTGCAGGCGCCGGCGTTGGCGCATGCGTGCAGCAACTGGGAGCGCTGCTCGGCCCGCGATCCCGCCGTGGTGGGCACCGCGCGCGTCACCGCAGAGACCTTTGCCGAGATCCTCAACGGCTTTGTCGACTCGGTGAGCTGGAAGACCATGTTCTTTACGCTCATCTGCTTCTCCATGGTGGTGGGCGCTACCAACTCGTTCTTGTCTTTCTTTCGCATCAAGTCTCGCTCGCGCTCGCATCACGACACCAACTCGCAGCCAACGCAGCCACCGGTCGCAGCTTCAAGGCAAGCGGATCCACACGCCATTGCCGGTGCACCACAACAGGCAATTGGAGCCCATGCGAGCGGTGTGCCCCACTACTACCACTCGCCTCATCCCGACTTTGCCTCGTTGCCGCCTTACGCCTATGCCAACTGGCAGCAGCTGCCGCCTGCCACACCTTCTCGCCGACGTTCTCGTCCGGCTGCCTGACCGGACTCATCCTTTCTGCAACGACGCTTGATGAAAAACAGCACATCAAATCTCATTCACAGCTTGCAACAGGTCACCATGCTTTGTGCGTCCAAAGGTGTAGGACATGGCGAAAGGCTCACTTGCCCGGCTGGTTGGTAGCAGCGTGCTTGGCGTTTTCGACGGCCTGCAATGATAGCACCCACCAAGGTTCATCAGAATAGAAGTGGTCAGCATTTGCTCACTTTTTCGACAGCGGAACGACGATCGTGCTTACCTGCTCGATGTTGCCTGCACCGGGATGAGCGTCGCCCGCCTGGCCACTCTCGCTCGACTTGCTCTCGCCTTTGCCAAACACAGCACCGCGCTGCTCCTCGTCCGGCATGGCATGCGATTCCTTCCCTGGCGCCGACTGTCGATGCAGCGGGAACGGAAGCTATGGTCAGCACAGCTGCTCTCAGCCGCGGTCGATTGCGAGCGCAGTGCCGTTCTGCTCACCTGGCCCATGGGGTCGTTCTCGCGGCCCTGGAGGGGAGGAGACTCAGTTCCGCCTTGAGTCGACATGTTGTGCGTATATGCAGAGGTGGTGAGGACTTGCTTTTCTTGTTTCTTTTGCTTCAGAAGAGCTGCTGTGAGGGCGGAATTCACTCAGAAGATCGCCCAAGCGCTTGGACTATATATGGACGGAGCCGGCCAACGACGGCAGGCTTGCCACCAGCTCTCAGCAAGTACACACAGTCTATAGGCCCAACCGCCCATCTTCTGCGACAGAACAGGGCGGCAAGGCAGAGGCCAGGAAGCGTCTCCAAGCCGAGCAAGCACGGCGCACGGCTCAGGGTGACAGCGATGATTCAGCCCGGCAAAGGTGATTCAGCGCCGGTGCGGCGCGCGCGCTCATCGTGGAGGTGTTGGTGTTGGGTGATTGGGCGCGATGAGTGATGGTGTTAGATTGATCATGCGGCAATGGTGCGTCGGAAGCTCTTCGTCATGCATGAGCCCGTGATTCACGAATCCTCCGATCCACAGCACCGCAGCACCGCAGCACCGCAGCATCATAGACCACCACCACCAAGGCGCCATCATCCGCCGCTCGCAGCATCCCGAGGCCATCTGTGTACGGCGCGTCTAGGTGCCGTCGCTCCCTGGCTGGACCCGCTTCACCATCGACGACGTCGCGGCAACCTCGCGGGCTGATCTGGCCGCTATAGTCAGCGTCAGGTACTGTGCAGCACGATGGCGGTGCGACCGGCGCTCTTTGCGCAGGCACGGCTAGCATGCTGTCTCGACGCCCCATCAACCTCGACACTCGCAGCAAAGGTCAGGCTCGCTTCGAGCAATATCCTCGCTCCAAGGCATGCGTGGCCTGGCCGCTTCCGGACGTATGCCACCACGCCGTCGGGAGTCAAGACTACGTACCCGAGCTCAGCGCCACCCGCCGACGAGAACAGCAACCACCACTCGGCCTCCAAGCTCGGCACGGAGCGCGACCAGGGCTACCTCGCCTTTACCAAGTCGAGCCTCTTCAAGCTCACGCTGCCGCTCAAACCACCCAGCTCCGACCCGCTCTCGCCCTCCTCCAAACGCTCCTCTGCCAAAGCACGCGCGCAACGGCAAGACGACCAAGACGACTCGCCGGACTCAGCCGAGCGCGAGAGCGTTTCGAACCAGTCGTGGGAAGAGGCGGCCGAGACTCCCGGTCCACCCGTGTCGCAGGTCAATCATCGCGCACACACCAACCTCCACGGCCCTGAAAACGGCGAGCCCTCCGATGTCGAGGCGGACGAATACGATGCAGATGCACCCGCTCATAGCGTCGTCTTCCTGCTTCACAGTGCGCAGCCGCTCAGCTACATCGCCAACCTCATCCGAGCCGAAGGACCGAGTCCGGAGCCTAGTCGGTTCCAGCTCGAGCAGCAGCGGCAGCATCCAACCGCGGAGAACGGACAAAACGCCGCCACCAGCAACAAGGACAAGGTGAGCATCCCCACGGGGCCGCCTTCGTCGCCCGAGCGCAAGGACAAGCGTCTGAAGCTGTCGAAAGAACAGCTCGAGATGCGCGAGATGCTGCTGCGCCAGGGATTCCTCGATCCGCTCGGCGATCCGCCCATCTCGTTCCACACGCGTGCGGCCGACGGCAAGCGCTGGTCTCCCGCCACGGGCATTGGCGACTTTTTGCGCGATGCGGCGCGCATCGGCTCTTTTGTGATCCGCATCGACGAGCGCAACGTCTTTGTGACGGTGCCGTCGTTCGAGGACCGCACGCGCTTCCTGCGCGCCAGCCTGTACGCCAAGACGGGGCAGATCGAGCAGCTGGCCAAGCTCAAGGCCGAGTGCGACCGCATCGCGCACTCGGGCACCAAGCGGCTCTCGTTTGCCGGCGTCGGCATCCTCGGCGCGTGGTGGGGCTCGGTGGCATTCCTCACCTTCTTCACCGAGCTCGGCTGGGACGTCATGGAGCCCGTCACCTACCTCACGGGTCTCGGCACCATCCTCGGCGGCTATATCTGGTTCCTCATCCACAATCGCGAGGTGTCGTACCGCGCGGTGCTCAACGAGACCACCTCGCGTCGCCAGCAGAAGCTCTACATCGAAAAGGGCTTCAACGTGGAGCGCTACCAGGAGCTCATCGAGGACGTCAAGGACCTGCGCAGGACCATCAAAAAGGTCGCCGAGGACTATGATCTTGAGTGGGACCAGGGCGAGACCAAGGCGGGCAAGCAGAACAAGCACGCACTCAAGATCATCCGTCGCCACGAGGCTGCCACCTTCCGTGCGTCCAAATCGGATCCAAAGCAGGACGAGCAGGACGGCGATAAGGACGATGCCGATGGGGGAGAGCGTGCTGGCTCGAGCTCGCACGAGGCCGAAGACAAGGATGGCGACGGTCAGCCGGACCATGTGCAGGCGGGCAACTCCAAGCTCAGGCCCAAGAAGAAAAAGATGAGCGACGAGTCGTCCGCCCGCCGGTTTTCCACCTGGGCGGCAGCGTCGTCGTCGCGCACCTCGGCCTCGGTGAGGCACTACAGCACCCAGTCTGGCGCACCAAGACCAGGTGGTACCTCGAAGGCGGACGCGCGCGCCGTTGCAACACCGACAAGCACTGGCGCCAAGGCTTCGCTCGGCAGCGCGACTGATGCGGCTGCAAAACCGTTCAGCCTTGCGCCGTACCTTGCGCTGAGCCGGATCGACAAGCCGATCGGCACGTGGCTGCTGTACTGGCCGTGTGCATGGTCGATTGTGCTAGCCTCGCACACGCTCGGACTTGCCTTGTCCACACCGCTATTCTACACGCTGCTGTTTGGCGTGGGTGCGGTGGTGATGCGCGGCGCCGGATGTACAATCAACGACATGTGGGACGTCAAGATGGATCGGCAGGTGGAGCGCACCAAGACGCGCCCGCTCGCGGCGGGCGAGATTACGCAGTTTGAGGCGCTCTGCTTTCTCGGCGTCCAGCTGAGTGCCGGACTGGCGGTGCTGGTGAATCTGAATGCGTACAGCATCGTGCTCGGCGCGAGCTCGTTGGGGGTGGTGGTGCTGTATCCGCTCATGAAGCGCGTTACCTACTGGCCGCAGCTTGTGCTTGGATTTGCGTTCAACTGGGGCGCAATGTTGGGCTGGGCTGCCGTAGCAGGGGCTGTGGATTGGACCGTGGTGGTTCCGCTGTATGTGGGGTCGATCTGTTGGACGCTGGTGTACGATACGATCTATGCGCATCAGGATAAGAACGACGACGTGCATGCCGGCGTCAAGTCGACAGCGCTGCTGTTTGGCGAGCATACCAAACCGGTGCTGTCGGCGTTTTCGGCGGGAATGATTGGGTTGTTTGGATACAGCGCCTCGAAAGCCATTCCGCCAGCAGTGGGGTTGAGTGCAGCACAGGTGCTTGAACCCGCACGCGCCGCGTCCGTCGGCGACCTGGTTCTGCCTTCGTCCACACTGCAGACGCTCTCATCCTCGCCAGTGCTGGAGGCGCTTGCACACCACCATCCGTTTTTTAGTATCGCGCTGGCCGGTGCCGCGGGCCATCTGGCTTGGCAAATCGCAAGCGTACGACTCGACGATCGTCCCGACTGCTGGCGCAAGTTCTGCGCCAACACCACCCTCGGCTGGATCATCGTCGCGGGCCTCGTAGCTGACTATGCCGCCTGGCTCTACCTCGACGCCCGCCACCGCGACGGGGATACTCACACCGCAGCGAAACCAACGCAATAGACTCCTCACCAACAATGCACACAGTAGACTAGGCAGTGTTTTTCAACGTGCGTGCGATTCCCAAAGACGCAGCAGAGAGGACAAGTGATCGCGAAGCGGAACGGGGCTATGTGCTCTGACGCTTGGATGACGCGGTGTTCTCGGCGGCAAAGGCGGTGAAGAATCCGTCGCCCTGCTTCCACTCGGCAAATCCCTTTTGCAGGCGCACGCTCAGACTCTCAAACGAGTCGAGGGCGGGACGCACATCGAGCACGAATTCGGGCTCGTCCTTGTCCGGGTCGTCGGGGACGCTGTAGTAGTCGATGACGTATCGCACCTCCTTGCCGTTCTGGTCCGGTCGGCGCACCACCCAGTCGTGGCGGTCGAACGGCGGCTCGGAGCTGAACGTGCCGGGCATCACAGCTGACAACCAGCCAAACACGCGCGCCTTGGGCGTGAGCGTGCCCGGCTTGCCCTGAAAGCGCGCGAGCTCGGCGCGCGACGAGTCGGCGCCCGCGAGCTTCTCCCACTCGAGCACCTCGAGCCACGCCTGTTCGTTGAGAAAGTTGTGCACGAGCACCATGGTCTCGACGTGCTCCTCGGGCGTCTCCCACCCCTTGCGCACGAGCGCATTGTAGAACTGCTGCGGCGAAGGATACTCCCACTTGTCCGTCTGCTCCTCGGCGGGCGTGCTGCTGTCGTGCTTGACGGGACATGCGGATGGCGCGTCGTATGGAGATGCGCCCGGTGCGGCCGAGTTGCGAGAGCGCGGGATGGACGATACGACGCGCTCGGTGGAAAGCTCGGTCTTCTGCTCGGGCGCCTGGCTCTGGCCCAGCGAGGGCATCATGTTGAGCGGATTCAGCGTCGCCGACCATGGCTTGGATGTGGAGTCCGACGACGACGAAGACGATGATGACGGTGCCATGGAGCCACGCGGGGGAGCCTGTGCAGATTTGGACGCGAGGTAGGCGTCGCGATCCTCGTGCGGGATGGGGCACTGTCCACCGGACGAGGCGACCATCTTGGGATGCGACGGCTTGGGAGCGGGCTTGGGCGGCGATACGGGTGCAGCGGCTTCAGCACCAGATGGGCCACCACCGGCATGCATAGGGCAGCCAGGGGGAGGTGTCGAGGCGGAGGCCGACGACGAGCCTGGCTTGATCGAGTTGAGGATCTCATCGCGGTGCTGCGAGAGCTTGTACGCCATGAGCCCTGCGACGGCATGCTGGTTGTCGGCGTAGGGGTTGCGGTCCGAGGCCGCCTGAGCGCGGAGGGCTCGCACGATCTCTGCGGGGTTCATGTTGAGGGCGGGCGTAGGTGCGGGGTGAGGGGAAGAGATGGTGGTGGGGGGTTGGAGGGAGAAGTGGCAAGCGCAGACCCTGGGTCTTGGGCTTGGGTCTCGTGCACAGAGTGGAGGCGAGGATTCGAAATTCCTCCTCGCGAGGCGCTTCCGGGAAATTTTCGCAGCCACGCCTCAACTCTCGACCGCCCCGACTCCCGAGGCCGAGCAAACACGCGGCGTTCTGACAAAGCAGCCGGGCGTGGTTCGCAGATTCAACCTTGATGCCAGCATGGCACGCCGGCAACATCTGTTCCACTTCGATTTGCCGAGAAGAGATATCTCCTGCTCTTGCTTTCAGGACGATGCGAAAGGCTGCCGTTCAAAGGTGCGTCGGAGCAAATGTGTGTATGTTAGATCGAAGGCGTGATGAGATCGGGGGTATCGGTTGACCTTGATGTCAGATCAGCCAAGATTCGGGAGAGGGTCACCGACGACGCCGAGGTCGAGGAAGCTGCGTGCTCGGATGGGCCGATGACTGCGAACAGAGCGGGTGTGGTGGTTGCAGTGGCTGCCGAAAAGTGGAAAGCTGAAGGTGCAGCTGCACGTAAGGATCGAGGCTCCACTTCCGAGAAGACACGGCGCGAAGCGGTGATGCGCAGCGGAAATTGCGAGAGTCAAGGCTCCAAATCATGTGTCTCACTCCACTCTCATCTGGCTCGGTACAGCCGAGCGAAGCTGTTGCAACCGAAGCGGGCCCGCGTCCTCAGCGCGCAGCTCATCTTGCAGCCGCGTGTTTCGAGGTGGGTTTTCGACATCGTTCGTTTCGACGCTATCAGCACCTCTTTGTGCTTTACGGGGCTTGTGAAAGACGCAGAAGACGGCAGTCGGAAACAGACCGATACCAGTGACTGCTGGGGAGGGCATGACGATCGAGCCAGCCGAAGCATAACTTAGCTCCTGCAAGCCACTCAGGGCCGCGTCGGCAGCTGATAGCTTGGCACTCTTCACTCGCCCTCGTCCGTGCGTCATTGCGGCCGATGACAGCAGACAGGTGTAAGCTCTCCTTTCGACGCCCAAGGCTGCGGCTGAGCATCTGTCTGCCCTGGCCTGCGTTCGGATGAGCTTTCCGAAGCAACGAGCTCAAGGTTGAGCGGGCCCGAGCGCTTCTTCTTGGCTTGGCCCTGGCGCCTGGCCTTGTGCTTTCTCCCTCCTCTCGCCCTTTCCAGCCCTGGCTCAGCTGGGGTCCGCGCCGCGGATGTTTGGTTGTCACGCATTGCTCGTTGGGGTTCTGGGTCGATTGCGCGCCCAGTGAGCACGGCTTGCGAGCCTAGCTGTGATTTCTTTCTTTTTTTTTTTTTTTCCAACGCGCCCGTGATTTTTCCCGCCAACCGAGTCGGCAGAGCCGAGCTGAGGCTCACTCATGCGCCGGCCAAGCCTCCCCTTTGAGTGCGCGGTGTGGATTTGGGTCGACTGGCCCACCCAACGCTAGGCGAGCCTGTCGAGCTGCAGCTGCACCCCTCCTTTTGTCGGCTGCTGCTGCTGCTGTTGTTGCCGGCTGCTGCCGCCGCCTTCTGAACACGGACGGCCTCCTGTCTGCCAGATCTGGAGCTCGGCCCTGGCCCGACCCGCAACCTCGAGCTTGGACCCATCGCCCTCGCTGCTCGCCGCCCATCCTTCCCATCTGCCACCCTTCTCGTCGTCGCTGCACCCGCAACCGCACCCGCAACCGCACCCGCATCCGCAGTCACAATCACTTCAGAGACCGCCACCACCATCGATCATCTCCCACCATCATCCTCCGGACACGCGAGTAGGGCACATCGGCTCTTTTCCGCACACAACTCCATCGCACCATCAGCCCACGGCCTCTCCTTCATCTCCGCTTCCACCGTCACGATCCCTACGTGTCAATCTTCCTGCGCACCACGCTCTATCAACCACTGCGCAACACGCTCGCTCCGCTCCATCGTCTCCAAGCATGCTCCACGTAGCGACCATGCACCTCCAACGCTGAATGTCTGCATCCATCAGCACATCCCCGCACCCTCCGTGTAGCGGATCGGCAGGCCTGCATCGCAATCATGGCCACTGAATCCATGCCGCAAGGCGATCCTGCCACCACCACATCTGCGGCTACACCCTGCGAAGCTGCACAGCCGTCGCTCGACCGCCTGGCACCAACCGACACAAGCCCGCGCCGGAGTGGTGAGCCCGCCTCCAGCCCATTACACTCGGCCATGAATCTGGCTCTTGCGGGTCATGCTTCCGCGAATCCTGCTGCGCCCTCCTTGTCCGACGCCGTTCCCACATCGTCCTCCATCAACGCCTCCATGTCGCCACCTGCGCAGCTGTACAGCTCACCAGCGATGCCCTCCGACTCAAAGGATCTTGCCCAGCCAGTTCTCATCGGATCGAGCCCCGAGACCACCACACACCCCACCACACATGCAACCGCCACGTCAGCGCTGCTCAGTGTCGACGACGTTGCCAGCCGATCCGCTTCCGCATCGCCTTCCGTCGTTTCAGGCTCATCCACCCCCGCTCGATCCGCCATCAACGAACTCCAGCTCTACGCACAGCAGATACAACAACAGCTGCTCAATCAGCATATCCATCGTCAGCTCAATGCCGCCACGCCCTCGGCCACCTCATCGTCGCATCCACCGCCTCACACCCAATTGGCTTCCACCAGCGCCAGCACCTACAACTCACCTCCCGAATCCGGCCGCTCCTCACCCAACCCGCGCGCCTCGATCCGCTCCAATCGCCCCCCTCACGTCCTCGAGACCCATCGCCTCGACATTCAGACTCACACCAGCGGTCGTCGCATGGTCAATCAGTACCTCATCGAGGGCGAGCTCGGTCGCGGCGTTCACGGCAAGGTCCGTCTCGCCACCGACCTCGAGACTGGCGAACGAGTCGCCGTCAAGATCGTAGAGAGGGAGGCACGCAAGCGTCTCGGCGCCGGCCTCGGCCTGCTGGGTCGGAACAATCGCAACAGGGAGATGCTTCGCTCCTCTAGTCTCCACGTCGATCCTACTCCAAGCAACGCCATCGACCACGTCAACACCCAAGCCACGCCCAAAGATGCCACTCCCGAGACCGACTCTCCGCAGGATGACACCACCTCTGTCTCCACCACCGTCCGAGGTGTACCCAGCACTCCTTCGACCCAGTTTGCGCCATTGCCTCACCTGCCGCGCTCACCCTCGGCTTCAGCACTCGGTCTTCATGGAAAGCGTGCCCAGCCCGACTCGGATGCCGATCGCCGTCGCGAAAAGGAGCGCGAGCGAGCCCGAAAGGCGCTCATGTGGACCACAGATCAAAAAGTGCGTCGCGAGATCGCCATCATGAAAAAGTGCAGCCACGACAACGTCGTGCAGCTCAAGGAAGTCATCGACGATCCCCAAAGCAAAAAGATCTTCATGGTCCTCGAGTACATGGAAGGCGGCGAAATCGTCTGGAAGAACGATCAGGCCCAGCCCACTCTCACCGTCGACGAGGCGCGCAGCATCCTTCGAGACGTTGTCTGCGGTCTCGAGTATCTCCACTACCAGGGCATCATCCACCGCGACATCAAGCCCGCCAATCTACTCTGGGACAAGGATCGCCGCGTCAAAATCTCCGACTTTGGCGTATCCCACTTCAGCTACGCCATGATGATCGCCAACGAACAGTCCGCAGCAGCACCAACTGCCACCGCTGCGTCTTCGTCCGCCTCGTCCTCCTCAAGCCGATTGGCACCGCCTCCAGGCTCGACGTCTGATCCCAGTCTGGTCGATGATCGCGAGCTAGCCAAGACGGCCGGCAGTCCAGCCTTCTTCGCGCCTGAGCTCTGCATGTCTTCCTTCTCTTCGGCATCTCCTTCCATCAACCCTCGCCATGACGCCAAAGGCGCATCACTGGCGGATGCAGCAGAAGCCAACCAATCTTCCGCTGCGGCTGTCCGTCCCAAGGTGACCAAGGCGATCGACGTATGGGCATTAGGTGTCACCCTGTACTGCCTATTGTTCGGCACCACGCCTTTCACCGCCGAGTCCGAGTACGCGCTCTTCTCGGTCATTCCCAACACCGACTACTCCCTTCCCGTCTCCATGGGCGTGGACCGCGTCCGAGTCGGACCAAGGAAGCCTCGCTGGCGCTCTCACGTCCAGTGGACCGACGAGGAGGCCGACGCACAGCCGCAAAGCCCTTCAGATCTCATCCCGGATGCCGATCCGCAGGACCTGAGCGAAGATGCTAGGCAGCTGCGCGACTTGCTGGACCGCCTTCTGGAAAAGGACCCGGCAAAACGCATCACCCTCGAGGAAGTCAAGAAGCACCCCTGGATCACTCACGGCCTGCAGGATGCTCCTGCGTGGCTCTCGGAGACGGACCCGCATCACCTTCCTTTTGTCGAGATCTCGCACGCCGATGTCGAGGACGCACTGACAGGCTTTTCCAAGCTCAAACAGCGCGTCAAGCGCTGGCAGTCCAAGCTACTCGACTCGTTCAGCGGCGGCAGGCGCCGTAGCAAGTCGGTGAACCACTCTTCTGCCGGGTCGTCCGTGTATGCAGACATTCACACCGACTCTGGCAGTAGCTCGCCGCATCCAAACCGACTCGCGATGCCTGAAGATGTCGGATCAATGCCCGTCACGCCGTTCGACTCGTCTAGTCACTCGGGCTCGTCTGCTCGCACGCCACGGACGCCACTCAAAGGCCACATCTTCTTCTCCCGCCAGAAAAGCGCCGGCTCAGTCGGTCGTCGCGACGGCACCACCACTCTTCGTGCACTCACCACCACGGTCCGCAACGACGAAGAGGGTGATGCGATTGCACTCGGATCGCCTCGCACCACGCTGGCAGGGACGACTGGCAAGGTCGAATCAAAAGCACTCTCGAGAGAGCCCGCCTCACCCTCGCTGTCGAAGGAGGACTCTGTGCAGAGCTCGAGCGCGGCGCACATGCTACCGCCCCTCGTCCTTACTGGTGGGCTTGAGGTCGATACGATGAGGCCTCCCAGTCTGGTCTCGCAGCGAAGAGTCTCGGCGCATTCGACCAGCAGCGTAGGTGCGCGTTCCGACGCGGCTCCCGAAATCCCGCAACGCACTTCGTCCGGTACCCATGCGCTGGCGCCCAAGGGAGGCGCGGCCCCGGTCTCCCCTGTGCTTCTGTCTCAATCACCGCAGACAACGTCGCTCCAGCGCATGCTTAGCCGACAAGGCCGGACCAGCAACGACTCGCATCCGCATCGTGCCGCTTCACCGCGGCGTTCCGTCGATTCCGAGGGGCGCTCGTCCACTCTCAGCATCTCGCAAACTTCGCGAGTCTCGGGCCGCCATCGTCTCGGCGACTTCTTGAGAGGCAGCTGGCTCATGACCAGCGAGGACCGACATCGTAGCACATCCAGGCCAAGCACGCGCGGCTCGCGTGAGGCTGCTCCCTTTGGCCTCGGCGCCACCGGTACGAGCACAGCAGGACGCAGCGGAAGTGTTCGCAGCAACGCCAGCAGTTCGAAGCGAGAAGCCGCCGCTGGCCCTTCGTCTGGCATCGCTCTTGTGGTCGACACGCAAGGTGCCGTGCGACAGACCGGGGCTCTTCCTGGATCCGGAACTCCGACCAGCGCGCCCGTCCTTGGCAGCAACAGCAGCAGCGCCATCACGGGAGCACCGAGTCTTTCGACGGAATTGCTCAGCGAGCCCGTCGAGAGCGGAAGCATCGCGCGAAGCGCCTTTGGAGCTGCGAGCCAACCAACTTCTCCCCTCACGGGCTTGGATGAAGTACAGCCTTTTGCATTCGATCGGCTGGGCAGGCGCCGTCCCGTACAGATGGGCCTCGACGAGGCGGACAACGATGATGTTGACCTCGAGCTCGAGTTCTCGGACGACGACCTCTCGGACGACTTGCACGGTGTCAACACCGGCCCCATGCTCGTCAATGCGGGTCACGGCTGGTCTGTGCGTGACGGCGACCACCTCGGTGGCGACGGCGTCAACGGCGACGGAGTGGATGGGCCGGCCTTCCTGCCGGAGGCCTACCGTCGTAAGGCATCGGGTGGGAGCGACAGCTCGCACGACATCCTCACGCCCTCGGTCGAGGGTGGCTACAACGTCTTTAAGCCACCGTATCAGCACCTCTTGTCGCCTCCCGAGGTGAGCGAAGCACCTGGGCAGCATGCCGTCCCAGTTGCGGCCGCGCACTTTGATGATGTTGCTGCGGCACCTTCGAGTCAGGCCTTTGACATCGACGTGGGGCTGTCCCCCGAGGCGCAGGCCCTGCGAAAGGCCGAGGGTACCGAGACGACGGCGGATGCACTCGTCAATTCGAGTGCGCGTCCACACAGCGACGATGCCACTCCCATCAGCTCAGGCAGCGTGTCGCGTTCCGCGTCGCATCGTCTGCATGGCTCGGACGACTCTTCGCGCGCACCCTCGGCGGCTGGGACGTATGCGACGGGCGGCTCAGAGAACGAGGTGCACCTTGCAGACGCGCTTGAGAAGAAGGCGACGGAGGTGGTGCCCTTGGCTACCATGAAGCCGATCATTGCGACGGAAGAGTCGCAATTTGCAGACGCCGACGAAGATGCAGCGGCTTCCGCTGCGCCTGCCGCGCTGTTGGACGACGACGACGACGACAGCGACGAACAGTGCGTCAGTTTCCAGGCGCGTCGTAAGCGATCCACGCGCTTCCGCCCGGCGGCCGCTCCGGCGGCTTGATCCCGAATCTTTGTCGCCAGCTTCTCTGCACACGTATCGCATTCACGCAACTTTGACTTTGTTGACAGACATCAGCGACCCTACGGCGGGCGAAGAGGTCAGGCGTGAGTGTTCGGGTCATTGTTTGTGTGTGTGATGTTGGATGGCGCGGTTGCATCTGGCAGTGGCAGGCGTGGATCAGGTTGGTCTTGAACCTGGCGAGATCGTGCCTCTCTCTGGCTTAGACGTTCACGAAGTGTCGATGACCCCAAGCTTACTTGTTTCATTCCTGGCGGCTCATCGCGCATCGCTGAATGCTTGTGCCGCATTAATTAGCTGTTTGGCGGGACGAAAACTCAGCCATGAGCTCCTGATCTTGTACCATCTCCCCGTATGGCCGTATCGGGATCACACCTGTTCTGCAGGTAAAAACGGTTCTTCTTCTTCTTCTTCTTCTTCTTCTTCTTCTTCTCTTTGAGATGATGGACATTTATCATGTTGACCTGGATGTGGACGGTCGTGATGCTCCGACTTGATCTCGACGCAGGATGACGCACGGCTCATAAGATCAAGGTTTGCGCATGCAGGTGCGTCCCTTTCACTGAAAATGAAGTTGTCCATCGTGATCATACAGCACGAGTTCCGCCTTCCCGCATGTCTTGGAACCGCTCCTTCCTTCCGACCTGATGCCGCTGCCCTGCAAGTCTGGTCTTCACTTCGAAGATATGAGCAACGCACGTTGTCAAAGAACGCGCACATCGAAGCTAAGAAGACTCGGCACTCGCTCACAAAAGAAAGAGGCGGATGGCCGTCCTTCCCTTGACGCACGTCGCCAGCCATCCAAGAAGAGGCAAAAAGTACAATATCTAGCATTCATATCAAAGACTGGACAATCCCGGACGAATTCCAACACAAGCAGCAAGATCTCGTGATCGCATGGCTAGACCTTGTTCTTAACGTCGTCGTGGTCGACGTTGAGGCGCGAGCCGTTACCGGAGTCTGGGCTGTTGGCCGAGTCCGCATCGCCGACCGACTGGATCTCCGGGTAGGGGTATTTGGCGAGCAGGTGGCGGATGACGAGCGACATGACGACGGCGAGGAGCATGAATGCCATGGTGACACCGAAGCCCTTGCGGTTGTAGTTCTTGTCGCCCTTGTTGAAGAGGTACGAGCCGTACAGGCTCGCCGAGTTGCCCATGCCGTTGACAAACGCCTGCACCACCGCACGCTTCTCGGACGGATGCGGGATGGCGTTGGACACCCAGATGCTCACCAGCGGGCATGCTGCGTACACACCCGCAACACCAAAGCACAGCAGCACGTATCGTCCCTTGTGGTCCAAAACACCAATGAGGCAGGCAAACGAGACCACCGCGATGGCCGAAGCCGTCGCCAGGTGGAAGGCTCGCTCCTTTCGCAGATCCGACGAGAAGCAGAAGCCCAGGATCGCGGCGAGGGCAACGGCGTAGATCGGAGCCGTCATGTACTGCACGTGGAAGCCCTTGTAGCCCATCGACTTGACGAGTTCGGGCACAAAGTACTGGATCGTCTGACTGCCGGTCGTGAGCATGTACAGGAAGACGAAGCACCATGTTCGCCAGTCGAAGAAGGCCATCTTGGCTGCCTGCGTGTGCGTGATGTCCTCGTCGCCGCCCTGGGCGCTTCCGACCGAGTCAAGCGCAAGGCGTCGGCTGGCGATGGCCCTTTCGCGAGGGCTGAGCCATCGAGTTGTTGCCGGAAAGTCTGGGAGGACAAAGACAGCAGCAACGGCAACACCACAGGTGGCGGCACCCTCGATGATGAAGAGCCACTTCCAAGCCGCAATGCCGTGTGCACCGTCGAGCTTCTGCAGCAGACCTCCGGCGATGAGACCGCCAAACATGCCCGAGATGGCAACCGCAGAGTAGTAGAGACTGTATCGTCGGGCGAGCTCGCCTCGCTTGTACCAGCTGGAGAGGAGGAAGAGCACACCGGGGGCGAAGCCGGCTTCGAGCGCACCGAGCACGACACGCAGCGCAGCGATGGTCTGCCAGTTCTTGGCAGCGGCAAAGCACATGGACAGACCACCCCACAGGAACATGAGCGTCGGCAGGTAGATACTCGGACGCACACGCGTGAGCAGCATGTTGCTTGGCACCTCAAACGTGACGTACGTGGCGAAGAAGACGAGGAGGACGATACTGTAGTGGTTCGAGTCCATCTTGAGATCGGCGCCCATGCCTCCGGTATAGGCATTGCCGATGTTGCTACGGTCGAGGTAGGAGAAGAGGTACATAAGCCACACACAGGGGACGAGACGCCTGTCGATCTTGCGCAGCAGCTGCTTCTCCTCTTCCTCTGCCTCGGCAATGGTGAGCGTGGGGTGCGCATCGTCGATGGCTAGCGAGGGAGGACGCATGGCGGCGTCAAAGGTGTCGTGGGCGACGGCGTTGTTCTTCTCGGCGGCCGAAACCATGATCAGAGGATGGCGACGAGCAAGCTGAAGGGTGGAATGAGTATGGCCGGGTCGTGCCTTGATCGATTCGGGGCAATGTTGAGGCTGAGGCAGGCTCCGCGTAGGGAGGGATTGGTTGGGGGGCGCTCTGGTGATGACGAGGGACAGCGGGCGTGGCTTCAAAGGCAGGAGTACTTATGTCGAAGAGGAGGCCTGTATGATGTTAAGCGGGGTTCTCGTGCGCATGTGGGGTCATGTACGAGCGCACGGTGCCTGAGGCATGACCGAGACCGGATGATCCGAGTACCGCTGTACCGAATGGGCGTCAGATGTGGGGATGCGCGTGCGTTTCGGATGGGTCGGTGGACCTAAGCGACGGACACGATGGTGGGGGGGAGAGAGAGAGAGGCAGGTTGTGCGTGTGGGGGAGTGAGGGTGGCGAGCGTGCTGCACCAAGCAAGGGGACGTCTTTCGTGTGCCGAGGGCCAAGGTTGCGGTGGTGGGAGGGCAGGAACGGGGAGGAGACGGAGGTGAGCGACAGTCGGGGTTGTCGGGCTCTTGTGCGTCTGTGTGGGGTAGGGCATGCAGAGGACGCCAATCGTTGGAGGGTGGCCAAGGGACGTGGGGTAGAGGGAGGTACAGAGACTTTGCGGTGTTGAAAATTGGCCGAAATGGTACAGGCATCCCATTTGCATGTGCTTAGAGTTCGTGCGCAAGCAACAACAGCTCTTTACCCCGCAGCAGTGGCAAGCATCGTGGATGTGGGAGCACGCACAGAGCGCGGGGGGTGGACCGGGGTAAAGACCGGACTTTGCTCCAGGGCCAAGAGAGCATTTGGATGTGGCACAACCGAGCGCGACGGCATTGGCGAAGGCAACCGGATTCGGCTGCTGCTAGATCAAGGCGTCGGTGGTGGCAGACGCACGCTCTTGCTCAGCCGAGGGTAACGCAGGCGTACGTACCTCAAATTGTGGGCGGACTGCGAGCCGGGTCTGCAGTACAGCTGTCACGAGGGTCCCGGCAGATGTGAATCTTGTCCTCGGGTCGCACAAGAAACCTGCGTCGTCCAAGTGGGGCTCCAGATGCGCCAGAGGCGACTGGCCAAACGCCTGGCAAAACATCGGACTGCAGCCCAGAGCTCTCCCACATGTCGTATGAAATGGATGATTTAGCGCGTCATGTGCCACCCCTTGGCTCCCACAAGTCAAGAGCGTGGTGGGAGACCCAAAAGTGGGAGGTGGCGGATACGGTGTAGCTGGCCAAATGCATCCCTGTTCGCCGAACAGACTTCGTTTGGCTTGATGCAAGGGTCGCAGTAGGGTCTACAGGATCTAGCCTTCACTGTGGTTGAGCTGGTCACGCCGCCGTCGAGCTCCACATCTCCCACATGCGAATCGCGTTTGCCCACAAGGAGACGCTGCTGGACCTTGTGGGGCTCCCGTTGACCTCTGCCGACGTGCTGGGCTCGGCGCCCTCAGTGCTTCACCGGCAAATTGCGGATCATGAGCCGGTCCAACGTTGAGCACAATACTTAAAGCCCTGAGCCACTGCTGGGCAAGTCGTCGCGTTCGCTTCTGGTCATCCTCCAACAACTGTGCACAGCCTGCCTGAAGACCTCTGGGCCCCATACGTACAAGCAGCATGACGATCCAAGAACAGACCATCCTTATCACTGGCGCCGGCGGCTGGCTCGGCTCGCTCTTGCCCGCTCGAATCGTTCAGCGCGAGCCGCAAACGGCGTTCAGCTTCATCCTCGCTGATATTGTCGAGCCCAAGCCCGCCAAGGGTCTTGCCGCCAGGGTCATCTGCAAGAAGGCGGATCTGTCGGAGGAGGCAAGCCTCGATGAGCTCTTCAACACCGAATTCGGCAAGCCCGACGTCATCTACTCGATGCACGGCATCATGAGCCTCGGAAGCGAAGAGAACTGGGACCTCGGCATGAAGGTGAACCTGGACAGCACGCGTAGCCTGCTGGAAAAGGCAAGAGCCTCGCGCACCTCGCAAGGTGGGCCGATCAAGGTCGTCTTCACCTCTTCCGTGGCAACCTATGGCGGTCCTCTGCCGCATGTCGTGCTTCCCTCGACTCCGTGCCAGCCCGAGGGTGCGTACGGCACGGCCAAGCTGATGGGCGAGTACCTCATCACGGAGTACACGCGTCGCGGCTTCATCGAGGGCATCTCGGTCAAGCTGCCCACCATCGTCCCGCGTCCCGGAGTTCCATCGCGCGCCACATCCGCCTTCGTTTCGGGCATCGTCCGCGAGCCTCTGAACGGCGTCGAAGCCATCTGCCCCGTCGGATCGTCGATCGATGACCCCGTGCTCAAGAAGCTTGAGGTGTGGGTGGCCAAGCCCTCGACCACGCTCGAAAATCTCGCCCGCGCCAAGAACGTCGTCACGGACAGTGCCCACAAGATCACGCGCTGGTCGCGATCCGTACAGCTGCCTGGATTTACCGTTTCGATCCTCGAGATCATCGAGGCGTTGCGCAGCGTGCGGGGAGACGAGGCGGTGGACCTCATCAAGTTTGAGCACGACGACACCTGCCAGCGCATCGTCTCGAGTTGGCCTCGCGAGTTCGACAACTCGTACGCACTTGACCTGGGCTTCACCGTCGACCAGGACGGCTTCACTGGCGCCATCAAAGAGTACATGGATGCTCACTGTTGAACGCCTCTACCGCATGCTCGACTCGTTATGTGATACTGTCCCACTGTCGCAATGTACCGATGTTTGTCCGTGATTTGCAGTAAGGAGTTCTTTGTTCAGTTTGGCTGGCAAATGCGTGACAAGCATCCGCAGCGATGCGACGATATCGAGAGACGATGCTGTCCAATAGACCGGACGGCGGATTGCCGACCCGCCCCCGTCAAGCTGCCCTGACCCGAGGGTTCAGTCGGGACAGCCGGTGTGTCGCGCTGACCCGTTGCCCAAGCCCAGAGAGGGTGGGCAGGGAGAGGCCCAAGTGGGAGAGCGTGGCGATTCCGCTGGGGTGGGGTTTCAGTCAATTTCCGCACGGCTGGCCCGAAGCCTCCCACATGATGGACCGTGGGTGCCCACGCGCGCTTCCGAGGTCGCCCCGCATTTTGCAGGGTTCGGGCCGCCCGCCCACCCTTCAGTCGCCTCGCGTGGGATTCGCACCCTCGCAAAGAGGCTCCACTGGAGTGGAGCTGGGTGTGAGCAAGCAAGGCCAAATCCGATGAACAGGCTGGCATGCTACCGCACGGTGTTGTATGGCCAAGTCGTGCCTGCTGAGCTTCCCATCAAGCCCACCATCAAAACGTGGAACCCTGTCGACTCTTGCCATTCCGACACTGGCCTCATCGTCGCCCAGCCTTCTGCTGTCCTCCAGCTTCCTTACGACACCAGCCTTTTCGCTGCCGGTACCCGTGAAGGCGATTCCAGCGTTCGCCTCGACTACGATCCCTACCTGCTCGCAATCACAATGTCAACAGGGCAAACGCGCGGGAGCTGTTTCTGACCCGAACACGATCCACTACCTACAGTCACATCGGCACATCCGACCCAAACCGTCCGACAGCTTCGATCCGCGCACTGGCGCCTTTGCCTCTGATCGCAAGATGCGCTTCACCTGCACCCACTGCGGGAAGGCCTACGCCCGCACAGAGCACCTCAAGCGTCACATCCAGTCGACGCATCAGTCGGACCGTGCCGACGAGGCACCGCGCATCTACCCCTGCGATGCACCAGGGTGTGAAAAGACATTTCGCCGCAGCGACGTGCTCGCCAGGCACAAGCGGGGCCATGCCTCGAGCGAGGATGCAGCGCCCAAACCCACCAAAAGGATCAAGCGCTCGTCCACGTCGTCTCCGTCCGATTTCGCACATCCCAGCACATCCTCCCAAGCGTCGATCCTCCGTTCGGCAGCGCAAAGGGTCAATGACCCCTCCAATTCGCACGATGGACTGCACGGCATGATGGGCTATCCTCACGCCGGTCCCTCCTTTTCACCGAGCCATGCATCCCGCCACTCTTTGAGCGAAGCTTCCCCCACCAGGCCCACTCCGCCAGAAGCGACAAACGCAGTGCAATCTCTCGTCGGAACACTTCCGAACCATGTCCACTCGGCAGGCGCCTACGCTCACTCGCACGCCAGCGCGCTTCCCACGCAGCCAATGGTGGATGACTCCTTCCGTCCGCAGCACGCCGGTCAGCCGCTCACAACCAGGGCTCTTCAGGAACAGCAACAACTCGCCAGCCTCGAGTACTCTCTATCGCGATCCGCAGGCGCACACACAAACGCAAACGCAAACGGCAACGGCAACGTAAGCACCAATGGCTCGGATGCGCTCCCAGTTCGCAATCACGCCGAGACCAACTTCGCCATTCAAGCATTTCCGGGCATGCCGAGCGCATATTCCGACTTTCCTGCCTCGCCTCGCTCGAATCTCGCACCCGCTCGCCCCCGGGCACCGGCCGATTTCGGCTTTTCCTTCGACGAGTGGGATCCTCATCTCTTTGATCAGCCGCAGAACGGCGGAGACGCAGCTGGCATTCAGCGCCTCGGTTGGGACTCGCTCAACTACAAGAATCTCACCGGCCTCGACTGGATCTTTGACGATGGCGCCGCCAGTTTGACAGACGCTTCCGTCTTTTCGGGCGTGCTGCCCTCCTCTTTCGACGACGAGCTCGCCGCGCTCGAAGACTTCGGGCCCCGACCGCCCGATTCCCTCTCGCGCGCCACCGAAAAGATATTCGAGAGAGCCAAGGGTCCAGAGGGCGCCTCCGATCCATTCGAGTCGCTCAACCTCATCAACCTCGCCAACACAGCCATCGACCAAGCCAGCGGCGGCAACAACAACCCTGCTCTTGCCAACGGCGGACGTACCGCGCGTAACCCGGACGATGACGGAGAATGGCCGCAAGACTACCGTCCCACGCGACGGCAGCCACCAACGTTCGACATCTCCGACTTGATCCTCGCCGTCGAGATGGACGACGAGGCACAAGACGACATCGCATCAAGAAACGCAAGGACCAGCGAGCCCTATTCGGAACCTGTCTCCAGCAGACACATCCCCTTCGTCCTGATCGAAGAATCCTTGGAGGACAGCGCCGATGGACGTCGCACAACAAGCCGCAACTCGCCAATCCTAAAGGCAGCTCCCACCAAGTCGTTTGGATTAACCGGAAAGATCACCGAAACTGCCCGCCAACACCTGCTCGAATACATCCGTCACTCGTGCAAGCATCCGTGGTCAGTCTATTCTTTCAACGGCAACGCCGACAGATTCCTCACCTGCTCCGAGATCGAGATCCTCGTCTCGCTCTACTTCCGCAAGGTGCATCCATATACGCCCATCCTGCATCAGCCTTCCTTCGATCCAGAGACCACCAGTCCTGTGCTCCTCCTCATCATGGTGACCAAAGGCCTCGTCTTTTACGTGTCCGAGATGCAAGCCCGCGGTGCCCGTAGCGCGAGCCTCGCACGGCTTCAGAAGCGCGCCAGCATCCTTGCTCCCGCCTTGTCCGAGCTCACCCGCATCGGTACCATGAGCGCCTACGAGGCCGACCAGCGCGGATTCCAGGACATTGTCATCAATTCGGCCTGGCTACTTCAGCAACAATTCGGTATCGGGGCGGGTAACAAGCGTCTCTACAAGCTGGCAGAGCGCAATCGTGGCGGCATCATGACGGCCATCCGCCGCATCGGACTGCTCAACATGTCCACCATTCGCCTCGACACCACCGACCAGCCGCTGGACACGATCGATGATCAGAAGCTCGAACGGAAATGGCGCGCCTGGATCGAGCGCGAAAGTCGCATCCGCCTAGGCTGGTGCGTCTTTCTGTACGATCAACTGTACAGCCTCTACATGGACATCTCGCCCGTCCTCCTCTACACCGAGATCACCTCGCCTTTCCCCTGCGACGAGCAGCTCTGGAACGCACGCTCGGCACGGGAGTGGTACTCGCGCATCCCGCAGCACTCTCAGGCCACACCCAAAACCTCGTTTATCGATGCGCTCAGGAAGCTACTCGATCCACCGCGGCACGAAGACATCCCCCTTCGCCTCAACCGTTTTGAGGCCTACATTCTTGCCGTCACCCTCTACCGCATTCGCTGGGACACTAGCAAGCGTTCAGTTCTTTTTGGCATGGAGGCTTTCGCTCACGCCGAAGAGGTCACGCTGGGCGAGAACCACGTGGTGGATGCAGCTTCAGGCACCGTGGCCATCGACGCCGCTGCTGCAAATGCGCTCCAAGGCCTCGCCGAAGCAGCAGCGTCTGCCACACTCTCGCTCACTTCCAACAGTCCCGCAAAACGGTCCAAACCGTCTGCCAATCCTCCCAGTCTGGCTCTGAGCGTCGACGTCCAGCTTCTGCGATTGCTCTCCAGGATGCACTTTAGCGGTCCACCCGCCTTCTTTGACCGTCTCAAAGACGCTGCGGGAAGAGCCGGAAATGCTAGGCGGGCCGATGCCGTGATCGAACTGAAGCGCTGGGTGGCAGATCCTAAGAATCACGTTGCGATGCGTCAGATGCTGCTAGCTTCCGCACAGGTGTACGACCTCATCCGCACCTCGTTGGACGCAACCGCAGCCAATTCGAACGTCATGGTGCTGCAGAGCCATGTCGGCATTGTCGGTCTCTTCCACTCGGCACTCATCGTGTGGGCGTACGTCAAATTCGGTCCCATTGTCCAGCGCAAGCTCTCCGTGCATGGCTCTCTGGGACATGCTGTGAACGCAGAGGGCCCGACATCGACTCTGAACGGCAAGGGCGATGAGGTGATTCGGGCGAGCAAATCCCAGCTGGAATCGCTGCCCTATCTCTCGCCAGCCGCACTGCGGCTCGTCGAAGAGGCCGGATTCATAGATCTGATCGCAGCGAGCGGGGAGGCGACCAAGAGCGCCGACGGCACCGAAGACTGGCAAGAGCGCGCGAGCGACAGCACCAACGAGTCCGGCTCGCTCTCAGTGGGGACTTGTGCGTCGGACTCGAGCACAATCTCGCGTGTTGTGGAAGCCTGGTCGCTCGGCGCATATCGATCCACAGTCGACGGCAAGCCTCGTCGCTGGTCCGCAGCCAACAGCCTCGTGGTCCGCATCGCGGGCATTGGCGAGCTCAAGTGTAGCGACGGAAAGGGCATCAATAGGCAAGGTATGCCCAACGGAGGCGCTAGCACGCACCAGACAGCCTCGCGGAACTCGTACGACGAAGACTTGCGAGAGCGATCGTCGGAAGAAGTGGGCGAGAGGCGCAATGTTGACAAGGCGATCTCTTCCATGCGAACTGTCCCGCCGCAGATGAACGGCGCGTTGACGCCACGCGGGCACGAGGGTCTACCACCAGGCACGCCCACCGTCGTTCTGGATGAAGGGAGCGAAATGAAGACGTCGCGCATCCTCATCCGCTTTGCAGCGCTGCTTCGCAAGCTCGACTGGGGTCTGGCTGCGTCGTTCCGAACGATTCTCATCCACATGGCGCGCCACGAAGCGCGCGCGGTCGAGGCTGCCGAGGCGCTGCAAGAGGCTAGCGGCGAGTCGAGACAAATGGCCAGCTGATCCTATCGCACTGCTACACTCTTGTCACGCGGTTCTTTATATACCGAACGGAAAAGCAACCGTGTGTCATTTGCGATGACGTGTTTGAAGCTATCGCAGGTTGGAAGCCAGAGCGATTTCATCGAGCTTGTCATCGGACGCTGAGCGCCTGTTGTCGAGGGCAGAGAAGAGTTCGGCACCGGCGGCGAGGGCATCGATGAAGAGCGGAAGGCGGGTGCCGCCATCTGCGCCGAGGGTGGGTTCGCGCTGCGAGTGCCAGTGGAGAAAGGCAACAGATCAGTCAGCAGTCGTATCATACAGATGCACGGAGGAGTATGGCTGTGCTCACGGTACGAATAGCATCGAGTTCATCGCCAAACTCGTTTGCAACCGATCGGAGCCAGAGAGAGCGGAAAGCCTGTTGACGACGTTCGCGCTGGGCTTGCGAGTGTTGAGGCGACATTTTGGAGCTGCTGCCAGAGCGTGTTGTGGCGGAGGAGGCGGACTTGGCATCAACGATGCGCTGAAGGTGGTCAGGTAGGGCAGGTGAGGACGGCTTCGCTTGAGTGACGACCCGTTGCATAAAGCTCGTCGACTTCTTCGTGGCGGTCGACTCGTCCCGACTGTGGTCCGGTTCGGGGCTGAGACGGAACACATGCTTGCGCTTGGCCGAAGAGGAGGAGGCAGCGGTGTCGCTGATCTTTGCAGACTGAGTGTGTTTGCCCGCAGACTTTCCGCCGCGTCTCGAGGACGAATTGTCGGACGAAGACGAGGAAGACGAGGAAGATGACGAGGATGACGACAAGGAAGAAGATGAGGACGAGGAGGATGACGAGGATGACGATGAGGAGGAAGATGAAGAAGACGAGGAAGACGAAGCGGAGGAGACCGAGTCGGCTCTCTGCCTTCGAGATCTCTTCTTCCCGTGGCCCTGCTGAAGTGTTGGCGACGGCTCGGACTCGTCCGACGAGGAGGAGTCGGAAGAGGACGAATCGGAGTCCTCGCCGGAGGAGACGGCCATGGTCCTCGTCTTCCTTTGGCGTCTTTTGCGAGGCTTGGCCGCCGCCGCGTTGCTAGATCTCGGTTTGGCAGGCGCCATGCTGAATGCTTTGAGCCCAGTACGATACGGTTGTGCTTCAGGAAGGAAGCCGAGGTGGAGTTTCTGCGAAACTTTTGGTGGGTCCTGCGACGTTTCCTGCCTCCGATTTCCGAGGTAAAGAAGCGAAACCGAGAGCGCTTCTCGGACGAAACAAGTCGCGCGGCAAGGACGCGTCGAAGCCATCTACGCATCGGACGCGAAGCAGACGTGTAAATGAGGTTCGCGTAGATTCGCGCGTTTTGCTCGTTGGAGAGAGAAAGAAAGGCGCACGCACGCCAGCAGCAGAGTCGCTTCCTCTGCGCGCGCGCGCCCTCCCGGTGAGGAATCGCGCGGGTTCCGCAGTGGGTGTTGATTGGAATGCGCAAGAGGCGCTGGGCCATTTTGCTGAGCTCTTCGCAAAGTCCAATCAACACCTTCGCCGCACGTCCGGCCTCCTCATCTCCATCCACCATCCACGCCACCGGTCAATCAGCCTGCTCTTCCTCCCTCGACGCCATCTCTTCTCGCAACCACTCTCGCTCCAACCTCTTGCTCGATTATCGGCTCGATTGTCGGCTTCGGACCTCACAACACCTTTGCGATCGAACGCCAAATCAGTGCACATCTGCACCCTTGTCCCACCTAAACACAATCGTCCAATATGGTGAGTACCGTTCCAAATGCCTGGCGTCATCATCCTCCGGTTCAGATCGCTAACAGTATCCCCACCCCTCGCACCAATAGGCTGACCAACAAAGCACCGCAAATCGCAAGCGCCGTCGCCAGCAACAAGGCGATCCATTCGATGCTTCGTCGCCACTCCCAGGCCCGTCCAATGCCAACACACCGGCACGCTCCTCGCCACCTCCCTCGTCCCTTCCTCCGTCCAGTCCGCCCGCCGCCTTCTCCGACTTCACCGATGGCGAGCTCGACGATGCCGACGTCGTCGACGAAGAACGCGAAGCGAGACAGCTCGGCGACCACTTTCAAGACAATGCAGACTCGGACGACGAAGGCGAGGACCTCTTTGGCGACAACATGGACAACGACTACACCGAGAACGCCGCCCTCGATCGCTACGACACCGCGCTAGGCATCGACGACGACAACCAGTACGACCAGATGGACGCCAACGCGCGCAGGCTCGCCGAACTCCGCATGAGCCGCCGCGACCGCACAGAGGCCGCCAACAAGGGCAGCCGATCTCGCGCTCCCGAATTCCTCCACAGCGACGACGGCGCAAGCGATGCAGACGACGGCGTCGCCATCCTCAACCGTCGCAGACGAAGGCACTACGACGAAACAGCAGCGGGCGCAGACGCGGCCGCCTTTGCCGACGACCTTCCGCTCGAGCAGCTCGGCGACGTCAAGACCGACAGCATCGCCAGCTGGGTCGCCACCGAAAACGTGCGCAGGGCCATCGTCCGCGAGTTCCGCAACTTCCTCGTCACCTACGTCGACGAAAACGGTGTCAGTGTCTACGGCCAGCGCATCAAGACGCTCGGCGAGACAAACGCAGAGTCGCTCGAGATCTCGTTCCTCCACCTCGTCGACTCCAAGGCCATCCTCGCCTACTTCCTCGCCAACTCGCCCGCCAGCATGCTTCCCATCTTTGACGAGGTCGCCTTCGACGTCATCATGCTCTACTACCCTTCCTACGACCGCATCCACTCCGAGGTGCACGTCCGCATCGCCGACCTGCCCACCTCATCCACCCTCCGCGATCTGCGCCAGGGCCATCTCAACTCGCTCGTGCGCGTCAGCGGCGTCGTCACCCGACGCAGCGGCGTCTTCCCGCAGCTCAAGTACGTCAAGTTCGACTGTCTCAAGTGCGGCGCTGTGCTCGGCCCCTTCTGGCAGGACGCCAACCAGGAGATCAAGATCAGCTACTGCTCCAACTGCGAGCAGCGCGGTCCCTTCCGCATCAACTCGGAGCAGACCGTCTATCGCAACTACCAAAAGATGACGCTGCAAGAGTCGCCCGGCAGCGTGCCTCCGGGCCGTCTGCCGCGCCACCGCGAAGTGATCCTGCTCTGGGATCTCATCGACTCGGCCAAGCCCGGCGAGGAGGTCGAGATCACCGGCGTGTACCGCAACAACTTTGACGCGTCCCTCAACACCAAGAACGGCTTCCCCGTCTTTGCCACCGTGCTCGAGGCCAACCACATCGCCAAGCGCGACGACGCTTTCTCGGCATTCCGCCTCACCGAGGAGGATGAGCGTCAGATCAAGGCACTCGCCAAGGACGAGCGCATCGGCAAGCGCATTATCAAGAGCATCGCGCCGTCCATCTACGGCCACGAGGACATCAAGACCGCCATCGCGCTCAGCCTCTTTGGCGGCGTGTCCAAGGACATTGGCGGCAAGCATCGTATCCGTGGCGACATCAATGTGCTGCTGCTGGGTGACCCAGGTACGGCCAAGTCGCAGTTCCTCAAGTACGTCGAAAAGACCGCGTCGCGCGCCGTCTTCACCACGGGCCAGGGTGCTTCGGCGGTGGGTCTGACGGCGTCGGTTCGCAAGGATCCCGTGACGCGCGAGTGGACGCTCGAGGGCGGTGCGCTCGTGCTGGCCGACAAGGGCGTGTGCCTGATCGACGAGTTTGACAAGATGAACGATGCCGACCGCACCTCGATCCACGAGGCCATGGAGCAGCAGCAGATCAGTATCTCCAAGGCGGGCATCGTGACCACGTTGCAAGCGCGCTGTGCCATTGTGGCGGCTGCCAACCCGATTCGCGGCCGATACAATCCCACGATTCCCTTCAACCAGAACGTCGAGCTGACCGAGCCGATTCTGTCGCGATTCGACGCGCTGTGCGTAGTCAAGGACACGGTGGATCCGGTCAAGGACGACATGCTGGCGCGCTTTGTGGTGGGCTCGCATCTGCGCTCGCATCCCAAGTTTGATGACGAGACGGACGAGCAGCTTGTGGCTACGTCGCTCGATGCCGACATCCTGCCGCAGGATTTGCTCAAGAAGTACATCATGTATGCGCGAGACCACGTGCGTCCGTCGCTGAATGCGCTCGACCAGGACCGTATCTCGCGGCTCTATGCGGATCTGCGTCGCGAGTCGATCTCGACGGGTAGCTTCCCCATCACGGTGCGTCATCTGGAGAGCATGATCCGCATGGCCGAGGCGTCGGCCAAGATGCATCTGCGCGACTATGTGCGTACGGACGACATCGACGTGGCCATCCGCGCAACGGTCGAGTCGTTTGTGTCTGCGCAAAAGATGAGCGTCAAGAAGACGCTCGAGCGCGGATTCCGCAAGTACCTGCACCAGAGCCGCGACCACGACGAGCTGCTCTCGTTCCTGCTCGGCTCGATCGTCAAGGACCGCATGCGCTTCGTGCAGCTCTCGGCGGGCGCGCGCCGTGGTGCCCAGGGCGATACGGTGGTGACCGTTCCGGCCGCCGAGCTCGAAACACGCGCCAAGGAGGTCGACGTGTTTGACATCCGGCCTTACCTCGGCTCGAAACTCTTCCACGCCAACGGCTACACGTTCAACGCTGCCGACCGCTCCATCACCAAGACGTTCGGCGCCAAGCGGACTGGCTTGTCGGCGGCAGGTGGCAACGCTGCTGCCGCCATGGTGGCCTGAGCGCGCCACATTCTCATTCCCGGTCCGATTTGTAGTGCTCCCGTTTCTTCTCTGTATTTTCTAGCTCCTGCGTCACAATCTCGATCGGTCTCTAGTCATGCTTCTTGGGAGAGGCTGATATGGCTGCATTCCGCACTGTGGTTGGCGTGAGGTGAAAAAGAGCATAGGGACAGCGCACGCTCACTTGGATCGCTTGTACACCTTTTCGAGGAAGGAGCGGAAGACGTCGCGACGGAGGCCCTGCGACTCGGGGAGGCTGTTGATGAGGTGGTTGATCTGCTGGTACGACTCGGCCTCGTACTTGTGGAAGCGTGCGGGGAGGTCGATGTTGGGCTGGTTGTAGATGTCCTTGACGCGCTTTTCGCTCTCGGAATCCTTCTTGCCGTAGTTGTCGTCGAGGATCTGGCGCTGTTCGGGCGTTGCGTTTTGGAGGGCGACGTTGATGTTCCAGGAGCACTTGTTGTCAAAGATGTCGGTGCCGATCTTGCCGATCTGTTCCGGGGTGCCGTAGCAGTCGAGGAAGTCGTCCTGGACCTGGAAGTACTCGCCCATGGGGAGGAGGATGTCGAGCGCCTGCTTGTAGAGCGACTCGTCGGTGACGCCTGCCATGCGCATGGCGAGGGCGACGGGGAGGTAGAAGGAGTAGAAGGCGGTCTTGTAGACGACGATGAGGTGGTGCTTGGTGAGCGAGAACTTGGAGAGGTCGACGACGTCTTCGGGCGCGGTGATGAGGTCGATGAGCTGGCCGAGTTCGGTCTGGAAGGTGACGTCGTGGAAGAGTTCGAGGAGCATGCCGTAGTAGGGCTCGGAGCGGAAGTGCTTCTTGAGCAAAAAGTAGATGGCGGCCTCGAGCATAAAGGCGTCGTTGATGGCGATGTTGCCGACGCCCTCGACGCGGTACCAGCATGGGTGGCCTCGACGGGTGACGCTGGCATCCATCATGTCGTCTGCGACGAGGAAGTAGGCCTGGAGGAGCTCGATGCACCAGCCGAGGATGGCGGCCTTGAGGTACTCGGGCTCGGTGAGCTCGCGTGAGAGCCTGCCCGTAGCCGCATCGGTGCAGAGGAGGATCTCGACGGTGTCTACGACCGACAGGCCGCGGTTGAGCTTGCCGCCGGGGGTGTTGTAGTCGAGGTTGCGACGGAACCACTCGATGGCCTCTGCGGGCATGTTTTCCGAGGCGAGGTAGGCGGTGAGCTCCTCGACGAGGAGCGGGAAGACGGCCTCGAAGCGCTTGCGCTTCTGGATCTTGAGCTGGGCCTTGTCGGCCAGGACCTGAGCGTCGACGGAAGGAGCAGACATGGCGGTGATTGCAGTGGCGGGGTAATGTGGTGGAGAGAAGGAAGAACGTCGGCGCCCGTGCCAACAAGGCAACCAACACTCTCAAGTCAACTCTCAAGTCAACTTGCGAAGATGTGATGCGCTGCGCAGCGCTGCGTTGCGCTGCGTGTTGCCTCGCTGCTCTTTTCCGGCACTTGGAGAGCAGCAAAATGGGGTGATCTTCGGTCGGGCCGCCCGCCTGTCGCGACGTGCTTTCTTCGCAGAGTGATTCCCCAAAAAAGGCAAGTTTGACAATGTTACGCCGCACTTTCGACCGTGGCAGCGTGTTGCGGAAGCTGAGTTGCAGAGACCAACACTTTTGGAAGCGCACACTGAACCTTGCTTCCTCCTCCATCCTCTTGCGCGTCGTCTTGGCAACCACACGCGGAAAGATGGCATCCCCGCACGTCCTCTACTACTGTCCCTGCAATCCGCATAACCCGACCGACGCCTCATCGTCGTCCGCGGGCGGCAGCCGCCAAATATCCTCGCTCGCCTCACCTCCACCAGGCCTACCCGCATCGTCGCCCGCATCCAGCCATGGCTTTCATCCGCTCGAGTCGCTCTACTTTTGCGACGAGTGCAATCACATACGCTGCAACCGCTGCGTCACCCTCGACATCTCCTCTTACTACTGTCCGAACTGCCTCTTCGAAGTGCCCGGTGCGAGCGTCAAGGCGGAGAAAAACAGATGCGCACGCAACTGCTTTGTATGCCCCTGCTGCCAACACACCCTCTCCGTGCTCGCCTCGGACGCACAGAACGCACGCGATCTTGACCCAATCGATCCTGTCGCAAGCCAGGGTGCTCCTCCGTACTACCTCGGCTGCTCCTTTTGTCGCTGGGACTCGAGACCCATCGGCCTCGTATTCGACAAACCCACCGGTCTCAGCCTTCAGCTGCAGCGCTCAGAGGAGAACGCACCCGACGTACTCGAGTTCGACCGGCTCAAGGATCACTTTGACCCCTACCTCAAAGCACAAACTCAAGCCGCAATCACTTCAGCAGCCGTAGGATCTTCCGCCGCCTCCCGCTCTCGCTCCTCCCAATCCACCACCGCCACTGCAACAGGCGCCGATTCAACATCGTCCTCCGACCCTGCTCGCTCCAGCCGCAGCTCACGCGTCACCGCTGCCCGCAATGCTGCAGCAGCCGCCCTTTCCTCTTCCTCTTCCAGACTCCTCCGCGACCTGCCACAGCTCGCAAACTCGCGCAATCCTCGCGCTATCTCTTCCGCCGCTCGCTCGGCGCCCATCGAACCCGACGAGCTCAAGACCTACCGCGCTCTCAATCCCTGGCAGGCCCCTGCCGACTCACGCAGATCTTCATCTTCGTCCGCCAGCAGCTCGACCATGGGCGTAATCGCAAAGCGCGAAAAGCATCGCAGAGACTATCTCGCACGCATCCAATCCGCTCCCAACCCACCCATCACCTCCCTCGACGACAAGATCGCCTCCCTTCAACAACGCTGGTCCTCCGCATCCATCGCAGATCAGCCCATCCGCGCAGCCGACCTGCGTCCCACACGCGTGCCCCTCAAGTCAAAGCTCTCCAAGAGATGCCCCTCCTGTCGTCACATCGTCATCAAACCCGACATCAAGGCCGCTTCCAACCGCTTCAAAATCAAGCTCGTCGCTCTCAACTTTCTCCCAGAGATTAAGCTGACTCTCGCGCCGCAGCAGCCCCACCTCGACCCCATCCGCTTCCGCTCCTCAGCTACCCCCGGCCAATCTTCCACTCCCGCCGGATCTCTCAGAAGGAGACCCCTTTCAGTGCTAGGCGCGGGCACAGCATCCGCACCTTCCGATCCACTCGCCCCCACAGCCTCTTCCATCACCGCAACCTCTCACGACGTCGACGTCAACAATCTCATCCCCGGACACACCTACAGCTTCCAAATCAACATCACCAACCCTCTCGACGACCCCATCGAGGTCCACTTCAACTTTGTCCGATTCGCCCCTCCCGATCGCGCCAACAAGTCTTCCTCCACCAATGCCCATCGCCAGAGCACAGTACAGACTCTCCCCGAGCCGCGCTACATCTTCAACTCCTCAACCCACCCCTCAAAACACCAGTCGACAACGGAATCAGAGCCCAAATCATCTTCCGTCAAGCTGTCCCAGCGCCCACGCCTCGGCTGGCAGGTCTACCCTTCAGCCCACTCCGTACCTCTCAACGCCTTCAACGAGGTATGGGAGCTCGAAGAGTCCGAAGACCTCTTTGTCTCCAAGCCTGGAAACGACACTGCTCCAAACGCACACAGCGCCCAGCTGAACGATGCTGCCCACAAGCCCTACGCAGTCAAGACGGCCATCGTTCGCGGATCGGGCACCGACGCCACCGATTCTTCGGCCTGGGTCATCGAGGACGACGAACAGGATGACGACGACGACGACGACGATGATGACGGCTACGATGACACCGACGACGGCGACGCAGACCAAGACAATGCCGATCCAGCCCTTTCGGATGTTCACGAAGAGCACGATCCCACGGCTTCTCCTCCTCGTGGCACTGCACCACGCGCACGTCGACAGCGAGCCTCGCTGCCTCCTGCAGCACGTCGACGAGCCCGTTCTCGCCAAGCTCCATCCGCGGCTACTAGCCAACGTCCACCTTTCATCCAAAAGGGACACACTACCACGCTCTTCCTCGATTTGGCCATCTCGTTCAACGACGCACCTGCACCCGGTCCCATCGAGCTCGGCATGCACGTAGCCTACCGATGCACGGCCCCCGCTGGCGAGCCGGCCGAACCGCCACCCACCGGCAAACACTCTGCCTTCTGGACATCCCTGCGACTCGGCACCGTCGCTGGTGCAAGCCAGCTCTAGGCCTTCTATTGCAGCAGTCTGATGCACATCCGATTTTCCGTGCTGTTTCGGGCAAAACTTTGTGACATTGTATCTGGAGGCAGTGGTCTGATGAGGAGCGTCGTAATCAGCTGGATCGCCGCGCTGCAAAGCTACCAATGCGAGTCCCGGTGGTTTCGGCTGGAGTGGGGGTAAAGGGTCCAAAACTTTACCCCACACATCCACATGCCGAACACTCCAATGACGGTCGGTATTTTTGGGATTGATTTCTTTGACAGATACGTCTCGCCCATCCTGGCTTCCATCGACCGGGTTTAGCCTACGAGTTCCGCACACGACTTCGGCATCTCGCTCCGGCATCCCGCTTCGGCATCTCGCTGCGGTATCTGGCTCCGGTATCTCGCTTCGGCATTTCGCTCTACCTGACGGCCCTCCGTGCCAAGTCCTTGGAGCGGCTACTAGACGCACAGCTGTGGTCTGTGCCATCGTCTCCGTCCCCGCTTGCCCGACCTTGAAGGGTCGCCGTCCGTCCGACTCTCCGACATCGAAATGAGAGGAACAGCCGCGGAGCGCCCATATTGGGACATGTACATATAGTCCCACGAGAGACATGGACGAAAGGCCCGTGTTGGCACAACGAGGTCTCCACCGCCATTTTCTTCCAACACGGACGTCTTTGACGGACAAACCTTGCCATCAGCCGGAATGTCGACCAGCTGGCGCCCAGGAAAGCGCGTTGTGATCGCAGGCGGCGGTCCCGGTGCGATCTCGACTGCTTTGGCACTCATCAGTCACGGCTTTGACGTGCGCGTGTACGAGCGGCAGCAAGAGTGTCGGCCCATCGGCGGAGCCGTGCTGCTCAGCGTTCCTGTGCTCTGCGTGTTGCGCTCGTACGGCATCGGGGTGGACACCATTGGCGCTTTCACCGTCACTCACTTCTACAACAGCAAGGGCAAAGAGCGCGTCGAGCTGCCATTCAATGAAAATATCGAGCAAAACACAGGCATCCCTGGCTGGCACTATGGCGTTCTGCGCTCGTCGATCTACAGAAAGATGCTCGATCAACTCCCCAAAGACGTCATCTACACCGGCCACGAATTTCAATCCTTCACCGAGAAGGACGGTCAGGTGCATGTCAACTTTGCCAATGGCGAGTCGGTAATCGCAGACATTCTTGTGGGCGCTGATGGCATCCGCTCCGCCGTCTCGCGCCAGGTGTGGGGCGATCCAAAACTTTTTCATGTCGGCATCCGCCTGTACCTGGCGTGGTGCGACCAGTTCGACGGCATTCCGGCCAATCAGGGCATCATCCATCACTCGAGCAACGTCCAGGCCAGCTTCTTCCCCATGAAGCACGAGGGCAAACCGGGTTTCGAGTGGTGGGTCGTAGAGCCTTCGTACGAGGGCAAACCCGTGCCAAAAGACGTCCAGGGTCACGTCACCAAGCTGCTCAGCGAGTTCGCCGAACCCATGCCCATGTTTGCTGAAAAGACCAACTTTTCCACCAACGTCTTCCGCTGGGAGGTGTACAACCGACCGTCGATGAAAAAGTGGAGTAAAGGACGGGTCGTCTGCCTCGGAGACGCCGTCCATCCCGTCTCTCCATATGCAGCCTATGGCATGGGTATGGCCATCGAAGACGGATACTACTTAGCCAGGAGCCTCTCTCAAGTGGACAATCTTACCGATCAGCAGGCTGTCACGGCCGCTTTCGAGCGCTTCGAAGCCGAAAGGGTCGAGTATGTCAACCACAACATGGAATTTGCACGGTACATTGGCTACATGTTCCACTCCACACCTTGGCCTTTGACCTGGATCCGCGATTTGATCCTCGACTACACCCCTTTCCTCAGCGTCTTTCTTAAGCGCGGATACCTCGAAAATAGCGAGAAGGAGACCATGAACCTCACCGAGCTTTTTGTAAGGTAGCTAGCCCCACCCCCACCTCCTCCAATGTACCGCCATCACTGCCGATGAGCAGAGATGTCGTGTCTCACCTTGGCAAAGAATTCCTCGTGATGGCCTCAATATAAATGTGAGCGGCAAGCTGTTGCGATGAGGGCCCTCTGTGCTATGGCGACAACTATGGAAGAAGAAAAGGATCTCGCCCATGCGGTCTCCAGCTTGCCGGTCTCTCTCACAAGGAAGCTGCAGCCTGGAGCCATCACTTCCATACATGGACCGGGTATCCGTCGTTCGTGAAAGGAAGAATGGCATTCTTGAGCATTGCCGAATGGCATGTTACAGTATTTAAACGCGGCACTTTGGTCTGGAACATTTCAGGCCTTAATTTCGGCAAAAAAAATCCAAGTCTTTGTTTGCATTTCGAGCTAACCACAAGTTTCAGACAGTGCCAATCATGCCTTCATGTAGGGGATGCCCGTCAGTTGCCAGCCTCTCTGCGACAGCGCGGGTTGCTGTCGAGGCTTGCCAGTGTTGTACGGGCAGGGCTTTCCATCGCGGAGCACAGGCAGACCGCCAACGTGCATGGCGTTGGGCCAGTGCGTGGTGCTCTGCAGCGTTTCGAATGCATGCTTCTTGCGCACCAGGTCCTCGTCGCTTGCCTCGGTCACCGGCATGAAGCAGGTGTAGATGCAGAATCGAGGCTGCTGACCCGTAGGACTGAGGTTGTAGTGGGGCGTGCGGCTATCCCATAGCAGCAGGTCACCCGGCTCAGCATCAAGCTTTACCCACTCGCAGCCCTTGGAGGCGAGCCAGGCCATTCCGCTCTCGGTGAATCCGTACCACTCCTTGGTCCACGCCCAGATTCGGTCGGGTTCGTTAGCGAATTCGCGGTGAAAAGCCTCGCTGAGCAGATGAGCGCCCTTGCACACGATCAATCCGCCGTCGTTAGGACCGTTTGGAAGCAGATTCACGAGTCCCTGCATGCAGCGGAAGCCAGGCTTGCTCGGGTCCTGATCCTGGTGAGGCCACGGCTTGTTGGGCTTGAGATCGTTTCGATTGGGAAAAGTCATGTTGACACCGTCGAACGAGACGATGAGATCCTTCGTGTCGTACACCTTTTCGAAGGCGTCGACGATGCCGGGCTCCTGTCGAACGGCCCAGGTGAAGTCCTCGTGAGCGATACCGTAGCCTAGGCACATGCCTTTCTCGTTGATGACGGGCATGTTGCTCTCCTTGACCGTCGATGGGTCGCTGCGGTCAAAACCGAGGCCCCCAGCAAAGTTCTCGATGTACGACATCATCTGCTCGCCGTAGCCATCGGCACGGTCGCGAGGGATAGCGCCCTTGATGACGACATATCCATCGCGGAGGATGTCATCGCGCCAGTCGCCAAACTGCTGGGAGGGATGGGCGAACAGGCGGTTCGGGCCGGAGGGATGGGCGGGCAGGGGCTGGGCGGCTTTCAGATCCGTATTGACGGGCTTCGACTTGGGCACGAAGCCTTCGATCGGGACGGGAGCTGCGACTGCTGCGGGAGCCATCTTGTTCTGAAGCTTGTCGGCTTGGTAGATTTGGAGACTTGACGCGCTTTCGCTTTGTTTGACAGCCCAGAACCAGCCTTCCGAGCGGTGCCGCCTATATACCTTCGGCTGTGATGCTCGACATCCAAGGAAATTCGCCTCGTGACGATTGTAGCACAGCACGCTGCATAGAATAGATTGACCCCACAAGCTACGATTCACCCCACCGAGCCAGCGGGCCGCAAGGCAAAGTTGCGAACACGAGCATAGGCGGCCAACCGAGCCGAAGGGGGACATCGCGACCCCAGATGCTGGAGCTCAGCTCGGCATTTCTTCGAGATTTGCCGAAGAAGGCGAAAAAGTGAGTACTTGAAGGTAAAACGAACCTCGATTTGCCGAGCCGGCATCGGCAAG